CAGCCACTCTGGGTGGCTTCCAACATATATAAAAACACAATAAAACATTACACATAAAAAAACTTCCCTATACAGGGCTGCCTTCAGATGTCTTCTAAAGGTTGTATAGTTACTTATCTCCTTGGCTTGGGGGTCACATAACTCCACACCCTGCAACATCGAGAAAAACCAAACTCTGATGAAAATAGGGGAAAGCCGGACATTCTAGGATCAAATCAGAAACTAGGGTGGCTTCTGTAAATCTGGGATTGTCTCTGGAAAACAGGGACACTTGGATGGTCAGCACTCTTAGTAATGCTACTGAAAAGCCTTTTCTTTATTTCTGTTTTATTTACTGGCAAGAGCACACTTTTAAAAGTGCCAGTTACCCTATAGGTTTGTGCACTGCCTTGCACTTTACCTCAGGTAGCCTAGATTTTAGACATTTTTAATCTGCACTGACAGCTGAAGCTTTCAGCTGGGTTTTTCCCACTGACAACAGCTTAACCTTTACATTCTAGGAAAACAGAGTCTTTGGGGTTTGTGGATTTTGAAAGAAGGCGGAGCCTGCCCTTTTAAAAAACTAAGTCACCTGAGTTATGTTATGCCAGCACCATCTGCTGGATATTAGAGGAAGAACCAGCTCATAGTTGTTATTTGGTCAAGCACTCCCTGCTCCCCAAAATCAGGATAAAAAACTCCAGGCTTGGTTGAGAAAGTGGGGGGAGGTCCATGCGTGGGCAGGATCTCAAGTTCTGAGTTAAAGTCCTGGCTGCCAGTTGCAAAAGAACAAGAACTCAGAGGAGGATTATTTCCAAAGCCTTTAATGTTGAGACTGGTGGGCTGCGTATGGAAATTGCTAATCTAAGGCACAGCAGGCAATACAGAGTTAATGGAAGGCACAGAAAGGCAGGTGATCTAAGTAATCAAAACTTAGAGGTTGGCATCACCTTAGCACAACAAGTGGTTCCGCTCCTTAGCCAAGGAATCTAGCACATTGTCAAGAGGGCAGAAAACTTTGAATTGTGCCCAGTCAGGAACCTGGGCACAGAGAGAGATAGATAAAACTATCAATTTCAGGTTCTGTTTCTCATTTTCCCAATCTTACCGGCAACATTTTGAAGATGATTTATTGAGCCCAAAACAGGTAAAGGTAAAGGTACCCCTGCCCGTCAGAGCCAGTCGTGACCGACTCTAGGGTTGCGCGCTCATCTCGCTCATGAGGCCGGGAGCCAGCGCTGTCCGAAGACACTTCCGAGTCACGTGGCCAGCGTGACGAAGCTGCATCTGGCGAGCCAGCACCAGCGCCACACTCGGAAACGCCGTTTACCTTCCCGCTAGAAAGCGGTCCCTATTTATCTACTTGCACTTAGGGGTGCTTTCGAACTGCTAGGTTGGCAGGAGCAGGGACTGAGCAACAGGAGCTCACCGCGCTGCGGGGATTCGAACCACCAACCTTTCAATCAGCAAGTCCTAGGCTCTGTGGTTTAACCCACAGCGCCACCCACGTCCCTACCAAAATGAGCCCAAAATACCAAGCTATAAATGTGAAACATCAATTATATTGTCAGATTTGGCCAGTATAAACAGCCTGGTGCTCTTTTTAAAACAATCACTATGTTTATGTTGGGAAATCAAAATAATGTCCTAGATATGCTAAACAAGACAATATTTTCTCCAGAAGTGGGCTATTAGTACATTTTAACTAAATATGAAGTAACTATCCTATCTTGGGCAACATGAGAACGCACAGCCTAATTATAAACTCGTTCTCTTCCTATTAGAGTGCCATCTATTCAATGTCTTACTGCATTATTAGAACAAATAAGCTATCAAGAAAATGATTTCATTGTTATTATATTGTTTCCACACATAACAATGCCATTGCAACTTGAATGCCCAGAACTCCAGTTTGGAAATATTTGAATATTTGCATTTGTCATTGATGCTTTTCAGTCTCTGTTCTTACAGATGCAGATAGTTAATATGCAGCTGCTTTTGCTTACTGAAAGCAGAAATAAGTATTACTAAATTATTCAAATGTGATAGACAGTGCATGGTCATGTGGATGTATCAGGACTGCCTAGGGAATGTTGTTCCCACTATTAAAGCAGGGCCGGGTTTGCTGCCCTCCTGGTGCCTCATGTATAAGGGACAGAAGCCACGGTCCTTACCTGGATAGGAGAGAATCTCTGGACCCTTTTCCTCCCCCCTGCCTGGGGAATACACCTCATCCATATTCTTTCCTTCCGTAAAGGGGACGGGGTTGCACAGGAAATGGTCTCTGTGAAATACATACCCTTTGAGGAGGCAGTGGGGGTTGTGCGGTTCAGAAGGGGTGTGCTGCTGGCAAAAGGTGACATCAAGCCAGCCTCTCAGGTGCTGCCTGTGCACCCACGAGCCAGGAACCTGTCGGATGTCCTGTTTCAAGGTCAGTACTGTTGACAGAGCTATGCTCATGAGCTGCTCTGCCTCCTGTTCAGCCTTCAGGGGCTTTAGTATTTTCCTTGAATGGGTGGTGAGGGTTTAGCCAGGCGGTGCCCCTACTGCCCGTTATCTGGATAGCCTTGTCAGTGTGCACACAGACCTGATTAGTTATCTGGATGTTTGAGGCCCCATAACTTGCTTTTCTTTTCTTGGCATTGAGTTTGACACCATGGATCTGCAGTGGAGCTGTAGCTTCTACACGCTTCTCTTCTCCCTACTGCAGCCAAGGGAGCCAGATTTCTTTTCCCCTCTGTCTGCCTTGCGCTGCTTCCCTGCTCATCTTGCAGCTGTAGGAGGCTGGTTGCCACCCCGTTCTCTTCTCCTTGTTGTGGCAACTCAGAAAAGAGGAAAATCAATCTGCCATGGTCCTCTCAATGCTGCTACTGTGCATGCAGGAGTGAGGGAAGTGGAGACACGGGGAGGGCCTCTGTGTCGTGGTTCCCTCCCTTGAGAGCCAGCAGTTTTTGGCTATGTGTGGTTTTGCAAATACGTACGTACTGCTTCTGGGGCAGAACCCTCACATGAGATGGGACCACACTGTAACAGATTATGTTTTGCAGAGCTTTACATAGTTAGGATGTGTCTCGGGGGAAGGATATGGTAGATGTGTAAGAAAATGTATAAAAATACTCAAGCGTAAATTGCTAGTTTATTGAAACAACAATAATACAATTTGTATGTGATCTGTAATCCGTAAAGATAGAAGGTATCAAATATGAATTAATTTATTAAACTTTATTGCACTTGCACTACTGTTAACTGCTTGTCACACAATTCAGAAACAATCTAAATTAGATTTCATGTATGTTGCCTATTTATAGTATTATATTGTAAACAAGTCATTAAAGGTAAAGGTAAAGGGACCCCTGACCATTAGGTCCAGTCGTGACCGACTCTGGGGTTGCGACGCTCATCTCGCTTTATTGGCCGAGGGAGCCGGCGTACAGCTTCCGGGTCATGTGGCCAGCATGACTAAGTCCCTTCTGGCGAACCAGAGCAGCGCACAGAAACACTGTTGACCTTGCCGCCAGAGCGGTACCTATTTATCTACTTGCACTTTTACATGCTTTCGAACTGCTAGGTTGGCAGGAGCAGGGACCGCGCAACAGGAGCTCACCCCGTCGCAGGGATTCGAACCGCCGACCTTCTGATTGGCAAGCCCTAGGCTCTGTGATTTAACCCACAGCGCCACCCGTGTCCCATAAACAAGTAATTACACGCAACATATTCCTGCTGATGCATGCTGGACTTCCTGACAATGTACGACATACTCACCTGCCAACACTTGCTTGTTAAGCCCTGTCAGCAAACTTGACCACTGATCAGTGTGTTTACTTGGAAAATAAAGTAATCACTACAACTTTAACTCTATGTTACATAAGTAAACCCATGGGGCGGATGAGGACCAGAGTGAAGCCAGGGGCAGAGATCACAGCCCACCTGCCATTGGCCAAGTAGGCAGACAAGCTGCGATCCATTTCCCAGGCCTGGATGAAGGTGAAAAGAGGACACAAAGACTTCAAAGCTCAATATGGATAAAGGATTGCCAGAAAAGGAACATGAAATGGTAGAGTTGGAGGCAACAGTGGGTGAAATGGAAAAGTCCTTCACACAGGTGCTTAGAGAAATGAGAATTGTGATGTTGCAGAGGTGGAAAGAAGCCATGGATGGAGAGTGGAAGAGATATACTGATCTGGCAGAGATAGAGTTGAGTGAGAAAGGACTCTGTGCACGACTTGGAGTGAATTCAGAGGAAAGAGCTATCAAACCTCTGGCACTTTTTAGGGGAAGGGAAATGGAAGAAACATAAATGGAAGGGATTTAAAAAAACAGGATTGAAAACCACAGGAAATGCAACAGAAAATGGGAATATGGCACTGGATTCAAATTAATGAATAAATAATAATAATAAGAGAATTGTGGAATCTTATTTTAATATACACTCACAGTGGACTCTTGATATTATGCATTTTGTGTTTTTATATTGTGATTTTATGTTGCAACCACCCTGAGACCTACAGGTATAGGGCGGTATACAAAATAAGTTTGATTACAGAAAAACTACTGTTGAAATTTATTAATAAAGATAATTAGAGAACCCCCTTTTGGAGTTTTTGTGTAAAAAGAAAAATGAATTAATCTGAGTCATTTGGGTTGGAAGACTGGGCAAATGTTGCCTAACAGAAAGTAGATCCGTTGGGTATCATTCTAGAGTGAGTATTTGGAACAATTTCATTTCTGTAACCAATAGACAGAAAATCAGAAGTCCTTTTTATTTTTCCTCTTTTCTTCCCTTCGCTGTTTCTTCTTTCTCTGTGTTTTCATTTCATTTCATTTGGATTTGTTTCTTTCATCTTACTGAACTATGACAAGGTTTTAATAAAATATTTTTTTAAAAAACCTCCGTATAAAACATTTGACTTCATTTTACACACACACACAAACACACACACACCAATCACTATGAGAAAGCAGTATGTAAGTTTAATAAACCCATTAAGGCCATTAAACACACACAGAAACTCTCCCTTCCCCCAGCCTAGAAAGAAAACAACTCTGTACACGCTCAGAAACACTCCCGTCGCTCCAACCGGAAGAAACAATTGTGGAACAAACCAGGCCCGCTGTCCTTGCTGCTCGACGAAGCAGACCATCGAGGCAGCCGCCTCGCTCGCTGAGCGGCCGCCGCCAAACTGAACTCGAAAGCGCCGCCTCAGACTCCGCGTCTAGAAAGTCCCGCCCACCGTCGGCTTGGATTGGCCGACGGCCCGCGGCGGCCGGAAGGTGTCAATCAGGTCGAACCCGAAGCCTCGCCTCGATTCGTCAAGCCCCTCCCCTCCCGTCACTTCCTCCCCAACCCAACCTGCTTTTACGGATTCCTGCTCGGAAAGCGAAAAACATTGCAAACAGAGAGAGACGGAGAAGAGAAGAGAAGAACGGGTGTCAGAGGAGCGCTCTGATTGGCTGCCTTGCTTCCCTGCGTCAGCCCGTCGCGCTAATGGCACGAACCATCCTGCTTTGAAGAAAAAAAAAGGGGGGGAGCGGAAGGAAGGAAGGAAGCGAGCGAGGGCCCTTGGGCTGGACTCGTCTGTCATCCGAAGGCCGGGGGGGGGGAGGCGGAAGCGCTTTCTCTCCCAGGGTGCAGTTCGCGAGGGGGTACCGAAGGCTCCCTCAGGATTCTGTGAGGAGAAGGAGCGGCGCGGGCGGAGGCGGCGCCGTGGCGGCGGCGGCGGCGGCGTTTGGTGCTCGGTCCAAGATGGCGGTGCAGGAGTCGGCCGCTCAGCTCTCGATGACTCTGAAGGTGCAGGAGTACCCCACGCTCAAGGTGGGTGGGCCGCTCTCCCCGGCGAGGCCCCTCCGGGAGGCCCCGCTTCCTCCCAGGCCTCCGTTCCCTGCCTGGCGGGGGGAGACGCCTCCCGGCATTTCGCACCAACGCGGCCGGGGGCCTCCGAGGCGCTCCCGAGAGGAGCGGGGGAAAGGGGGGCCAGAGAACGAGAGACGCGCCTCTTGTTATCGTGGGTGTGTGTATATGTATTTACATATGCATGTGTGAATATATGTATAAATGTATACACTATACACACACACACATATATATATAATATACAATGTGTGTGTGTGTACATATATATATATATATGCACACTATATACATGTATATATGTGTGTGTGTATATATATATATGTATATACATGTATAAGTATATACGTATATATGTGAGTATATATATATATGTGTGTGTATATACGTATATAAGTATACATGTATATATGTGTGTATATATATATATATGTATATACATATATAAGTATATATGTATATATGTTTGTATATATACAGTGTATATGTGTGTATGTATATACACACACAAGGGACGCGGGTGGCGCTGTGGGTTAAACCACAGAGCCTAGGACTTGCCGATCAGAAGGTCGGCGGTTCGAATCCCCACAACGGGGTGAGCTCCCGTTGCTCGGTCTCCAGCTCCTGCCAACCTAGCAGTTCGAAAGCACGTCAAAGTGCAAGTACCGCTCTGGCGGGAAGGTAAACGGCGTTTCCGTGAGCTGCTCTGGTTCACCAGAAGCGGCTTAGGCATGCTGGCCACATGACCCGGAAGCTGTACGCCAGCTCCCTTGGCCAGTAAAGCAAGATGAACGCCATAACCCCAGAGTCGGTCACGACTGGACCTAATGGTCAGGGGTCCCTTTACCTTTTCTTATGTATACACACACACACATATACAATGTACACACACACAAAAGAATATATACATATGTGTAAAAACCCCACCCCCACGATACACACACACATATAAACACCTCCATAGATATATATACACACACACATATATGGTGAGAGACTTAATCTTCATTTTGTGTGTGTGTATGTGATGTGGCGAGAGGCTTCACCCATGCAGCCTTGTCTTTGCTATTCATGGTATTTATCTTGCTAGGTTATCTTAAAAAACACACACACAAAAATCACACACACAAAACATCCGACACGGCTTCCACTTGAGTGCAGGAAGTTCCTGCAACCAATTGGAAGCTGCGCCTTGGTTGTTGAACATTTCGGAAGCCAAAAAGGCTTACGTTCGACAACCGAGGTTTGAATATCCAATTCAAATTTTCACAGCATCAGCTGAATTTGATGAAACAAAGAAGTGGATATGGTGTCATTAGAGCACTGGTGAGTCAGGCCCCCAAACCCCTAGATGACTTTCAGTGCTTTCATTACGATTAGGAGGAACATATGGCCAGCCAGATGTTGGACCGTGGTTCCTGATGTTCCTTACCATAGGACACGCTTGCTAGGAGTTAAATCCTACAACATATGGAGGGTTACAGGGTCCCCATTGCTGATGTAAATGTAGTACCCCTACTCATCACTTTAAACATTGAGCAGGATACCATGTTTGATAGTTGCCAAAAACTACCAGGAGGTCCAGAAGCATTAATAGGACTTTTATTTGCCTACACCAGGATGTTGAATACTGTTTAAGTAACAAAATGCAGCTGGAAATCAGATTATGGAAAATTCCAAAATCCAAGTGTAACCACCTGCTCAATGAGCACCTTGTTTCCAAAGACTTTATTTTTTACCAGCTAATGCTTGGAATAATCTTGAGGGTTCCATAGAGGCAGGGACAGACTAGAATAAGAATAAATATAAATTAGAGGGGGAAATAAAAAGTTTGCTTGCAAGAGCATGTTTCTTGTGTTGATATACAGAAAGGGAGGCCAAGGGCTATCTGGGGAAAGCTCCTTAGAACTAAACTGATGCAGAAAAGAGGCAAATGATTCATTGGCATGGCCTTTGTCTTAAAGCCTAAACGGAGGATCTTGATAACAAGGTACAAACATTTTAATGGAAGAGAGCTATTAATAAAAGGTGTAGCTCTTCCTAGTACACAATAGTGATGTCGAAAGTATGTTGGCTTGAGTCATAGTATCATAAGGTGAGTAAATCAAATTGTATATTGTATATAGGAGTTATAGTTGGGATGGAAATAATTCCGTCATGATTAGTGATAGAAAATGAAAAACAGAAAGGCCTCTCATCTCTTAGGTATGTGTAGTAAAAATTGCACAATTGACTGGAAAAAAACAAGCCTAATTTTTCTCTTTGAACATCTCATGTATTGATAACATCTTCTGTATGCTTCCCTTTTTTCTGCACCTTTCCTCTTTTTTAAAGCATATGGCTGAATCAACATGATCTGCTTGAGCTTTACAAATTTTTTAAAACCCATGTCCATTAGGAACAGAAGGGAAATTGAAGAACTACAGTCCATTTTAAAGATATTGGTCATTGTGTTATAGCTTCAGAGGACATGTGTTTTTATTTCGTAGTGGGGTTATGAATGTTGAGTGAAGTCAATTTAAAACCAGGTATACTTATTTGATTGTATAAGGCTTTTCTAAAATACCCCTTTTATTAAGGATTTTTAGTTGTATATTCCAGCTAATGAATTAAACATCAGAATTAATACACTTTTCAGTTCTTGCAGTGTTGGATCAGTGAGAACGGTTTAATGGTGATCCAACTTTTCAAGCCAAGTAATAATAATAATAATAATTATTATTATTATTTATTATTTGTACCCCGCCCATCTGGCTGGGATTCCCCAGCCACTCTGGGCGGCTTCCAAAAAATATATTAAAATACTCTAATACATCAAATATTAAAAGCTTCCCTGAGGGCCTTCAGATGTCTTCTAAAAGTCTGGTAGTTGTTGTTCTCTTTGACATCTGGTGGGAGGGCGTTCCACAGGGAGGGCGCCACTACCGAGAAGGCCCTCTGCCTGGTTCCCTGTAACTTGGCTTCTCGCAGTGAGGGAACCGCCAGAAGGCCCTCAGAGCTGGACCTCAGTGTCCGGGTAGAACGATGGGGGTGGAGACGCTCCTTCAGGTATACAGGACCGAGGCCGTTTAGGGCTTTAAAGGTCAGCACCAATACTTTGAATTGTGCTCGGAAACGTACTGGGAACCAATGTAGGTCTTTTAAGACCGGTGTTATGTGGTCTCGGCGGCCGCTCCCAGTCACCAGTCTAGCTGCCGCATTCTGGATTAGTTGTAGTTTCCGGGTCACCTTCAAAGGTAGCCCCACGTAGAGCGCATTGCAGTAGTCCAAGCGGGAGATAACCAGAGCATGCACCACTCTGGCGAGGCAGTCCGCAGGCAGATAGGGTCTCAGCCTGCGTACCAGATGGAGCTGGTAAACAGCTGCCCTGGACACAGATTTGACCTGCGCCTCCATGGACAGCTGTGAGTCCAGAATGACTCCCAGGCTGCACACCTGGTCCTTCAGGGGCACAGTTACCCCATTCAGGACCAGGAAATCCTCCACACCTGCCCGCCTCCTGTCCCCCAAGAACAGTACTTCCGTCTTGTCAGGATTCAACCTCAATCTGTTAGCCGCCATCCAAGTTGGCTGCAAGAGTACTTCAACATAGAACCCATGGGCCTTGTCTTATGCAAGGTGGGGGGACTGAGGCCAAAATTTGATAACCTCCCTGCAAGCCCTCATGGTGCTTTCCCAAAGCCAGCTAAGCAAGGTGTAGGATCTTTGGAAGGAAACATGAGGCTCCGGCACAGTCCTAGAGCTCTTCCAACTTATTCCCAAAGCTGGGAAACTGCTAATTAGGCTTGGGAAGGAGGTGAGAGACCTCTGGGGAGGAGGTGAAAGGACTTTTAACAGTGTCCTAGATTCCTCTCACCACCTTCCCAAAGCCCAGCACCTTGCTTACCTGGCTTTGGGAAGGCAGCATGAGGGCTGTGGGGCATGTGCCAAATGTTGCCGAAAGCTGCATGCATCCCTTGGACAGTTTGTTGGACTGCCCTGGTTTAAGCTGCTGTTTACATTTAAGGAAATGAACTCTGAACTATTCAGACCTGCTTACTTGGTGGTTATCATTGGTTACTGTTAGAATTGCTGTTTATATCGTTCAGATTTTCTTTTGATGAATACCACCATTTATTTATTTACAGTACTGTGCTATATTATACAAAACTATTCAGAAGTAAAAACAAAACACAATGGGATTGCTGAGTGTATATATGTGTGTGTGTGTGCGCGCGCGCGTGTGTGTACACACACACACACACACACACACATTTCCACTGATGCATTGCTTTTTTAGTTTTGCAAATAAAATGAAATCACAAAATAGTTTCCAGCATTAAAATAAGGCAACAAACATGATAAAATAATCAGACAATAGCTAATTCTTGTTAATTATACTTTACGGTTAGGTAGAAAAGGGCAAGGAGGAGTAAGTAGGCAGAAAGCAAAGCAATACAGTGGTACCTCGCAAGAAGAATGCCTCGCAAGACGGAAAACTCGCTAGACGAAAGGGTTTTTGGTTTTTTGAGTTGCTTCGCAAGATGATTTTCCCTATGGGCTTGCTTCGCAAGACGGAAACGTCTTGCAAGTTTGTTTCCTTTTTCTTAACACCGTTAATACAGTTGAGACTTGACTTCGAGCAGCAACTCATAGAACGCGGTGTGGTAGCCTTTTTTGAGGTTTTTAAAGACTTTGGTGATTTTTGAAGCTTTTCCAAAACTTTCCCGACACCGTGCTTCGCAAGACGACAAAACTCGCGGAACGAATTAATTTCGACTTGCGAGGCACCACTGTATCCTTTTCGTGGTCCATCCAGCAAGCAGCAGTTGAAACATCTCCGCTTTGGGCATTTTCTTTGAACAGTCCACACATTAAGGAACTCAGTTCATTTTACATCTTTCCTGGTTTTTCATCTGTGTTGTCAGTTACTTGACTAATACAGTTCTAGTACGTTCGTCAATTCTCCTTAGGTTCCTATAGTGATCTCAGTTGATGACATGGTGCAGTATGTTCCAGAATCTCAAGAGTATTGTGTGAAACAAGTGAAGTGCTCAACAGTGTATAAAATGTAAAAGGTTTAGTGGTAATGATACATTGAAATTTAAAAATGTTACATATTTCTAGAAACTTAGTTTGATCTTTCTGGAGCAGAAATTAAGAAAATGGTGGTGTACAATCAGGCCTGGTGGTTTGAAGAAAGCAATGAAAGGAATACAATACCGTTCCCTTCTGCCAAACCAGTTGTGTGGAGGGAAGCAAAACATTGTAGGTCATTGCACTCCCCCAAGCTGGTACCCAGCAATCTCTCTTCTTGATAGAAGTGGCATGAATGCTTGGAGCATTAGTCATACTTGGTCTGTAATTTTATTTACTTACATACCGTATATAGCACTGATTTTATTCTCTTTGTAGATTTCCCTTTCTTGCTTATTTTATGTATAGGTTTTACTTTATCTTTGATAATGGCAATATTTGTGATGCCATTTTTTGGATTTTTTTATGTAAAAAAAGATTAATCAAAGGAAATTCAGTTTTATTACCAGATATTTTGCTTCATGAGGGGGTCTTTTGGTGCAGGTTTATGGGTAGAATGCTGAATCTACATTTATTTGATCAAGCATGTCTTTATATGTAAGCTCTGTAAGACAGCTTACATATAAAATAATGAAATACAATTAAATTAGTGCTGCCTATATCCCATCAGCTGTGTAGTTCTGCTCTGGAGTGGCATCACCCCATCCAGATGTTAGGTTGCTTTGTCTGATTCCCATCTCACCTAGTTGTTGGAAGTTGAGTAATCGATTGCCTTGTTCCATCTCCTCCCCACCCCCGTTACATTATCAGTGGCAAAGATGTGTTCATGAGTGGATAATCTGTGGCCCTCCAGATGTTGTTGAGCAGCATCCTGGGAGCTGCTTTTCATTCCCTGGTATAGTTGAATGAACCAAGTCTAGGAGACCCAAATTCGAATCCTTGTTTGACAATAAACTCATTAGGTAATGTTGGGGCAGTCATGTTCTCATTCTCACCATACTGCTAGTATAAAATCACTCAGACAACTATGTGTGTTGTTCTGAACTTCTTGGAGAATGACTGAATAAATAGGTAATAACATTTGTTATGCTTTTTAAAAATGAAATTTAGCAGTAACAGCTAGCAAATTTATTCAGGGTGTGTATATCATATATATTTTTTTATCTTTGTTCCTGTAATGTCAATATTTTAAAACTATTTGAACTGTTAATGTCCATCCTTATGGCAGGGGAATCCTCTGCACTTTACTAATTGTATTCATATGTTGTGTGAATATTTTTTTTCATACTGTGCACTCAGGTTTAGAAACTGAGATATGAAAGCTAGGAGCTAAATGGCACCTTAAACCTAGGATATGGGTGCAACAATGGAATGTCTAGGCACCCTTTTTAATAACAAGAATACAAAGCTGAAAATGAATGAACTGCAGCTAAAATACTATGTTCATTTTTCACATGGTCTAGTCCTCATCTGAAGACTTCAAAAAACAAAGTTATGCTTCCTCTGCCCCCCCCCCGCCATATTCTTAAGGGGGTCTTCTGCAGCCTTCAGAGAGTGGCTGGAAGTGGGGAGGCAGAAAAAGACCCTCCTTTCCTTCCACTCTGCAGAGAAACCCTCAATTCTCCCCACACCCCCTTTCCTTCATATAAACAGTGCTTTTTTTCCCTTAAAAATGTTTAGGGGTACTCTCATTTTCCCACTCATATTGAACATACTGCCCCTCAATGAGGCCAAACTTAGATTCATAAAATGTTCAGGGTATGCATTCCCCACGTCCCCCCCAGAAAAAAAGCACTGCGTATAAACATATCTTTTTGGCACCACAATTAACACAAATTAAAGGCCTGTGCAACTAATGGCAGAGACACCCACCTTGAGTGTCCAGTTCGCAAACCTAAGACTTAAGGGCCTTTCAATGATCCCACTCCAAAATTTGTTTTGATTTTAAGCATCACTATGTGACTGAGGTAGGGACGCGGGTGGCGCTGTGGGTTAAACCACAGAGCCTAGGACTTGCCGATCAGAAGGTCGGCGGTTCGGATCCCCACGACGGGGTGAGCTCCCGTTGCTCGGTCCCTGCTCCTGCCAACCTAGCAGTTCGAAAGCACGTCAAAGTGCAAGTAGATCAATAGGTACCACTCTGGTGGGAAGGTAAATGGCGTTTCCGTGTGCTGCTCTGGTTCGCCAGAAGCAGCTTAGTCATGCTGGCCACATGACCCGGAAGCTGTACGTCGGCTCCCTTGGCCAATAAAGCTCCACAGTCGGTCACGACTGGACCTAATGGTCAGGGGTCCCTTTACCTTTACCTTTATGTGACTGAGGTAGATAACACTTTAACATGCACTACTTAGACCATCATAACTAACTGGCTAGTATATTTCAAATTAAAAGCACACCATACATTAAAAGTACATTAAACAAGGCAACTAAAACCTAAACAAAGCATGTTGGGTTTAAAAGAAAAGAACGTGTTCAGGTTCCCAATCCATGCACGTTTTACTTGGGAGGAAGCCCCATTGAACTTGGTTGGGATTTACTTCTGAGTCACAGTGGCAATTTTAATCTGAAATCTTAGGCGCAGTACTGCGCCCAGAGCTCAGAAACTGCTCGCATTTATAAAATTCCCTGTCGCAAAACGCGCCTAGAACAATGGGAGTTTTGAACGCTGTGTGCACTGCAGTATAATCCTCTGATGAAGGGTGGTTAAGAAAAAATTACGTTAAATAAATAACCAAAACAGCTTGCAGGGCTGATCCTATTCATTGTGTGATCCTATTACCTCATTTCCCATGGCAGCATAGTCCATTCTCTCTGTCCTCCAGATCCCACTGCCTTCAGATGTTGCTCAGTGGGCTCCCTGTAGTTTAACCTCTACTCAAGTTGACAGAAGCATTTTAAGGGTGCACAGGTTCTGCCCAGCCTGTGTGAGGTCTTGTCTTAACAGCAGATAGAGAGAGGCTCAGCTACACCCACTGATATGAAACAATTGCATTGTGATGCAAAAATCATTGTACTGGGAAAATAGCGATGGTGCTACTTGCTGTCGGTTGTCTTGGCGTGTGGAGTATTTTTGAATCCTCTGGGATTTGCACTAAGGTGGATTGTAAGACAGTTGGAACAGCTTAGAGGTTTGTGTTGAGGAACTGAAAATCCTCTCTCCCATTTTTTTGCTCAGCAGTGGTATTATGGTATTTTAATCCACTCTGAAAAGAATAATAGGGATATTTAGATGGGTGACCTTGTGCAGTGGGTGAACATGTGAGGAATAGTGAGATTGTGCTCATAAGCCATTCTTCGTGCTCCCACTAGCCATTCCCCTCTCCCATGGCCTTGTGTCTATGAAGGGGGGGAGCTCTGTGACAACATTGTGCATGTGTAGTGTTCCTTTCACGCAGAGGCCGAATGCACAGCCACCATAAGTAGGTGGCCAGCTGATGCCCTGGAGGGGCATGGCTTCTCTGTGCCATCCCATCCCATTTCCTCCTCGATATATAATGGTGCTTATCTGAAGCACTATTCAAAAATCTGGCTAAAAGTTGATTATATAGGCAAATACTTGGTTACAACAATAACACTTTATTGCGGTCGTAGACCAGCATAAGGAGGGAGGGGTTAGGTTTCTTACGTTTGCTGTGTTATACCTACAGGCTTCTCTGTGTTTTATAACAGTTGGGGGAAAAGGTATTTGCTGGCACTTCTGTACTAGCATAATTGTTTGCGTAGTTCATACTGCTCTTCAGCTAGACAAATTTCTGAAGGCTGGGATTATTGAGTGACAAGGTCAAGACAAATACAAAGAATTCTTTAGAGTGTATTGGATTTCAGGAAGCAAATAAAGAATGGTCTGTGTTGTTTTTCATATATGAATGGAAGGGAAGTTTATTAGTTTTCTATCAATGCATACATTTAAAAGATATATTAAATGTAAACACATTAAATGTAAAAAATGTACTGTTTAATTGTGGTTTTATAGTTGCAGTTACCTATAATTTGAATCAAAACTTTGAATAAAGAGCACTGAATTTATTTTCAAACACTATTAAATAAGAGGATTCCAAATTCTGATAAAATTATCACATCTTTTGTCTCTTTTGTTCTAATATATCATGTTTGGGTCATAAGGGCAATACCTATGTTTTATCTACCTAGTCTCTATTTTTAGTATCCCTGCTAAGTAGCTCTAGGCTCTAAGCATTTAAGGTGCCCTGCACAATATGCTCCTACAAAAGCTTCTGTACAAGCCTAGATGTTGATTGTGGTCCAACTTCATTTTGACTCTTATGCTCATGCCCGTCTCATCATTTGAGGCATCTCATGTATAACTAGCAAGCAAACCATTCCTGTGGATGTTATATAAAGTTATTCTAAATCTCCCATAAATTCTGAGTGAAAGCAATAAATTTAAGGCATTTGTAGCATTGTAGCCTTTTGGGAGGAATTCAATCCCTGCCCCCGAGGCAGCATAACAAAATCTTGAGGCAAAATCTGGTCCAGATGTGTGCTCACTGTGGTAGACCCACTTGACGTGTTGCAGGAGGCCTGCACTGTGGTTTTCACAAGAAGTCTTCATAAATGTTAGCATTTGGTATGCTGAGGAATATAAACACCTAATTTAGACTCTATCAGAAGTAAGTGGAACACAAAATTTAGACTCAGATTGCAGCTTCTGGATTGGAAGGCAGCTTTACAGACATTTATATCTGCTTCATTAGATACTTGATCAAGACTAATCCAGCAAAGGATACTACATAGAACATATCAAACGCCTGAGTGCTTTAAGTACTTTGACATACTGAGTGAGACCTGCAGCTAGAGATACAGATTAGAACACCTTTATGGAGGGAGAGCCAACTGGGTTTTTAAAAAATATATCATTTTAAAAAAAATATTGAGAGTTTTCCACATAAGATACAGTAAACAACTCCAAATAGGACTGGAAAACACACCTTCAAATCTATGGAAAGTTGTTGTCCATCAGTGGAGACCAGGCTTCTCCAGCTTGGAGTATGTGCTGTACATTGGGCAAAGGCTGGTGTAATGAGCTCAGTGGGCCAATGGTGTGACTCAATATAAGGCTGCCTCCTGTCTTCCTAAATAGAAATAGAAAGCACAAGAGTTTTGATGTAAACACTGTTTACTCTCTTTTAATTTTTCTTCTTCTTAAAGGTGCCATACGAAACGCTGAACAAACGTTTCCGAGCTGCTCAGAAAAACATTGACCGAGAGACCAGCCACGTAACTATGGTTGTAGCAGAGCTGGAGAAGACGCTGAGCAGCTGCCCAGCTGTGGATTCTGTGGTTAGTCTCCTTGATGGAGTAGTTGAAAAACTCAGTGTTCTGAAAAGAAAGGTAAGTTGGGTGGCTTTAAAAGAGGATTAGACAAATTCATGGAGAAGCAGAGGGCTCTCAGTTGCCACAGAGGCAGCAAAGTTTCTGAATGCCAGTTGCTGGAAACCATGGGAGGATAAGACGTCTGGTTGGCCACTGTGAGAACAGGATGCTGGATTAGATGGGCCATTGGCCTGTTCCTGCAGGCTACTCTTATGTTCTTCAGGAGCTATGCCAAGAAAGAGATTACATCATAAACACAAGGACTTACTAAGAGGTGCCATCTTTTAAAAGGTCTAGGAAGCTACAGATTTGTTTTTGATGAAAACTTAACTTCTAAATGTTCGTTTAAAAAGGTTAATATTCTTCAGCCCCCAAATGACCTAACAAGGAGCTCAACGTAGAAGTAACATGCAGAAAAAATGAGGAGTAAACCAGGTTGGAAAAATGCAAATCCTTTTTGCACATAAAACCAAAATCATGTATTGGCTTTGCTTACCCCCACCCCAGCAAGGTGGAGAGCTTTTAAGATTTTAAGCTCTTCTGCCTGCTTACCATGTGATGCCTTCCCAGAACCCAGTATGCAAGCCTGGGAGCTTTTAAGCTCGCTGCCTTCCATGTGCTTAATTTGTGTGATATCAGCTGGTTGGCCACCAAGCACCAGAGTTGCAGTCGTGCAAGTTAAATGTGTGCAGATTGTGAGTCGACTGTACATAGTGTTGCACAGGTTCTGGACCATAATTCAGCACAATTGTGGCTGTAGTTAAGCCCATTGATTTAAGTGAGATGTGTCTATCTTTGTATTGGATTCGGGTTATAAATTTTTGATGGGAACATTTCACAAGGTTCTGGTCCCACCAATATTTTAACTATACGTGTATGATGACTGCAAAATAAGCACCGTGTGTTACTGAAAAGTCATGTTCTGCCCTTTGTCAGAAGCCTCAGCTTCCTTTGTTAAACAGTTGCACGTTCATGGTATGACAGTTGATTCCTCCAGTATCTCCTTTAATTACAAGGATGTTAACAAATAAGTGGTAAATGGTAATAATGGCTGTTTGTGTGTGTCCCATAGTCCTGGGTAGAATAGTATATGTTTCAGCTATGTATTAATACTGTGACTTGACTGTTGCTGCCAGGAGCTCGTCTTACTCTCGAGTAGGACCCTGGCAGAGACACATGCCCGACTGGCATGTTCTCTCCCTCCTGGTCGATCGTTCGGGAGCTTCAAAAGCTTTCTTCAGCCCGAACATCACAGCGACCAATGCCAACAGACATCGGCCCACTTAGGGATCCGCAGAGTCTTTGCAGCTTGCGTAACAGACCTCAACAACTCAGCATTTTGGCTAATCTACTTTATTTACATATAAACACACACGGAGCACTGCAACATGGCTCCCTCTCTCTGTAGCATCAGACAGCAAAGAGAAAAAGAACAAAGGACGATAGTCCCACTTCACGGAACACAGTAACACAAACATCCTGTCTCCGTCACTTCCCACTCTGTGGAGTCAAAACATACACCGTCATGTGATAGACAAAAATCCCATGACTGCAATCATGGAGCAGGAATTCTAACGGTTGCCAGGGTGGGGTGAGGATGTTGTATTTCTTAGTAGGTTGTATATATTATTCTACATTTACATGGTAGAAAATGTGAAATGTGGAGTACAGACCTGTTCAATGTAACTTCTGACTGAATGATGGGTTTCTTGATATAGGCAGTGGAATCAATCCAGGCTGAAGACGAGAGTGCAAAGCTATGCAAGCGCAGGATTGAGCATCTCAAGGAGCACAGCAGTGACCAACCAGCTGCTGCTAACATGTGGAAGAAAAAACGCATGGATCGTATGATGGTGGAGCATCTCTTGCGATGTGGCTATTACAATACAGCTGTAAAGCTGGCCAGGCAAAGTGGTATTGAGGTTGGTATTTGCTGTGATGAAGTACAAAAGGCTGCTTTATTTGGTACTGTCTGGAATCTAGATAGCTATCTGCTCCCCCCTTGGCTACTTTCAGTTATTAGATTGTTATTACTACTGCTTATCTGGAAGACATCACTTTCCTTGAGAAATGAAAGGTTGTCGTGGAGACCTCAAAGGCAATTGTTCAGTGCTGGGGTGCCTGCTGAGTCTTTAAGGCTGGGAGACTAGATCCTGATTTTGGGGGAGGGGGTGATGTTATGGAGGCAGCTTTCTCTTGGGGTCAGGCATGGTAAAGCATGGTAAGCCACAAGGCGGAAGCAAACTCTCTATGTTCACTGCCTTGTGTCATTCCTGTATTGCTGGGGGTTGGACTAGATGTCCCACAGGGTCGCTTCCAACTCTGCAATCCTGCGATCATGCCTCTTCTCTTCCCCCATTCTTCACTCCATATTTGACCCTATGCCTGACGGGGTCAGCTATCGAAAACCAAACATAACCAACAAATGGAAGACTACAGCATATCAAAGAGAGTACTAAGCTTGCGTCTTCCTCTCTGTCCTTCAGTTTCCAAGTACAGGAAGGTTTTATACTGGAGAGAAATTGAACATTTTCCTGGCTTGCAGCTTGAAACTGCAGTTCAGAAAGTATTTGCATATACCATTTTAAGTACCGATGCTGTATCTGACTATGTTTCAGATATAAAATAGTAGCAGCTTCTTACTTGGGCATTGGGAATTCTAAGAAACCAAAAAGAATCTGCAGTTTTGAAAGGCTCATTTTTTCCCCTTTTTTTTATTATTTTTAAAAAAGTGAACCCAGCTTTCTTAAGTGTATACAATTTCACACATCAAAAAGTGGCCTTTTGTCCTGTGAAATGTTGAAATTTGAAAAGCTTGGGAAGTCCATAATCCCAAGAGAGAATGCACAAGCTCCATCTGTCTTCAAAGACTCACCAGCAGTTTTTCAAGCCAGTCCTTCAGAAATCTGCATTGGCATTTTTAGCTATTGAGCAGAGGAACTAGCACGAATTGTAACATCTTTAACATTATGTCATTAAGGGGGTGGAATGTATTCTCGCTCACTGGCAATTTGATTACCTTCCCAAATAGTGTATTTCTTGTCCAGGTGTGGCTGTTTGTCATAGGTGGTGAAGAATTGGGATCCATTTGTATTTGGACCATTATTTGCCATGGAAACAATTCCATGAACACTGTGTTTTAAGTATCCACTCTATTCATCTTCAAATCTTATGCCCCAAAAGCTCTTTCCTCCTTTTCTTTTAAACAAAATTTTAATGGTTTTTATACAAATACAAGAACCATTCAACACTTATCCAGCAGTACATCTAATGGTGTCAGTTTCATCCATATCCCCAGATATACGCTTACAAATTCAACATTCAAACAAATTATTTAACGTAACCTCTCCACTGAGAATATTGAGTGATTGGTACAAGGTCTTGATTTTGGTTAATAACATAGTTCCTCCTTTTCCAGAACCTGTTGGATCTTTGGTCTGCGCCATAAATCCTTTGATATTCCAGTGAAAAAATACAGCCATTGTAGTAGTTACTTGTGCAGAGTGCCAGAAATTTTTCACAAGCCTGGGGTGCTTTTCCACAGAATAGCTCTCTTTTAATTTATCCCACATCTGTATGTAGGGTCACAGTCATCTTTGCTGACTAGGAATGCAGAGCATATCAGTCAGAAGGGGCAACACCATTTGAATCTTTCAGGATTTCACAGCTCTAAAAAGGTGGGGATGGGACTACAGGCAGCCTTACCATTCCTTTGCTCCTTTTTGAAAGGCTCATTCTGCCATCTTGATTCAGTATGGAATCCAATTATATCCACTTAGACAAAAACCTGCTTCTTGGTCTCAGAAATCATCATGCAAAAATTTGGTTTCAATATCATAGGAGTCCAAATGCATAGAAAACGAATAAGTTTCCAAAATACACTGTATATGTAAAAATTCTCATACAGTGTCGACAGCCCCAAGGACAAAGAAGGGGAAGAGTTGAAAAGTGCTCTCAAAGAAGAGATCTCTAAACCTCATTACTGTTTATCTTTAATTTTTCTTTAAGCAGTAACTATATTACAGTACTCGTATTAATAACTTGTTTGTTGCACCTGTAGTATCTTATAGCTTAATTATTTCAAACCTTCTGCTACTGAAGACACTCTGGAGAATAATCCAAAGTCTTTAATCTTACGATTGACATTCTTCTAGTTTACAAAATTTCTCTTCTTTGGTGAACAGTTGTGGAGTTGAGATTTTGTATGGTCCTCTAGACACAGGTCAGGACTTGAAGGTAAAGTGCCCCAAACTTGCCAGAAGCAGGGTTATTTTTTCATGCAATGAAAAGATGCTTTTGGCATTAAGAAATGCACATTGTATTGTGTAATTTGCAGTGCTTGACTTCAAATCACACATCTTTGCCTCTGTTTGTTCTTCTGTATAGGAAAGCAGACTAACTCATCATGTTTGATAGAGAGGCAGGGGTCCATTTTGTTTGGATATAGACTTCCGTATGTTTGTATTGAATTCCAGTATTTTAAATCAGGTTATTTTAAAAAGGAAATACTTTAAAGCTTGGAACCAGAGCACTGCACAACTAGTTCCACATGTTCAGGGAACTTTAGCTATGTTTCTCGAACAGCAGCCCCCCACCACTGTACATGGCAAACATTCTTTGACACTGAAGAAGTTTTAAAAAGCAGTTCGTGACAGATTATTGGGGCCTATTCCTCAAAGGAAAAAGCTAAGATTCCCTAGACACACCCAAGCCCTTGAGTGTACTTAAAATAGCTCTTCAGATTTTGCCCAGTATAAATGTTTTATTTTTTTATTTCATAGACATTGACTAGGATTTGGATAAAAATCTTCCTTCATTAAGGAAAAGGAGTTTGACTGTCCTTATATTGGTGCTCTGCAAATCCCTCCCTTGTCCCCACAAAAAGGAAAAACCTCAATGTTTGGGTCATCTTGAAAAGCTTATTAGTTATCTTAACGAAAGCTGTATATGGTGTCATTCTTCTGGCTCTGGTGAGTAACTACCTCGTCTCATTTTTTCTTTCCCTCTCCCACCCTCCTATCTCTGTTTAGGATCTGGTAAATATTGAGATGTTCCTGACTGCCAAAGAAGTAGAAGAATCCTTGGAAAGACAAGAAACGATGACTTGCTTAGCTTGGTGTCATGATAACAAATCTAGGCTCAGGAAGATGAAGGTATGCAAACTGGATGATGCTTTAATTTAATGTAACCTTTATAGGTTGCAAAAAAATTATGCCTGAATGAGCAGAGGTGAATGGATAAACAATAATCACTACCACCAGGAAATGTATTGGTTAAAAATGCATTTAATGTAATCTAGCTTGATTCTTAGAAGTTGTCCCATGTGGTGAAGCTGTATCATGGGCAAAATTTGTTTCCAGTTAATTAAAGTATACTTACTAAATTACCTTTACCTAACAAAACAAGTTTTATAAATCTTGTGTGTAAAAATAACTTGGGCAAGTATATGGAGAAGTACAGGGCTTACATAGCTACAATTTTGTATTCTACTGAGAAGTTTCTATAAGCAAAGCTCAAGTTTTATAGTAGGAAAATTGAATTGGGTGTGAACAGATGTAATTTCATATTGGGGAAAGGTGCCTTTGGTAAACGTTCAGCGTAACCACATGCAGTTACATTTCCTTGCTTTAAAATAATTATAGTGCTTTAAAAAGTGTTGAGTGCACTTAACATAGGTAATCCTTGTTTTTACAGCATTCCTCTAAGGTAAGTCAACATTATCTACACATTGCAGATAGGCACGCCACTGTCTACTTCAGCTCCCTAAGGCCACCTAAGGAGTTCTTGGCAGAGACGATGATTGAAACCAGGTACCTCTTGATCCATGGCTGCGTCTTAGCCAGAAGTGGTGTGTGTGGTGCTGCAGAGCCAAGATCCCGGTACCGGCATCCCTGTTGTTTACCTGGATGGGAATGTGGCGAGGCAGTTTTACCAGTGAGGCTGCTGGTGTTCACACACAGCCTCCACTCCGTCCCAGCACCATCTAGGTAAAAAGTAGCAATGCTAAGTTAGCAGGGCGGCTCTGCCCCACCACATGCTGGTGTGGTGTAAAGCAAACATTGGTACTTGCCATGATAAGTTCTTTCTCTGTAGAGGAGGAAAAGGATCCTGTGTGGGTTGTCACCGCCCACCTCTCCACTGGCAGAAAGTCAAATTTTTGAGGGGGTACACCTGGTGGGCAGGGCACCCCCCCCAGTCAATTCAACTTCCTGCTAGCTCCACTGAAGGTCGCTCTTGCCAGGAGCTCCAAGCACTGCAAAAGAGAGAAGGTGGGAACACCATTTTGAAAGGCATTTTCCTTTGATCTTTTGTTTGCTTTGTTCCTGGATCATCTTTCTACTCCCGCTCCTCTTCTGCCTGCCTCTTTTTCACTCACTCCTAGCACCATCGATCTCTTCTTCCTTCAGGTATCCCTTTTCTTTGGCCTTTCAGGCCTACAGCCCTTGGAGGCTTCTGGACCTTCCATGGTGGGGAGAAAGTTTCAGAAAGGGGTGAAAAGCGACGGAAGGGCTTTTTGCCCAGGAGGAGAGCTGCTTAGGAGGATGGTGCTCTCTGTGGACTCATCAGAAGAGTCGTTGGGATCCCGGGCAGGGCAGACAATGGACATCGTAGCCTGGACCAAGGGCTCTGCCTCAACACCTTTGGCAGACAAGTAGCAGCCTTGGGCTCAGTGTTTAGGTCAGCAGGAGCCCCTCTGAGTTCCTTCTCCTTGGTCAAATGCTTCTTGGCAGTGCTGCTAATACTGCCCTGGGATCTTTGGGTGAAGGGTGGTATACTACTACTCCTACTACTACTAAAGTGCACAGGTTCCCCACCTAGGACCTCCATATGGTACTGAAGGTGCTCACTGGTCTCCCCCACCCCTTTGAGCACCTGCAGATGGTACCTCTGAAGTTCCTGAGCTGCAAGGCTCTCTTCCTAGCGGCTATCACCTCAGCCCGGCAGGTATTGTAGATTGCAGCCCTTTCTGTCCACAAGGAGTTATGTATTATTCCGAAGGAGTCTGCCACACTGTGATTAGACCTTCATCCCAAAGGTTAACTCCAACCTCCACAAGGCTCAAGAGATGGTCCTCCCTTCCTTCTGCTCAAAGCCCAGGTCCGCTAGGGAGAAGGAATGATACTCTCTAGATGTGTGCAGGCCCATCAGGATCTAGTTCAGGTGCACAGTGGAATTCCACCTATCAGAATTCATGTTTGTTTCCTTCCAGTCCAGATCCAAGGGACACAAGGCCTCCCCAGCGATATTAGCATGATGGATAAAGGCCTGCATCACCAGGAGCTGTGATGGGTTCCCAGAGGGGGGACGGGCTCCTTCGGGTATCACAGCCCATTTCCACCAGGAGCGCAACCGCCTCAGCGGTATTTCGGACCCAAGCCCCTCTGGGTGACATATACAGGGCAGCCATCTGGTTCTCATGTCCCACCTTCATGAGGCATTACTAGCTAAACATTTACAACTCAGCCAAGGCTGCCTTTGGGAAATGAGTGCTTCAGTAGGTAGGAAACACCATTACCCACAGTTGCCCAGTCTGGTAATTGCTGAGATATCCCACACAGGATCCCCTCCTGCTACTAAAAGAAAAGTACCGTATTTTTTGCTCTATAAGACTCACTTTTCCCCTCCTAAAAAGTAAGGGGAAATGTGTGTGCGTCTTATGGAGCAAATGCAGGCTGTGCAGCTATCCTAGAAGCCAGAACAGCAAGAGGCATTGCTGCTTTCACTGCGCAGTGATCCCTCTTGCTGTTCCGGCTTCTGAGATTCAGAATATTTTTTTTCTTGTTTTCCTCCTCCAAAAACTAGGTGCGTCTTGTGGTCTGGTGCGTCTTATAGAGCGAAAAATACGGTAAATGTTGGTACTTACTGTGTTAAGTTCCTTCTCTGTAGGGAGGAAGGGGATCCAGCCTTCCAGGTGACCACTGTGGGGGGGAGGCCATTGGACACAAAGAGCTTAGGGTCGCCCGGTGGTTTGGGGCCCCCCACCACCAATGTTCAGGGGCCTCTTCTCCCTCTCCCTCCACCCCGGTTTTCCCTTCACTTATTCTTTAGCCCATACCATTCTTCTCCTCTTCTCCTGGGCTGCCTTACAGGGGTCATTAGAACCTCTTGGGACTGGGCCTCAGGAACAGAGTGGTATATCCCACTGTGGGACAGCTGAGTTCCTTTCTCCTAACAAGTTGTGTTCCTTTTCCTTCCTGTCCTGTTAAGTTGTTTAATTTTTGGCTATACAGTTACTTGCTTAAGCACGAATTGAACTGGTGAGGGGGTTTCCCCGCCCACCAGGCGTGCCCTCTCAAAAGTGTGACTTCCTGCCAGTGGAGACGTGGGCAGTGACAACCCACATGGGATCCCCTTTCTCTCTCCAGAGAAGGAACTTACCATGGTAAGTGCCAACATTTGCTTTGCCACACCAGCTCTTTGTTTTGCAAATTCTCGGTACAGTCTAGTTGCATGCAGAAACCTTACTGCCCAAGGTCCTGTCGACTTTGGCAGTATAGGATTTCAGTGGCATACAATCGTTACGTAATGTTTTATTGAAAAAGGTTTACTACAAGATAAGCCGAAGAGAGCAGAATATGAATGTGTAGTGTCCTTTAAATTCATAGGGGGAGGGGACCTCTTTATAGTGCAGTATGCAGTTAACTATAGTGCAGCCCACTCCCCAAGTATAAAATTGCAGGATATGTGATCCTGAAGCTGTAACTTGCCTCAGTGGTTGAAGGAGGAGAGCTGCCATAGCAGTACAGACATGTGATAATGTCTGGTGCAGTGCAAGTTGTAGCATTTATGCATAAATACACACGTTGCTAAAATGGGACGCGGGTGGCGCTGTGGGTTAAACCACAGAACCTAGGACTTGCCGATCAGAAGGTCGGCGGTTTGAATCCCCGCGACGGGGTGAGCTCCCGTTGCTCGGTCCCTGCTCCTGCCAACCTAGCAGTTCGAAAGCACGTCAAAGTGCAAGTAGATAAATAGGTACCACTCCAGTTGGAAGGTAAACGGCGTTTCCGTGCACTGCTCTGGTTCGCCAGAAGCGGCTTAGTCATGCTGGCCACATGACCCGGAAGCTGTACGCCAGCTCCCTCCGCCAATAAAGCGAGATGAGTGCCGCAACCCCAGAGTCGTCCGCGACTGGACCCAATGGTCAGGGGTCCCTTTACCTTTTTACACACGTTGCAGTGTGTTCCTTAACTCTTCCTTCTGCAACTTGGTGCCCTTCAGATGTTTTGTAATGCAACTCCTATCAGCTCCATACAGCATAGTCAGCAGATGGGGCTGGTACAGGTTGTAGTCCAGAACATCTGGAGGGCGTTAGGTTGGGGAAGGGTATTTTAACTCTGCCTTGATGTAAGCAGACTGCAGTTTTAAACTGAAAGAAACTTCAAAAACAGCACCCCTCCACACACACTTACTGATATTTTAAAAAAACTTTAGGCACATGGATAATATTGCAGTGCAGTTGATTAATGATTGTATATAAAAAGAGAACATTAGGATCAGTTTTAAGTGAAGGTTAGTTTTAATACAAGCCCTTCACATTGCAATGAACAAATGTTAAGAGAACTTCAGTACGAAGTAATTTGATCTGTTATCACCAAGTACTGTAAGCATTTAACCTGCGGATGACCTCAGTCCATCTAATCCCCCCGCCCCCCGCCGATGAACAAATGCCTTTAGATTTTCTTTAAATTTTATTAAGTAGTGTGGAATAATAACTTATTCCTGTTCAAAGAGGTGTCATTGAAAGATGCAGATCCTCCTATTTCTGATTGTTGCTTCTCAGAAAGTATTTTCAGTTACGGCACAAAATTCAAATTTAAAATGCAGATAGGTAACACTGGCTAGAAATCAGACCTTAGTCATAGTAACAGGATTTTTAATAGCATTCAATTCTGAGGTGCAAATAGATTTGTTTTTATGCAACTCAAACCTATATTATTATATTATATTATATTATATTATATTATATTATATTATATTATATTGTAATCTAGTGGCACATCATTATTGACATAAACACCAACAAATAGAACTGCATACACCTTAATCCTAAATATATTAACTCAAAACTCCTATTGATTTCAGTGTAACATAATGTAAAGTAAGTATGTCTAAGATCACGGGTTAAATGTGGCCACATCTAAGACCCTGTCTTTTCTTTAATCTTAGAGCTGTCTGGAGTTCAGCCTAAGGATTCAGGAGTTCATTGAACTTATTCGACAGAACAAGAGACTGGATGCTGTCAGGTATGGAAATAGGATGTGCAGAATTTTGTACTGGTTATAATCCTCAATTTCTACATTCCAGTCAAGAGTCTCATCCCACTAGGTCTCAGTGATGCCTATTAGACCATATTTGCTCAAAATAGTTTTGTTTGGTTCCTATACCCTGTGCGTTAATATAGATACAAGTCATTCCTTCCAGCTGCTTCCTCCTTGTAGTTTCCTGCCCTTTAGCAGGTTTCTGGAGCACAACCTCAGTTTCATGTGTGTCAGTGAAGCTATTACCCCAGTACCAAGTGCTCCCGTCGACCAACTATTGTCCTCTTTCCCCATAGGATTTAGTTTAAAGCACTCCTGATCGGGTTTGTGAGACTCTTAGCAAACATATTCTTGCCAACCACTTTGAGGTGCAACACATCTCTTTCCAGAAATCCTTCCTTAAGGAAGCAGAGACCATGATCCAAGAAGCTAAACTTTTCCAAACCTAAACTGGAAATATTAGACAGCTAGAAAGGCCTTTGCTGCATGATATGTTAAGACTTGCCATCCTATTTTTCTGCTAGGGACAGTGTTGGTGTTAGTAGTGTTGTAGATGGTAGGATAATGTAATGGCGATGAGGTAGAAATAAGTTCCATCATAGAACATGATGTCAAAGAAGGTGTCAGATACTACACTTGAACACCATTGGGCTAGTGATTAACTATCCCAAGTTACTCAAACTGATGAGGATCAATATTTTTCCCTTCTCAATTGTATCTCAAGTTGCAGATTGATTTAAATACGATAAAAGTAAACTGGGGGAACCATTGAGAATTGATCCAGTCTCTATCATCACTTTTCCCTCTTTGCCATTTGTTGGTGTTGTGCGATATAACCCTTGGAGCTTTGATATGAATGTGTAGAGTTCAGTTTGCATGATGAGTCATCGAATAGGCACAATACAGTAGACTATTAGGAGGAGCCATTAGAATATGTGACTTTTCTAGCTGCAAGCCAGCAGGTAAAATGAATTTGCTCAGATAACCTTAGCTAAACACCTATCAGGCCTTGTACTGAGGGACTCCTGCTTTTTGGAGTTAGATAAACGACTCACTGTGTATTAGTGTAACTCGGTATTCTTAGATTTTTTGTGTTTTTTTCTTTAGACCATTTTAGAGCTGTTGTACAGCACCATTACTGCTTTGTCAAACTGACATGTTGTGTCTCTAAACTAATGCCTTAAAATACAGGCAACTCTCAACTTACATGGTGGTATGTTCCAGGGATAGTGTGTAAAAACCAAAACACATTTTGTTCAGTTGCAGTTGGGATTGCCCAAAGTCTTTCTTCCCAGATACCCACCCTCTTTCTGCCCTCTTTAAAAATATTTTTTAAATGCCAATAAAGTCGAATGTGTGCAAGTTAAATGCGCCTATGTTGTGAGTTACCTGTATTCAGCAAATTTTTGTTTTTCTTACTCAACACCATCTTATCCCAGGACAAGGGGTGCTGCAAGGAAGGAGACTGACGACATACTAGCTGTATTGGTCACACAGAATCAAAAGCAGAGGTTGTGAGATGATTGCATTGAATGGACCAGCTGATGTTCCGAATGCCAGAACTCTTCTTCTGGCACCTGGTTGTTGCCACAACAGCAATTCTTGCTGTTCTGCAACAACGGACTTGACAGCATGTTGGTCCTCATCAGCCCTAACACTGCTACATGAAAATCAAAAGTGTTTCCACACCATTCTTGCTATGGTGGTGACATTGTAGATGAGGGGTGCACACACCCCTCAGTCTCTTGACAATGTTTAGCACTATATTTGAATCAGACACTCCCCAGGACTTGCAACAAAAATTGTGTTTTGATGGATGATCACGGCTCATTGGATTTTCTTCTGGAATAAACTTTGTGGCTCAGACATGTAGTACTTTCATAGATAAGAGAGAAAACTTCCTGGGGTTGTAAGATTTGCTTCGAAAAATGTTTCTCTTTGCAGGTAAGGGTTGGTACTTCTTAAAAAGAACATAAAGCAAACATTGAGATGCTGAGGATGCAAGCAGAGTAATTTTGCGTTCTGAATTTCAGACATGCAAGGAAGCATTTCAGCCAGGCTGAAGGAAATCAACTGGACGAGGTACGACAGGTGATGGGAATGTTGGCCTTCCCTTCAGATACTCATATCTCTCCTTACAAGGTATGTGTCAATTTAATGAAGCTAAAAAGATGGGCAGAGGATTTTTTTCTTTTTTCGCAGTGTACTGATGCGCTAACGCTTACTGACTCTAAATTGATGCCCATTATTAAATATTGAGGATTTCAAACATGCATTTAACCCGCTTGTTGCTATTGGCAAAACGTTCTGTTAATCTGCTTCTCGATATTGACAGCTGGGAACGGTTGTGATTCCCCGCTGGTCTATTTGAAAGTATTAAAACTGAGATGCACAAAAAAATTCCAGGTTCAACTGGTTGCAGTACATACCATATTTTTCGCTCTATAACACGCACCAGACCATAACACGCACGTAGTTTTTAGAGGAGGAAAACAAGAAAAAAAATATTCTAAACGAAATAGTGGATATATGATTTTTGTGGTTCATGCTGTGGCCACAGACATGTGATCTGACAGTGAGTTTGGAGTAGCCCAATGCAAAAATCCTGAGGATCCATGTGGATCCATGCTTTGTAACCACGGAGGAGGGAAGGAAGGGGAACCATGGATCCTCTGCTCACGACTGCAGCAGATCCCCCCCGTCACCCGCAGGCATTCGCTCTATAACACGCACAGACATTTTCCCTTACTTTCTAGGAGGAAAAAAGTGAGTGTTATGGTGCAAAAAATACGGTAATTACATTCCCAATACTCAGAAACTATTGAAATATCACAGTCTGCCTTTTGCTTTTTGTGTCTCTGTGTTCCCCCCACAGGATCTTCTGGACCCTGCCCGGTGGAGGATGCTAATCCAGCAGTTTAGATATGATAACTACAGGCTGCATCAGCTGGGGAACAACTCTGTCTTTACTATAACACTCCAGGCCGGGCTTTCAGCTATAAAAACACCGTATCCTTCAGTGCATCACAGTGGGGTGCTGAAACTTGGTCCTTAAAAATTCAGTTTTTTGTAGACTACCTGTTTCTTGAGCTGCGTTTGGCCAATTTATGTCCAAATTTAAGACATACGTTTATGCCTTGAATAATTTTTTTAAAAAAACGGAGCAGCCATCTTTCATTGTTTGTGTTTTCCAAAATGCAGATTGCACGACACACAGGCTCTTAATCTTGATATAAATTGGGATTTTATTTAATTTTTTTGTAATATAAGAATTCAGAAAGGACTCATTCATTTTTACGTCCTTGGTAAAAAAAAAATGAGCAAGCCTGAGCCATTGGGTGTCTTGGCCGCTGTTTTAGTGAGCTGAAAATTTAACAGGTTTAGGAGGCTCAGAAGTATACAAAAATAAAACTTGAAATCAACATCTGCACCTGCAGATCCACTTTCTTCATATAAGCCTAAAAGCCGTCTTCTGTAACAGATGAGTTCTCTGTTCGGTGTTTGTTATTCAAATATGTAATTTATCTATTATCCTTTAACTCACTTTTAAATAGACAATGTTATAAAGAGGATGGCAGTTCCAAAAACCCTGACTGCCCTGTTTGTAGCAAATCCCTAAATAAGCTGGCTCAGCCTCTGCCAATGGCACATTGTGCCAACTCCCGACTAGTCTGCAAGATTTCAGGAGATGTGATGAATGAAAATAATCCTCCCATGATGCTTCCAAATGGATATGTGTATGGATACAATGTAAGTGTTTTTCCATAGATGTTTCAAACTATTGTGATATACTGTATGTGGCTTCCTAAAACAGGTAATGGCGTTAAATTTGTTTGGAAATAATAATAGTAATAATTTATTTGTACCCCGCCCATCTGGCTGGGTTTCCCCAGCCTCTCTGGGCGGCTTCCAACAAAGATTAAAAATGCATTAAAATATCACACATTAAAAACTTTCCTGAACAGGGCTGCCTTCAGATGTCTTCTAAATGTCAGGTAGTTGTTTATCTCTTTGACATCTGATGGGAGGGCGTTCCACACGGTGGGTGCCACTACCGAGAAGGCCCTCTGCCTGGTTCCCTGTAACCTCACTTCTCGCAGTGAGGGAACTGCCAGAAGGCCCTCGGCGCTGGATCTCAGTGTCCAGGCTGAACAATGGGTGTGGAGATGCTCCTTCAGGTATACTGGGCTGAGGCCCTTTAGGGCTTTAAAGGTCAACACCAACACTTTGAATTGTGCTCGGAAACATACTGGGAGCCAATGTAGGAACTTACTGAACCTTCCAACTTTAACTTGTACAGCTTTCTGCTTTGCTGAATTCCACAAAAGCCTTCAATAATTTGCTTAGGCCTTTAATTGAATTCAGCAGAGGACAAAGCTTCAGAAAATTATCTTTGTGGGTTAATGGTAAGAAGTGTAAGACGCTCCCGATGAAATAACTTCTTAATTCTTGAATATGTTGAGCATAATAAAACATTTTGGCACTTTGAGAATTTATTCTCTCTGGGTTTTCTCCTGCATCTAGTTGTCTTTTTGGTTTGGAGCACAGTAATGGGCCTTGAGACCTCAGACTCAATCTAGCCAGCACTGAATGCTGTGATAGGGTGGTTTGTGTGCCTGGCTAAGTGGTGCTCATATGGACTACAGGTGGTTACATTCCCCTTAAGGCAGGCATGGCCAAACTTGGCCCTCCAGCTGTTTTGGGACTACAGTTCCCATCATCCCCGACCACTGGTCCTGTTAGCTAGGGATGATGGGAGTTGTAGTCCCAAAACAACTGGAGGGCCAAGTTTGGCCATGCCTGCCTTAAGGGCTCACATGCAGTTTTGGTCTACTCTTTCATTGTCACTAGAGGCATAAGTAGACTCCGTAGCTCAGAATACCTTTTATTAGCTTAAGCTGAGGCGGACAAAGATAGCTTTGCTACAACTTTTGATACCTGTTAACCTCCTGTTTGGATTGCTGGAATGCATTGTACATGGGGATCCTTTTGAAGATGGCTCAGAAACTTCAGTTTGTCTTGCATCTTCATTTGCTCCAAAATAGAGCAGCAAGCAACTGAGACAGATTGATAATGCTCATACACCAGTGCTTCACCAACTTCACTAGCTTTATAGTCCATTTTCAGGTCCAGTTCAAAGGGTTGTTATGAACCGTTTTAAGCTCTGATTGGCTTTGGTTGACAGTTACCAGAAAGATCACCTTTTCCTACGTGCACCTATTCCAGAACTTAAAATCATCTTTCAATGCCCTTCCCTGGATTCCCATCAAAGGAATCTCAGCACCTGGAAACTCAGGACCTTTACAGTTGTAGGGTGCCCTCCATGGAGAAACTTGCCTGGTGCCTACATTGTGAAACCTTTTCAAAATATTCCCAGGCTTTTTAATATTTATATTTTATTGCTTTTTAGATTCTTATGCTAATGTTAACTTGTTGCAAATTTTTACATGGGTTTGATGCATTTCCTAGTTTTATTCTGTGTTAGCATGTCTCTTACTTGATTTAAACCTTTAAACCACCCAAATAAACTTTATTAGGCAATATATAAATATTGTATATAATAATAAAAAAATCAGTCAAAATAGGATTACGAAAAGGCTGAACAGACATTGGCTAGTGTGTGTATATAGCAGTGTGGAGTCTTGGATTGTGTATAGCTGTTGCCAGCTCTTAAAACTTTGCAGTTAAGATAACAGAAACTGAAGAATGGATAAACACTTTATTTCACTCTGGGACTATCATAATTAATCCCTCTTCTTTTTGTTTCAGTCTTTGCTTTCTGTTCGTCAAGATGATAAAGTAGTTTGCCCAAGAACCAAAGAAGTCTTCAACTTCTCACAAGCTGAGAAGGTCTACATTATGTAATTCCCTCGTACATACAATGAAGTGCCGCTGGAATTTGACATAATATATTTTGGCATGACTTGTAGAGAAAGATCTTGAGTGTGGCTAAGAGAGCTGGGGTGGGAATCAGATTGGTTGGTGGCATTTTTTATTGCGACCAAAGATCAATGAACAACAATATACACTCTTAGAAACTGAGGAAGTGTGACTAAAAGGTTGTACTTGGAGGGAACAAATATTGAATGTTTGGATTTTGTTACAGTAATTGGACTTTTCTCAAATAATCATCCAGCAAAAACTCAGCTAAAAAAATGGACAGTTTCACATGAGAAAAAAGTTACAGTGAACCTCAAAGGGCCATTTCACACTTCCAGACCTGTTTTCAACATCACCAATATGTGCCCATGTATGGAAGAACTTATTATTTGAAGGGGCCAAATATGCAAAACTGTGATACATGCACCAGGGAACTGGGGCCAATCACGGCCTCTGAATGTGTGTCGACCTTGTGGCCTCAGGTGTGTGCACGCACACACGTGCATCTCCCCTTCAAATGTGGTTGTCAGCATGAGACACATAAACTGGAAATAGATTTGCAATGTCAAAAGTGTGATGTAGGTCTGTGTGCTTCCTTTTTCTGTGTTAGCAATTGGCTAAGACCCTTTTGTTTGAAATCCTCTTCCATTCTGCCTTTGAAATGATCCCATGGGCCATAGTAGATGCTTGACGACAACACTAACACAAGGCTGATTTAACTGGATCAGTTAGGAGTTCTTTGAAAAGTACTGCAAGGGTTTATTCTCTTCCAAAAACCCTCCAGACATTGACCATCTTGGGAAGACTGCATAAATACGAAGTAACTGAAAACATTACAGGCACAATGCACTGCTTGTATGTCTGTCCTTCTTCCAGTTGACCATAGTGTTAAAATTCTTCATTTATTAGTTACTATGTGCATAGGATTCAATATCAAACCATTAGTGCTACTGCCTTATTTCTTACTTTGAGAATGTACTCACATAAAGATCAGCTGGTAACCTTAAGTGTTGGGCAAATTTTGAAGATGCCTTGCAGGATTAATTATGTAATTTTAGGGTATTCATTACACAAGAGATTAGTTCAGTTTTAACAGCTGCAAATCACATCCTTATCACTCTCCAAATAAAACCATTGTAGTTGGAAAAAACCATATGGTAGAAGTTTGTATTTAGCATTTATTTTTGCATGTTGATGTTGATTAGCTAATAAAGACTGTAAACACAAACCCTTTTATAATCATTGTTTCTTTTCCTTAGTTGACAGTGGAATGTTAATTTGTTCTTGAAACTAGGAATTGGTGCGGGGAGTTAACCTTCACTACTAAAATGGTCACATTACAGATATTTTACCTAATACTGGTGACAACTCAGTATTTTCTGGATACTTGTCTGATTATTGGATTATACAGATACTGTATTTTTGAAAACTGAACAGCTATCAATAAGTAAAGGGACAGATGTTGTGCTCATCTCTTCTAAACACTTGATCCAGTACACCTTCAAAATTCTGGGAAGGGTGAGGAATTGGCTAGGAGATACATTTAGATGTGGAACTGGGATACTCACATGATCACAAAATTAAATACAGAATCTATGTTTCTAAGTGAAAGACTAATGTAGGGAGACTTGATTTTCTAATTATCATAGACAAGCAGTGATTTAAACAAATAGAACACACTTGATGCAGCTTTGATTTTTAGCTTTAATATTTGGCTGCAGCTTGTGATTTGTCTCAAGTCAGACAAGCCAGAAGCCCAGATCTGAATGTAACCCTAAGCCAGAAAACACTCATGAAAAATGGCTGAGTTAAACAGTTTTGAAATTTATAGCATTCAAAGGTCCAAGTCTTGTGTTTACAAATGCTGGTCACCCAAAACTTAGCTGAAATCTTTCTTTTTGGCAATTCAGATGGTTGAAGTCACGGGTATTGCAATGCTATGCATTTGGCTGTTTTGGTGAAAATTCATTATTTCAACACTTTTCAAGTTTCAAGATTTTAAATTTCCCATTTTAAACCTGTTAATTAAAAACAAGTAGCTCAACTGGTGTTTCTCTGGCAGTGAAGCATCTCTGATAAACATTGTTTCCCCACGGGGGAAACAACATTTGCTGCTGGAGGGAACGGACTGTAGCAATGTAATATTTTACAGAATGAGAAGGGGGACTGCTCCAGGTACATCTGCCTGTGAAAGGGGGCGAAATTCCACAATTTCACTTATCTTGCAGCCTGGCTTCGCTCAATTGCTCTGCATCTCTTGAGATTTATCTGTTATAACAAATCGCAAATCGAGAGATAACAGTTGGCTACATTCTTGTTTTTAAAACACCCAGCTTTGCAGACACACCCCTCTGAGTGAAGGACTACTGGATGACTTAACAGGGCTTTTGAACAAACCTGTGAAGATTATAGGCCATTTTTAATCACCATTATTTCTGTCATAAGCTTGCAAGACCATGTACAAAGTACTTTGAGGTGAGGGAACCTATTGCCCTCCAGTTGTTCCTGGATTAGAGCTCTCATTATCCCTGATGTCTAAAAATATCTGGTGGGCTGCCTATGGCATAGCTGTCAACTTTTCCCTTTTCTTGCGAGGAATCCTATTCGGAATAAGGGAATTTCCCTTTAAAAAAGGGAAACGTTGACAGCTATGATCTATGGGCTACCTAACTCTGCCTTCAGAAGTTTTTGCTATTTTTTAAAGAATTAAAGCATTTTAGTGAAGGCACATTGTGTTCCTTGCCCTGAAGGGTCAGGAATTTTAGATTAATCATGCACCAAGAACATAAGGAGAAACTGCAAGTTAAAGGTCTGCTGTTAACCTCAGTGCCATGTAAGTATAAAACATGTATCTTAGTGTATCATAGCAGCTATTTCTTAGAATAGTTGGTGCTATTCAGTTCCACTGCATGCATTTGGGGTAGGTGAAACTGGGAGACAGGAGCCATTCGCCATCTTTTATACTGGTGCAGCAAAGGGAAGGTTTTTGTTTGTCACCAGAGTAAGACTGAATAACTTAAAAGTTCAAGTTTCTTCTTATGAGTTTGGAATTGCAGCATGATTAAGGAGACAATACTCATTTACTGACATGTTGAAATTTCCCCCAGCAGGTATGCTGCAAGACATCTGTGGTTACTTTGGAACCTGAGATGCTTGTTGGGGATAAAACAGGCTGGGTGGCATAGTGTTGTAGTTGAAAAGAAGCAATGAATAGACGATTCAAGATTGCTCTTCTTTGCTTCAGATTGTGTCCACTCAGTGCCAATTTGCAGTGGGGAAAAAAGTGGGTGAAGATTTGTGAACTCTGCTTTATATTCCACTGAAATCCAGGTGAGCATCGTTTAAAGGGGAAGCAGCACTGGTCTTTGATACGCGCCGAAATACAAATAATTTAGCAGCCCCTTCCTGCTCAAAATAGATATGCTCCTCACCGTACACTGCTGAGATGTACCCTTTAAGTTTATTTAAATCTATATTCCACCCTTCCTCCTAAAGGAGCACAGGGTGCCTTTTCAAAATCTGTGCAACAGGATTATTATTTTCGAAACTTGCTTTGATGTTTTTCAATACTGGAACCATCATCGATCACAATGGGCTAGGAATCATGTCTACAACCCCCACATCCCACTCAAATTTTTTTTATTAGTTTTCACAATATTATAAACAAACAAACAAACAAACAAACACACACACAAGACAAAACAAACAAAAATCATAGCCTTATTGAAAATTACAATTATTAACTTTGTTAAGTGACTTCCTCACTTCCCCTTGGTTGAATTTCATTGCATGTCCTTTTAGCGGTTTTCCAAATCCCAATTTTTATGAAATTTAACTTAAACATTAACATCCTTAGATCTTCACCTTATGGAATTAAACATATTAATTCATCACTTAACATAAATAAAATCCTAAACCCATTAAGTATCTGCAAGCTGTTTTCAGTTAGTTTAACTCAGCAAATTTAACTAAATAATCATTAAATTTATTCCACTCTTCCTGATGATACTCCTCCTTCTGGTCACAGACTCTTCCAGTTAGGTTGGCTAGCTCCGAAAAATCCATCATCTTCATCTGCCATTCTTCTATTGTTGGTAATTCTTGGGTTTTCCACTTTTCAGCTAACAAAATACGAGCAGCAGTTGTGGCATACAAAAATAATTTAACATCTTTCTTGGGCAATTCCAAACCTGTTATTCCAAGAAGAAAGGCCTCTGGTTTCTACAACCCCCACATCCCAAGTCATTAGCAGTCCCCACTGCATCAGAGGAAACACCATCTCCCACTGTTTAGTGAATACTTTCTCAATGTTGATGCTCTCCAGAAATGTTGGAGAACAACTTCCATCATCCCCAGCTGGCATGGGAGCCACAGTCTTAACACAATGGAGAACATCAAGGACAAGAAAGTCTGGTTTAACTATCCTGCAAACAAGCATGAGTCAACACAAGAGGATTTCTCTAGCGATGCAATAAGGCAATATAGGGCCAGTACAACGTGAGGTTTCATTGCTGGTCCAGGCACCCCATTCTCCCCATTGGGATTTGGGCCTGAAGGACTGAGGGAAAGTGTGGGAGCAGCAATGGAGAGTAAGTTGAGAGCAAGCACGATTTATGACATTGCGCAACCTGGTTTATACCCTCCAACATTTCCTTGATGAATACAGATGTTCCCTCCAACATTTCTCCAATGAAAATAGGGACATCCTACCATACCCTCCAAACGTCCTCTGATGAAAATAGGGACGTCCTAAGGAAAAGCGGGGCATTCCGGGATCAAATCAGAAACCGGGATGGATTCTGCAAATCTGGGACTGCACCTGTTAAATAGGGATGCTTGGAAGGCCTGCATCATTCTGGATTGTGGGGCATCAGCCTTAGCAACAGAATTATTGATTGGGGGGCACCAGTCTTAGCAACAGAATTATTGATTGGGGGGCATCAGCCTTAGCAACAGAATTCTGGATTGTGGGGCATCAGCCTTAGCAACAGAATTCTGGATTGTGGGGCATCAGCCTTAGCAATAGAATTATTGATTGAGGGGCATCAGCCTTAGCAACAGAATTATTGATTAGGGGGCAACAGAATTCTGGATTGGGGGCACCAGCCTTAGCAACAGAATCATGGATTGTGGGGCAACAGCCTTTGCAACAGAATTATTGATTGGGGGGCACCAGCCTTTGCAACAGAATTATTGATTGGGGGGCAACAGCCTTAGCAACAGAATTATTGATTAGGGGGCACCAGCCTTAGCAACAGAATTCTGGATTAGGGGGCACCAGCCTTAGCAATAGAATTATGGATTAGGGGGCATCAGCCTTAGCAATAGAATGATGGATTAGGGGGCAACAGCCTTAGCAATAGAATTATTGATTAGGGGGCAACAGCCTTAGCAACAGAATTATTGATTAGGGGGCACCAGCCTTAGCAACAGAATTATTGATTAGGGGGCATCAGCCTTAGCAACAGAATTATTGATTAGGGGGCATCAGCCTTAGCAACAGAATTATGGATTGTGGGGCATCAGCCTTAGCAACAGAATTATTGATTAGGGGGCAACAGCCTTAGCAATAGAATTATTGATTAGGGGGGCACCAGCCTTAGCAACAGAATTATTGATTAGGGGGCATCAGCCTTAGCAACAGAATTATTGATTAGGGGGCATCAGCCTTAGCAATGGAATGATTGATTAGGGGGCACCAGCCTTAGCAACAGAATTATTGATTAGGGGGCACCAGCCTTAGCTTCCAACTTCCTGGAACTGGAATTTCTGCAGCAAGGGCAGCCCAAACTGAACGTGCGGCTGTAATCCAGCCTCAAAGTTGCCGAGAAAGGGACGCGACTATCTCCGCCCGGTAACAGCCGCGGCCGGCGAGCCGTGCGAAGCTGAAGCGAAGCCAGCCGGCAGAAGAAGAAGAAGCAGCCCACCGTCCTTCCCGGCGCTCGCCCTCCAGCAGCTCCCAGAAGCCCGGCTGCCTTGAGGCCGCCGCCCCTCCGGACTCCTCCCCGCCTTCCTCTCACGGAACCCGCCCCAGCAGCCTGACGAGCCGGGCAGGCGAGCGAAGGGGGCGGGCTCGGCGGGTGGGAGAGGCCGAGGCCTTCCTCCGGCTCCTTCCGCGGCCTGCGTCTCCCAGCGCAGAAAGCGGCCTTGGGAGGAATGGCCTCCGGACGAGGCGCCGGCGACGCCCGCCCCGCAGGGCAGCGGAGAGCCGCGGCTTCGTTTCCTTAGCAAGGCGTCCTCGGACAGCCGGGTTTTCCCCTTCAGAAATGGACGGCAAGCTGCCTCAGCTGGTGGAGGAGCTCACGACTTCGGGGGAGCCGCGCCTGGACCCCGCCAAGCTCAAGGAGCTGAAGAAGATGTGCAAGTAGGAACCTCTTAATGTAGAATATCCCCCCCTTTATTTATATTATTATTTAATATTTCCATTTAATAATGTGCATGCACATCATTCTTTACTTCCCTGGCTCTTTCGAGCCTATCGACTTCCTTCCCTCCCGCCTCATGGCTTTCAAAATTATTATTATTATTTTTTTTTAATGATATTTATTAAAGTTTCACATAAAGAAAAACACATCAATAAAAAAAGTTTAAAAAGAAAAAGAAAAATACAAAATGCAAAAAGAAAAAAGAAAAAACAGTTAAAAACCATTCCATCTTTTCATCACTACTTTTAGATTTACTTATTTCCTGGGCCTCCTCATACCTCCCTCTTTTGTATTCCAATTCAATTTGTTTGTCCAGCAATTCCTTTCCATGGCTTTCAAAATTAACCTTTACTCTATAATCCTTGCGTTTTGTACGTTTCCCAATTCTAACTGCACACATTGCAGAAGAACTCAAAATTGAAACAAATATAGAATGGTAGGGAAATCCTGATTACAAATGTTCAGGCAACCCCTACTAGCGATGTTAATTGCTTACAATGGTTAATTGCAATTTACTCCAGTCCTTTTGGAATACTTGATCATGCTGCTTTTGGATTTTTCCTGTCAGCTTGGCCAGTTTTGCAAAGTCCATCGTTTTCATCTGGGAACTTTTCCTTCCTCTTCTTTCTTTTTTCCTTTTTGGATATATTTTTATTAAATTTCCAGAAAGTTCACATCATTCCAATACGTTTGTTTTCTTCTTGTCCGCTTCCCATCCCATTTTTCCATGGTGTGTTTTATTCCTCCCCTTTCCTGCACCTTGTCTCCCCTCTTTTATTATCATCACAATAACGCAACAATCTCTCATCCAGTTCTGTTACTTATGGTTCAAACCCTGATCGCAAATTCATCATACTGTAATATTTCTTTAAATGGTCCAAAAAGGGCTTCCCTTCTTTCATAAAGCAATCGTCGTTGAGTTCTCTTATTTTAGCTGTTAAATTTGCCGATTCCACATAGTCCTTCTCTTTACTTATCCATCCTTCTTTGGTGGAAACTTCTTCATCTTTCTGTTTTTGTGCATAAAAAATCCCAGCTGCTGTAAAAAGCAAATTTGGGAACCTTTCTTTTAAAAAGAATTTGTTAAAAAGCAAATCTGGGAATCTTTCTTTTAAAAGCAAATGTTTCCATGGTAAGTTAAGTGTGGAGTAACAATTCGGGAGAATTAGTTTTCTTCTTGTGCCGGGTGTTACTTTAAAAAAAAACAAAAACTTCACTGTTGACGGTACTGTATTTGTTTTCTTGCTAATCATGCTGGCTACTTTTCCAAAGGTCCTCGGATGAGCATATTACTCATGTTTATCACTTGCTGATGACACAGCTGAATCAAGAGCACGCAGAGATACGGCTGTCAGCATTTCAAGTTGTGGATGAACTCTTCACCCGTTCCCATCAGTTTAGGACTTTAATCATTTCAAACTTCCAAGAGTTCTTGGAACTCACAGTGGAAACAGACTATGATCAGCCACTTCCCCCACCGGTGGAAGTGGCACAAAAGCTAAAAAGAGCTGCCATTAAATCTGTACAGGAGTGGCATGAGAAATATGGAGAGGCCTACAAGAAACTTTCACTAGGATTCCATTTCCTAAAACAGAATAAGAAGGTACTTAAATATTCACTTTCATGATTGAATGCTTAGTGGCTTTATACAAATAAAGTGTTGGAAATGTTTAATTCATTGCTAGCAGATGTGAATATATTAAATGTGAACAAAAAAAATATGGTTCTTTATAAATAAGTAGACGAAAGACCCATATTATATTACTTTAAAGTGCTGCTGCACATAGACTGATTGGTAATACTAAAATACTTATTATTTAACAAAGACGACACTGAAAAATGAATTTCCTGCATCAGATGTGTGTTTCTACTGAAAGTTTACATCGTTTAAGTATTTGAAACAAAAAAGGTAAGTATTCTTAAACCGGAACGGCTTAAGAAAATCTGTGTGCCTTCCCATGCACAATCTGTATTAGTATCACCTTGTGCTACTTCTAGTAAGGACTTGCTGTGAGATTTGCCCTAAGCTTCTGAGAAGAAGCTTTTATTGTTAGCTCAAAAACAGATGCTTAAGAAATATCTGAAAGTATTATTTTGTGCAGTCTGTTCCTTTCAGATGTTGACCACCCAAGAAAATTTGCCTTGACATGCACGATACGTTTTCAGCAACGGCAAAAATAATGAAACATATTTTACAATTCTGTAGGTAGATTTTCAAGATACAAATGCCAGAACTCTAGCAGAAAGGAAGAGAGATGAAGAGAAACAAAAAAGGTTGGATAATATTTACAAGGAAAAAGCCAAAAAAGCCAAGAGGGAAATGGCAGGTGAGTGCGGTTTAGTGTCTTAATGGGTGGTTCATTAGTTCTAATTTCATTTGAAGATGTCAATACAGTCGTACCTTGGAAGTCGAACGCAATCCATTCCGGAAGTTTGTTTGACTTCCAAAATGTTCAGGAACCAAGGTGCGGCTTCCGATTGGCTGCAGGAAGCACAAACTGGAACAATCACTTCCGGGTTTGTGGTATTCAGGAGCCAAAATGTTCATCTCGTAAGGTGTTTGACTTTCGAGGTTCGACTGTACTAGTAATTTTAATAAGAAAAGTACTTATTTATTTATATTATTATTACGTATTAAATTGGTATATCGCCCTTCATCCATAGATATCAGGGCGGTTCACATAATAAAAATACAAGATAAAAAACAATACATATGAAAACATTTATATAGTGCTATTGTTATGAAAGAGTTTCATAGGCAAAAAGTAGACTAAACTCTGTCCCAAAATAACTTCTGTGGGAACAAACTTATTTTAGTGTATGTGATATTTCTGTATTTTTATGGCAGTATTTTAAAACTACCACCACTTGACAGATATGTCACAAGAAATCGAAGCTGTGCTGACTGAGATGGAGAATTGTTTTCAGCTTCTGATGCCGGATCCCTTTGACTTCATGGCAAATGACACGGAAACAGTCAACTGGAGGACAGCTGAACTGGACAAAACTGTTTCCTGCTCTTCTGTGGAGAGGGCAGCTCAACAGGCACATGACGATAATGAGCAGCCTTGCTGCAGCAAGGACCTTCCTTCCATCTCTCTGGTTCCGAAAGCTGGTAACAAAAAAGACTTGAATAGCGAAATGGAGGAGAATGGAGGCATGGAAGACTCTTTAAATTCTGAATTGACTTCTGCTGCTGCCAGTGGAGAAGATGACTATGCCACCTTTGTTCGGAGCCATGGTCTTGGATCTCATAAATACAGTCTCAATCTTGAAATAGCCACAGGTATTGGGATTCTGTGGAACGTAATCATTAATTACGATACACTGCTTTTAATTAAAGTTTAAATGATCATCTTCACTTGTCAGCTAATAACCAAGTATTTAGAATCTGTTATAAGTACAGTCATACCTCGGGTTGAAGTAGCTTCAAGTTAAGTATTTTTGGGTTGCGCTCTGCGGCGACCCGGAAGTAACGGAGCGCGTTACTTCCGGGTTTCGCCGCTTGCGCATGCATAGACGCTCAAAATGACGTCATGCGCAGAAACGCGACACGCACAGACGCGTGTTACATTTACTTCAGGATGCGAACAGGGCTCCGGAACAGATCCCGTTCGTATCCAGAGGTACCACTGCATGTTGCCGTTCCTGGGTGGAAAATATATTTCTCCTGGCCTGCTTTCCTCTGGCTGTTGATTTTTGCGAGTAGGGCTTGAAAAAAAGGTTGGAAGTCACAGATTTCAAATTAAGACCTATCAAGAGATCATTCGGCCTTTTTTCTACTGTTTTTCAGTAGCTTCCTTATTTCAAGTGTCTAGTCATAGCAGAATAGGTCATAGCATAGCACCATAGCATGAGTGTCTACATCGTATTGCTTTTTAAAAAAATATCTGCTGCTGTTTTCTTTGTTGTTTTTTGTTGTTTACTGTACTTTGTACATTGCCTTGAGAAATGTGTGGAAGGTGATGTATTAGTATTACTAATAGTTATTTAAGCATCTGGTTACTCACCAAACTCTTGTGGTGGCAGCCACTGAATTATAAAACCAGATTGGTGGGAGGAGAGATTGTGTGGAGAAATATCCTATTGCTTTTCGGCGAACCTACTAAGTTGGAGGCTGCTAAGAGAAGAGAACTATGTATGCCACCTTGAGGTTAGAGGATAGGTGAGATATAAATGTAATCAATAAGTAAATAAATTAATACTGTACCAAAACATTCTGTGAATCTGATATGCATTTGCTCATTGTCTGTTTTTCCCCTGCTAGATGTGAAATTGCAGGAGAATGAAGACAATACAGCTATAATAAATAACGCTACAGACGCTTATAAGCTCATCAGAAACAAATTCATGCCTTCTGTACAGTCATGGATTCAGGTGAGGAAAAACTCTTCCATTGAGAATAAAAATAAATTCTGTATTTTGTTTATTCTCTGTGTGTCAAAATGCTAATATGCTCATGTGGTGTTTTAGTTCCCCTGGGCTCTACACTAACTTCAGCATTCTTGAATTGAAAGCACATTTAGCATTGTTTTTTGTGAACTTGGAGCCTTGCAAACTTATACTGATGTTTTATTTCTGAGCTGTGTTCAGTATTTGAGGGAGGTGTCACACATTCCTTTATTTCCATCTCCTCTGATTTCAACCAAAACTTTCATAATCTCACGCTTTAAAAAGCTTTCATAAATTTCTATTCAAAAAGTTAACCTAGTGGAGAGAAGATTCTGTGTGTGTGCTTTCTTAATGGTGCAGTCAGCGTTATAGTTTCCCTGACAAGTACAGTAATGCTAGTTAAGGCAGAAAATGGACATTTATTGTAATCCTTGGTACTAGGATCTTAATCAGATGCAACAGGAAAATCTAGCCAGTCATTGTTCTTTTGGATTGGGAAAAGTAAGCACTGGTGGTAAGACAGAGTTACTTGGCTCCTACTCTGTTGTACAGTGGTGCCTCGCAAGACGAAATTAATCCGTTCCGCGAGTCTCTTCGTCTTGCGGTTTTTTCGTCTTGCGAAGCACGGCTATTAGCGGCTTAACGGCTATTAACGGCTTAGCGGCTTTAAGAAAAGGCACACACTCGCAAGAACTCGCAAGACGTTTCGTCTTGCGAAGCAAGCCCATAGGGAAATTCGTCTTGCGGAACGACTCAAAAAACGGAAAGCTCTTTCGTGTTGCGAGGCATTCGTCTTGCGAGGCATTCGTCTTGCGAGGTACCACTGTATTTTGATTGAAGAGAATAGGGTTTGGGTGGTTTCCAGGATGCTTGTAATATAGTTAATCTTAGGTAAGCCTTTCCTTTCTAAAAATTCTTGATATCAGAATACTTCTGCTTTGGAAATCACTGTTGGAGGACTGGCATTACATAGAATCAGAACTGCAGAGTTGGAAGAGACCTCAGGGGTCATTTAGTCCAACCCTACAATCCAAGAACCCCAACTAGAGCATAGATGACATATGGCCATCTAACCTCTGCATAAAAAACCTCCAATGAAGGAGAATACACAACCTCTTGTGGGAGTCTGCTCCGCTGGTGAACAGCTCTTACTGTCATAAAGTACTTCCTAATGTTTAACTGGAATCTCATTTCTTGTAACTTGAAGACATTGGTTTGCCTTTTCATCTGCAGCACTTTAGATATTTGAAGGTGGCTGTTATATCACATCTCAGTCTCAGTCTCAGCAACTTCCTCAACCGTTTCTCATAAGACTTAGTTTCCAGACCCTTTATCATCTTGATCACTCTCTTCTGCACATGTTCAGACTTGTCAATATCCTTCTTAAATTGTGGTGCCCAGCACTGAACACATGACTCCAGGTGTGGTTTGACCAAAGCAGAATAGAGTGGTACTATTACTTTCCTTGACCTGGACACTAGACTTCTGCTGATGAAGCCTAGAATAACATTAGCTTTCTCCCTGCTGCATCACACTGTTGACTTACGTTCAACTTGTGGTCTATTAAGACCCCTAGATTCTTTTCACATGTACTACTGGCAAGCCAGGTGTCCCCCATCCTATATTTCTGCAGCTGGTTCTTCCTGCCTAAGTGCAGAACCTTACATTTGTCCCTACTGAAATTCATTTTGTGAGTTTGGGCCCAGTTCTCCAATCAGTTAAGGTCATCTTGAATCCCAGTTCTGTCTTCTGCAGCATTAGCTACCCCTCCCAGTTAGGAGTCATCTGCACATTGGATGAGCATCCCGCCAATATTTTCAGCTAAGCTCACAACATTATAAACAACCAGATCCTACCCCCCCCACACATTATTTACCATCTCATCTAATAAATGTATTTCCCTAATATGAGTTTGGTGGTGACGGTGGCTACCTTTACTTTTTATTAACCAGCGGTGTGTGAAGCTGAATGGCACACAAATTAAATGTGCATAAGTTGCGAGTTATCTGTATTACAAATTCCCATGGCATGCCAAATGTGCATGAAATCTTGGCATGTATTTGAATGCCAAGTCAGCTAATGTTGCGGTTTTTATTTTTTAGTTGTTCACAAGGGCTGGAATAAATGATGAACATCTAAGACAAGCCATTGATCTTAAAAACAAATTGGAGCGTGCCACAGAGAAATGTAAGGAAATGAATATTGGTTTTAAAGACAGGAAGATGACAGTGGTGAGTTAAGTTAAATATTTCTGGTATAGTTTGACCTGAATGTGACCTGAATTTAAAACATAATGTCGCAATATGGCCTCAATATGGCATATTGTAGTCTTGTATATACCTTGGTTATGCGGGGGGGGGGGGGGTGTCCTTTCTAGAGACCAGGATCTTTCATTGTCTTGAACTGTTTGTAACTCATCCCAGAATCACGCTGCAATAAAAGGTGGGATTATAAATTTAACATGCAAATCGTTTTTTTTTAAATCTCTTTAAACTTTTCATAAAACTTAATATCTTTGAACCTTCTTTGTATTAATTATCTAGATTTCTCTCTGAGCTTCATAGTTTGCTATGTCTTTAAATAGCAGAGGATTAGATTTTTCCTTATTGGTTTTGCTAAATTGTATGAATGAAACATTCATGCACAGTAGTAATACAGTAATTAAGCTTTTAACGCAGTATATACTGAACACAGTGGTAACTGAGATGGGGTGAGAGATTCCTGTAGAAAAATCAAAGGGGTCTCATCTTTTTATCAAATTGCTTTTCTTGGGGTAACTGATTTCACTTGTCCCCTAAAGCTTCCAGTGTTGAGTACTTTCACACATCAAAAAATCAACCATGCATTAGTCCTAGTCAACATGCAGTATAGTTTAGTCTTTTTGTGGAGGTTTTCCCATAGCGTGAACTCTTAAAAAATGATGTTCCATGATCATTAAAACTTTAATAACTTCTACGTTTGCTTCCACATTTTTGTACCCCCACTCATTATATGGGGGGCCGCAATGCCTAAAGAGGGCTATGGTCAGCCAATTTAGGACCAATTGATCTTGGTCCTAAAACTGAGGAGCTGTTGACACACTAGTCCTCTATGTCTAAAATAAATTTTAAGTCAGTTCTGAGTAACACAGATTAGGCAAGACATAGGAAAGGAGAGCCTATGCGCTTACATCCTGAACATGTGGGTATGGGGGGGGCGGGCGTTGAGCTGTAGTCCTACTTCCCTCTCCCCACCTGTATGGTATACGCATAGAGAGGTACTGTGTAAACGCCTCTTAAGAAAACATAGAAAGCACTAAGTTCTCACTGGCTTATGAAAGAAGTTATGATCTACCCAAAAAATGTTCAGACATTTGAGTCTCCAGCAAAAGGGAATTCGACTGAGGAACCCCTCTTCACATGCAGGACAATACTATTTGTTCACTAGCAAACAGAAACTGCAGAATGAAGGGGTGCAGTTATGACAGTGGTGAAAACAGAACGCGTGTGATGGTGGATCATTCTTGCCATCAGTTGCCCGTACAGTGATGCCACAGAGATCTTTATAAGAACACAGTTGACAAGTCCATATGTTGTAAACAGAGCACTAAGTTCAGGATTCACAAAGGTCTCAGTAGTAGTAGTAATAATAATAATAATAATAATAATAATAATTTATTACTTCTACCCCGCCCATCTGGCTGGGCCTCCCCAGGCACTCTGGGTGGTAAAATGTCACGGCAGATGAAGCGATGCTCATAATTATAGGTTGTCAGTTTGGGCCCTATGCTAAGCCATGGTTAAATTTTCTTAACCATTATCTGTTGAAATGTCTGAATGGAACCTTACCTATCTTTTTAAATTGGCACTGTATATGCCAAAACTGTGTTGGCTCTAGGCCCTTAGATTTATATACAATAAGATTCTGCAAAGGATGATCTGAATGTTTTTTAGGTTGAAGATGTAGCTAAAATTATTTCAGGTGGCCAGTAGAGGGAGCACATCCAGCATGCTGGGAGCTGCTTCTGCCCACATGATTTGAATGTGTTTGTTTGTGGTGAATAGAATATTATAGCTCCCATCAATATTTAAATTGAAAATGCACTCATTTCTAGACAGTACCTTAAATTAGCTGTTCTTAACTAATGTTTTTATCTGTATGTATGGCATGAATCTTTTCCAAAGATCTTCATAAGGCTAAAGTGTTAAATGCAAAATATCTCATAACTGCCTAGTATTTTTTACCTGTGCTACATTTCTCGGTAGTTATGCTTACTTATCATCTAATTCATTTCCAGTGCTTAAAAACACAAAAGAAATTGGCTTTTGTAGCTTAAAATAAAAATAGCAGTATTTCTCTTCCCCTGCCTTAGTTTTGTGAAGGGTATTGTTAAGAGTAATCTTCTTATCAAAAATTGTGTTGTGAAGCATTGATAATCCACAAATTCTGTAAATAACAGCTGAAGAATAGTTTACAAATGAAGGCACACATAAAAAGCTGTCACATGGAATTGACCTGGTGTACACATAATGTTAAACATGTGGTGGGTTCATCCAAAAAAACCCATATGCAGAAGCTCCCCCCACCCCCCCATGCTGACTGTAATAATTGTTGTTGTTATTTAAATTTATATACCACCCTTCATCGAAAGATCTCAGGGTGGTTCTCAGAATAAAATGCAACATAAAAACACAAGTAAATAATTAAAACAAAGCAATGACCCCTCCCCCCTTCTTCCCACAGCCTCATTTAAAAGACTGTAGAATATTAATCTGCCAATTGGCAGAAGCGGAAGATTTGTTTCATCTGGCAAGCTGATATTCAGTAGAGCGGGATGTTGAATTCCACCCATGGTTTATTACCTATAGTTTATTAAACTATATTTTAATGTTACATGAAAGATCTGCAAAGAAATGCACATTTTTACATTTTCCCTCCATATCCACTCACACATGTAGTATAAACTTAGGGGAAATGGCAACTTTTTCCCTGGTCAAGGTATCAGTTAATGTTCATTTGACCAAACTGGTTGCTGTTGGTTTAGTACATAAAAGGGGTGCCACCTATTTTCTGTGAATTCTCTGGGTAACATAGGCTATAACACGAGAATTTCAGGGTTCTTGGGCAGCTCTTTCTCTGACCTTGGGGTGAAATGTGATCTCTAAATTTCAAAGATGCTTTCAGTGCAGGTGTGGCTAGTCCAGCTGTCCTCATCAGTCCCAGCAAAGGTGGAGCAAGGCAAAGGGTGAACCAATGAGACGTCTCTTCTCCCCGCTCCAGTGTAATGTGCAAACTGGCTCTAAGGAATATTGACAGTCTTAGTACAGTACAGGTCAGAAATAAGATGGTACAAGAATGAGTGCAATCAGGGGTGGAAATGAGATTAAAAGGCATTTTAATACATAGGGGGGGGATTGTCTAGGGGTGATTAGAAATGAGGTTGTGTCACTTAATAATTTGGCAAAAGTTACCCTTAATAGTTACCCCTCACTTATTTTGTAATACTCATATGAATAAATTACCGTCCTTCCCCCACAAAACATTCATAGAACTAAGATTGCTAAGATTTGTCTCAGATTTCGAAGCATTTTTTTTTTTTACTACACGGTTCTAAAGGCACCATGTAACTTACTAGCATATTGCATCAGGTACAGCAGAGGAATAATAGCATTATTATAATTCCCAGAGAAAAAATTGTCTTTCTTCTCTGGTCTTTTTTCTCTTTTTTTAGATTTTTAGATTTTTTGTTTATCTTTTGTAAGATGCTTTGAATATTGCTTTTACAGGCCAGTTTTCTGTTATATGCTCAAAATAAGTGATGCTATTATTCTATTAAAATCTGGCTTGCTAGATTGCAGATCAGGCTTTATATCATTGCTATGGAATCATTATCATTATTATTTATATACCACCTCTTCTTCCAAGGAGCTCAAGGTGGTTCTCCTCCCCATTTCATCCCTACAACAATCCTGTGAGGTAGGTTAGGCTAAGAGATGGTGACTGGCCCAAGGTCACACGGTGAGTTTCATGGCTGAGGGGGGATTTGAACCCTGGTCTCCCAGGTCCTAGTCCAACACTCTAACCATTATGCCACCCTGACTCTAGAATGGCCAGGTGAAATACAATTTCACTGCTATGTAGCTGCGTTGAATCACATAGGGGTATTTGGTTAGTAAGTAATACTCGCCTACATCCATACTGGAAAGAGGTTTAAGATGTTCTGAGCATAAAAGCTTTTCCTTGGAAGAAAGCGTGGCACAGCTAAATAGATGCATGAAGGTGGCATTCTGCCCAGGTTTGTAGTTCCTAAGAAGCATCTGTCTTCAAAGCTTGTCTAAGCGCTTGGCAAGTTTACACTGTCTGTATGGGTGGGTACCTTCTTTTGAAGCCTGTGATTTGGCTGTGTTGTATCAGGGAACTAGAATGATTTGTCTGCTTGTAGCACATCATGGCTTGTATTTCACAGGTGGATAATTGCGTCATGTGGATGGGTTTGCATTTGTGGTAGAGGATGGTTCTAGGTGTGCCTTGCACCTTCGTTTCCGTGAACTGGTTGTGTGGTTTTGCTGACATTCTCCACCCATTTTTCACGTAGCATGCTACCTCTGAAAGGGTCAGAGGTCACAGGAAGGGCCAGAGCAGATAGCTCTGTGGGGCTCTGCTGGGCTCTTGGCTCCAGAGGGCTAGCCTTTGTTTGACTCTTAAGCCAGTGGTGCACAGCATTTAATAATGCAGCAAGAGGAAAACAAGGGGTGGTCTTCCCTCATTCTCCAGAGAAAGGGGGCAGCAGGCAAAGGCTGTTTAATCCCAAAAAATAAGCCTTGGCTATAAAAGAACTTGGAGTTACTGTGGCAGTGTCCACTAGAGGGTAGGCAAAGGCAAGAAAAATAAAGCATTTTTTTTTTTTAATTTGGGAGGGGGAGGAATGGAAGTTTCTTCATTCCTAGGTTAGAGTCTTGCTCCCACTGCCCTTTTGCCTTGTGGTCTTGCTCTCTTTCCCAAAGGAGGGAGATTTGCATCTTGGTGCCATCTCAGTCCGTAGCTTTCTGGGGCTGATGACTTTCCTCCTTGCTTGGGTCGCTGCTGAAACCTGTTTCTCTCTACCTAACAGTCTCTAGAAGCTCCTCCTCTGTGAAGGAAACAGGTTCATTTTGACTGCCCCCCCCTCTTCCTTTTTCTTTTGGCTGCAGGTGTTTTTTCTTCAGTGAGGAGAGTGTTGGCCCAGGGAGGAGTTGCCATCTTGGGCAACCTGAATCAAGTTGGGTGAATGGGAGAACTTACAGTACCCCATTACACTGCTCAACTTCGCGGTCCATTTTAGGGAACTAATATTCAGGGTGCAGATCATAGCCCTAACTGCCTTTTACAGCAGATGATTCCCACTGCAGCCTACTTTTAAAGAAAATTAGCAAGATGCTTGTCTCTGTGATGGATAGATTAAAGAAAGAGTCCAGGTATGTTCTCAGTAGAGACCACCCTTCTTTCCCTGTTGGAGATGAGGGGAGAGATCTTGCCTATTACAGTGGTGTCCTCAACTGCTACACTTTTTTTCATAGGAGTAAACAGCAGGGGTTGACTATAATGTACTTGACTAAGTACATTATAGAGGTCCCAACATTCCTATCCTCCTTCTAGCTCAGATCTCAAAACCAGCCTCTTGTCTGTTTCACATTAACCAAAGTTGCCTGCATTCCAGTTCTGGGCAGTCTTCTCTTTCTGACTTAAACGATGTTGTTGGTAATTAAAGCTTGCCAAATCAAAACACTTATGCAACGTAACATGCCTAGGGAAATAATTAGGCAAAGCAACATTTGTGTGAAACAGAATTTCAGGATGTTGCTTAAACATCTTGCTCATCTCAACATGGGTATAGGTGGGTCACTTTTTGCTGGATCGTGCCCGGTCTTCCATGCTAGTCCTACTCAAAATAGACCTATTGAAATTAATGGGCATTACTGACTTAGGCTCGTTAATTTCAGTGGGCCTACTCTTGAGTAGAACTTAATTGGATACAACCTCATTTTTCCTGGTAACATGGATGATCAAGAAAGTTGTAATTTTTTTGTCTGATAAAAATTAGAACCCCACCATAGAACTAACTCATAGCAAAATGGAGGAGGATTAACAATACTTTGTAGTGCTTTGTGTTTAAGCAAGGTAGTGCATACAATACTCCTTTATCTCAGTAAGCAATAAAATTGTTCCCAACAGGATCTTGTTGGACAAATTTGGAGCTACTTAATAGGCTTAATAGGGAAGGAAAGGGAAGGGGAAAGGGAAATACAGTCGTACCTCCGCTTATGTAGCCCTCCGGTTACGTGAACTTCAGGATACGTAAGCGGCAGACCCGGAAGTATATTTCTGGGTTTTTGCCACACGCGCATGTGCAGAAGCGCTCTACTATCAAGTGCGCAGAAGCGGTCTCTCTGGTTGTTCTCTCTGGTTGTGAAAACCTCAGGATCCGGCTGGATGTCCGGAACGGATCCCATCCGCAACCGGAGGTACCACTGTAATGGTCAGACACTGATTTCCCATCGAGAGGAACAAACTCTAGTACCATAAAGCCGACCTGGAAGTTCTGCCACCACCCTTCTCCATACATTTTTGATATATACTACAGGCAAAAACAGATATATGCGCCTCCAATTGATGCACGACTGCACACGTGTGCATCGCAGCAACTTGTTAAGATTTTTTTTTTAAGATTTCAGTTGCATCGCAGCAACTTGGAAGTGGCTGGAAAAGGAGGTGGAACCAGCTTATGGGTGTTTCACTATTGTGCGCGGTGACCCGTAATACAACCCAGGTGCAAATTGGTGGTTGCCTATGCAGATAAAGAGCTCTTCTAAGAGAGCAGTCTTTTAATTTTGTACAAGAAAAGCAGCATACAAATACAGTAGGTAGTATTCTGAATTCACAGCGAATTCCTAGCCCAGTGTTTTACTGCAGTTTTAAGAAAGAGAAAAGCAAATTGTTTACAGATTGGTTAATGTGACATTTACATTTATGATTTAACAGGTGTAGAAGTTGTAAAAATCTCATTTCCAGTAAGGTACCTTGTTTTGCCCTATATTGTCAGTCATTCCAAAAGGCTTTTATACTCTGCTAATGAACACTACGTGATTTGGTTACACAAATTGTAGTTTTCCTTCATTTAAGATGACTTGACTATATTTTACATCATGGCTGAATTCAAAATGCATTCACATAAAGTTGCCCATATAAATTGGTTCCACTGCAGTAAGTATTAATTCCTTGGCAAAAAAAATTCCCCCTCTCCTCTTGGAAAAAATATTTAGTTGACTGTGAGTAGATGCACATGAAATATTGGTAGGTGGAATAATTTGCAAGATCTTCCAGTGAGGGTATTAGCATATAAATAGCAGATGCAATGATGACCATCACAGCTGAGTACATTTAATTTTTAGTTTATAAGATAAAATGGGTTTTTAAATGCATAGTCATCAAGCCTGCTGAAAGACAAATGAAGTTTAGAGTTCACTTATCTGAGGAGGCCTTACATCATGTTAGAGGAAGGAAAACCAAGCCTGCCACATAGCCATACCTGAAAGAAAGAGATTTGATTTCTTGGGCTGGGGGAAAGGAATGAAAAGTGTTCAGAAAGGCAGAACAAGGAATCTGGCAACAAAATGTTAATGATCCCAGATGCAGTGAACAATTAGCTGTAGCTTCTTGTTATATACACATGCACCTCACCATATCTGTGAATTCTTGGCCATTGCTTTTGCTTGTATAATACAGCTTTTTCAAGAGTCGGCTCCAGAAGCAGTAGAAAGAAAAGTGAATATAGAAATGCTATGTCTCTGGCAATACGGCCACTGCACATTGATCAAAAGATTGCTCATAGGCTCCACCCTCTAGCCCTAGTCTCTTCATGAGGGAGCTATTTTCAGAGGAAGAACTAGGAAGGGAGGGAGACACTGTTTGCCATCAGGGGGTGGTTGGTTTCATCTGTGCTCGGGGGCATAGCTGATTTTAAAGGTACCACTTTAGCTAATGGGGCCTCCTGCGCCGCCGCTGTGCGATTTCTGTTCTCATCCTGAAGCAAAGTTCTTAACCCGAGGTACTATTTCTGGGTTAGCGGAGTCTGTAACCTGAAGCGTCTGTAACCTGAGGTACCACTGTAGTTGCTCTTAAAAAGGCATTTATGTGTTATCTAGTTGCCTCAAGGTGGGGGTGCACTTCCTCTTGAAAAGAATGCTGTGTGGATTGGCAGAATTGACAGCTGGATGTGGATTCTGACGTGCCTTGGATGAGCTTCAGCCATGTTTGCTGTACTGCAAGGGATGCACCAGCTAAATCCTGCTTATTCATCTTAGCTGGATGGAGTGTGAGCTTTACTTACTTCATTACTTAGTGCTTCTTAATGGAGCTGGGGGTCTTTTTAAGGGACTATTGCTAAGGATTTACTGGCCCTCAAGGGCAGCTGCCAAGTGTGTGCTTTTGGTGGAGAGAGTGAGAACTGGAGTGCAGGGCTGGCTGAAGTACAGTGAGTTAGCAGAGGGAAACTGAAGCCCTATGAGTGTTTGTTTGCACAAACCTGCTGCTTAGGTGTGGAATCCTAGGCATAAGGTTTTTCTGGCTACACAGCACAGGATTTTGCATCAAGTAAGCAGATTTTTATGGAAAGAAAGGGAACTTGATACTGCAAACTGAAATAGTAAAGTTCATTACTACCTCCTTTTACCTGCCTCTTTTAAGCACTTATCTTTGCTTACTTACAAATGAAGAAAAATGCGACTTGTTTTAAAATGATACAAAAACGAATCTTTTCCTATCTAGGAGCTGAGGCTTAATTTCTCATAGTTAGCTAAGCAGTTAAATATTTTTAGAGGAAATATGAATTTAATAAATTCCTCAGTGAATTCAAGGTGCAGACAATAAGCATAATATTTTATGAAAATGACCCTCATATTTAAAACCTGGCATTATATGTTATGCATTGTAGCACCAAGTCCACATCTACCTTTTAGAAAATTAAAACACATAAATTCTGTTTAGTGTTTGATATGCATTGCACTAGCTGAAAGCTATAATGGCCCTAAAACCTTGGGTTGCTTTTCACCTTTCATAAATTCCTGGGTAGATTCTATACAAAAAATAATTTTCAGCTCCGTGGCTCATTGTTATTCAAACGTGATTGATTGTCGTCATTTACTCAGTGAGGAAGTTAAGTGCTCCTGTCATTTCCAAAGAGTATAATTGGGACGTTTCACAGGTCAGTGCTAGTGACAGGTTTCCCTTTTGATTAGTGTTGGACTGATAACAAAAATTACAGTTTCCTATGATTAATGCTTCCTATAGTGCCTAAATGCACTGCTCATGGATTGTGCCTAAACAAAGTGACTTTGCATCTTATTATTTCTCTTCTCAGCAGAGCTCTGCGAGGGTCTCAAAGTTTGGGAACCTGCAAGTTGGCCCCTCTGGTTTCCTATCAGGTTCTTGCACTAGGAATTTGACTGAGGCCTCTTTAGCCTGGCTTCTCTGTGTGTCCATGCGAAATAAAATCTGGGAACGCCTTTAGAAACGTTGTGTTGACTTTTTCACATTTGCCCACCGATTACAGAACAGGCAGCCTTAAAAAAGACATTTGCCGTATTCCCCATAACCATACACAATTTAAATTATTTGTATTCTATCATACATGGATGCTTTGCTTGTCAGTGGTCCTTAATAAAGGAGAATTGGACTGTTTTTGCTTTTGGTTTGAAAGGTGGTTTTTATACTTCTGAGTTAAAACTTTTCCTATGAAATACACTAAAAAACAACAACATTTCCCTATAAAAGAATTGCCTAGTAATTATGTCCCTCAGAGTTCTATTTTCTAATTTATTTGACAGAAGCTGTTACCTCTCGATATATATATATAGTCTTCTCAGCTAGTTTGGAAAAAGTAATGTACTCACCACTGGAGTTTAATGTTGACCCTATAATTAGTTAAGCTAGGAGAAACTTTGATAACTGTTATAGGTGAATGACCTTTCTCTCATCACCAGGTAAAAGTTAAAATGTTTAAAAGAGAGCAGGAAAGAATGCCTTCTGAATCTAGTGTTAAACTACGCCTTACTTTTTGTCTTAAGTTACTGTTATATATAAGTCTCCAAACATCCTCTTCCCAAAAATCTTGATCTCTCTCTCTCTAAAAACACAGTATGTTTTATAAAAGTGTGGGTAGTTGTTGGTTCATGAGTAACACAGCAGCTCAGGGGCTTGATCCAGTGTAGGAAATGAAAGGTGTGTGTGTGTGTGTGTGTGTGTGTGTGTGTGTGTGTAAGTGTGTAAGTAAGGCTGCCTCTGCATGCACAATTAGATGCATTCCTAGGCTGGACAGCTGGAATATGGCAGATAGCTGTCTGAAAAAGTAACTGCCCCACAGTCTATGCAGAGGAGAGACTAGTCACAATCAAATTATTTGTATTCTATCATACATGGATGCTTTGCTTGTCAGTGGTCCTTAATAAAGGAGAATTGGACTGTTTTTGCTTTTGGTTTGAAAGGTGGTTTTTATACTTCTGAGTTAAAACTTTTCCTATGAAATACACTAAAAAACAACAACATTTCCCTATAAAAGAATTGCCTAGTAATTATGTCCCTCAGAGTTCTATTTTCTAATTTATTTGACAGAAGCTGTTACCTCTCGATATATATATATAGTCTTCTCAGCTAGTTTGGAAAAAGTAATGTACTCACCACTGGAGTTTAATGTCGACCCTATAATTAGTTAAGCTAGGAGAAACTTTGATAACTCTTATAGGTGAATGACCTTTCTCTCATCACCAGGTAAAAGTTAAAATGTTTAAAAGAGAGCAGGAAAGAATGCCTTCTGAATCTAGTGTTAAACTACGCCTTACTTTTTGTCTTAAGTTACTGTTATATATAAGTCTCCAAACATCCTCTTCCCAAAAATCTTGATCTCTCTCTCTCTAAAAACACAGTATGTTTTATAAAAGTGTGGGTAGTTGTTGGTTCATGAGTAACACAGCAGCTCAGGGGCTTGATCCAGTGTAGGAAATGAAAGGGGTGTGTGTGTGTGTGTGTGTGTGTGTGTGTGTGTAAGTGTGTAAAAGTAAGGCTGCCTCTGCATGCACAATTAGATGCATTCCTAGGCTGGACAGCTGGAATATGGCAGATAGCTGTCTGAAAAAGTAACTGCACCACAGTCTATGCAGAGGAGAGACTAGTCACAATCAGTTACTACCATTTATTAAATACGGAAGGGACGTGGGTGACTCTGTGGTCTAAACCACAGAGCCTAAAGCTTGCTGATCAGAAGGTTGGTGGTTCGAATCCCCGTGACAGGGTGAGCTCCCGTTGCTTGGTCCCTGCTCCTGCCAACCTAGCAGTTCGAAAGCACATCAAAGTGCAAGTAGATAAATAGATCTACTTCCGGCGGGAAGGTAAACGGCGTTTCCGTGCACTGCTCTGGTTTCGCCAGAAGCGGCTTAGTCATGCTGGCCACATGACCTGGAAGCTGTATGCCGGCTCCCTCGGCTAGTAAAGCGAGATGAGCACCACAACCCCACAGTCATCCGCGACTGGACCTAATGGTCAGAGGTCCCTTTACCTTTATTAGATACAGAAGTAAAGAGTCCTCTACAACTGTAAGCCAAGTCTACAAAGGCATATTTGTGCCTCAGAGCAAGGGCTTAAGCTTCCACGTGCAGTTTCTAGCTTTCCTTGTATGCTGTATGTCAAATAAACATAACTGAACACTGTTTGTTGTTTATATTGTCAGAATCTTGGTTGGTTTTTAAAAAAATAATAATGGGGGGAGGGAGAGGATAAAAGCGATAACTCGAGCTTTGATACGGACTTGGAAACCTACTGGGAGTAAATGCATATCAAATAATGATGAAATACCAGCCCCTTATCAACAGCCCAGCAGCAACCATCGGAACCAACTGTTGTTTCCGAATATTCTTTAACGGCAGTCCCACATTGACTAGGTATCGTAGTTCACCCTCAGTGGTCTCAGACCCTGCAGCAGTGGGAAATCCTGTCTTCCTCTTGCAGTTTAAGGACTAACAGTTGGCATGAATGTTAGCCTGAGAGTTTAGCAGCATACTGTTTAGTAGGGGGCGGGGGAGCAAAAGAGAAGGCAGGTTTTAAACGACAGCAAAAGTTGGAGTAAGTCATGGGTTGAGGGATACAAAGGAGCTATGAAGGAACGTGGAGTTAGGTGAAGTGTAAAGGGAGAGGTGGGGACTTGGCAGACAATGGGAGGCTGCCCCTAGTTTTATATATATTTTAAATTGCATAATTCCTGAACTTGCATATTGCTTAGAATTCTCTGGGTTAGAGACTTAAAAGGCACTACTGTATGTTTCTTTCTATTTTTGCACTGGATGTTTCCCAGTGAGTTCACAAAGTGATAACTAGTGGATATAAGATTTACCTATCAGCTACGTTTTTCCCCAATTCAGTTTAATCAATGTACAGTATGCCTCTTGTATATATTCTTCATGCAAGACTGTACTATGGAGGGTGGGAATTCTTAAGGAGTTACTTTAGGCCTGTTGCCACTGGGGGTGAGGGACTGTAGAAAGCAGAATGACATGCTTTCATTTTTAAAATTGCTTAAGTTTTATTTATTTGCGTTTCACTTTTTTACCTTGACAGGTAAAGTAGTAAGGAAAAGCATACAGTTAGTATTTTCCTTAATAGCTCAGTAAAAAAGTAAAGCTTACTGCCACTTTCCAGTTTCTGCCCCAGCAGCAAAATCACTGAATTATATTAACAGGGTTTTAAAATGTTATAAAATATATTTTATTTTAATGATAATAATTTAATTTAGTGTGTTAACTTTTGGTTTTTATACCCCTCTGTTATAAAATGACATTAAACGTGGTGGACTGCCAGTATTGAAGTTCTTCTCCTTTCTCACAAGAAAGTCAAAGCTGCAATCTTGTACCCACTTACCTGAGAGTAAGCTCCATTAAACACAAAGGGACTTACTTTTGAGTAAAAATGTATAGAGTTGTACTTTAAGTTAACTATACAGTAAATTCTTAATGGGTGCCTGGACTTTAGTTCCTGCACAGCTGGAGACATGCCTGTGCCTTTTTGGAAAGCTTTCACATTTTGTATTTGCACTTATTGTGTAATAAGACAGTATCTGAAGAAGTGTGCATGCACACGAAAGTTTATACCCAGAACAAATTTAGTTGGTCTCTAAGGTGCTACTGGACAATGTTTTAATTTTTTAATTTATGTAATAGTTTGCAGAAAATAAGTTGTAGGGAGTACCTGATATCAGGTGAACCCACCACAGGAAAGATGCCTCATGGCTGCTAGGATGAAAGGAAGGGAAAACTTGGAGGCAGCTCTAGGTTTTTGTTAATCAAGAATTAGTGGGGCTTGAACCAAAGTGTATACAAAACTGTTAACTTGTATTGATCCATTGATTGTGCTGAATTTGTGTTGATATCCTTCAAACTATCCAGATTCAACCGTACATTCCAAACAGTAGCACCTCGGCTTACGTTACGCTCGGGTAACGTAAACTTCGGGTTGCAGAAACGGCAAACCCAGAAGTATTTTTCTGGGTTTCGCCACATGCGCAGAAGCGCTCTGCACACAGCGTGCGTGCGCAGAATGTGCACCTCTGGTTGCAGAAACCTCAGGATCTGACCGGAACTCCGGATCCCGTCCGCAACCAGAGGTACCACTGTACTATGAAGCAAACTCCCACATTGAACTTAGTGGGACTGAATTCTGAGTAAACATACAAAGGTTTGCATGGCACAGATTTGGGTATATATGAGATTACATTTTGGGTATCTTTCTAAGCACTACCTTGTGCAAATGTTTTAATGGTACTCTTTAAGTTTTCTTAATTTCTGCAATGTTAGAACTCTGGATCCTCCAGTGAAAGGGAGCAGTAGATTAAGAGAAAATAATTCTTTACACTGTGTGTTTTCCTGCCATTAGCCTCAACAGCTTCAGCTTATTCAGTAGTAGACTGCCTGTGAACCTTGAGATTCTATGTAGCAACATTTGCTAAATATCCATTGATAGACACCTTTTATATTTCAGGTTTGGGGGCAGTCTATCTGAGTATGGTGAAGTAGGAGAGACAGATAACAGGGTATTCCTGTTATGGCATCTGGCTGCCATTGTACAAAGCAAGATGTTAGAGCAGATGGACCTTTGGCTTGATCCAATTAGGTTGCTCTTATATTCAAAGGCAGACTTTCCCAGCGCTGCCCCAACTATTTTTTTTTAAATAAGATTTATTGTTTTTGGTTTCTTGAGTCCATTTTTTTACGAACCTGTGACTACATCTCATTGCCTCAAGAACCCAAGCAAACTCCATTGTGCTCAAGCAGCAAGATTTTTGGCATACTATACAACTAGCAGAAAAATAAAACAATTTTATACCACTCTTCAGCCAGAAAAGGCTTCCAGAGATTAGTCACAAGAAAATCATAATCAATAATGAAAACCTTAAATGTTTTAGAAATAACCCTCTGTTTTCTACACACCTCTCACTTTTATCACTTTTCTTAGAAGCCCAATACAAACTTAAGAGGCAAAGCCTAACTCTGTCCAGATTATACGTAGCCAAACTCTTAAACTTTGCTTTCCCAGAATACTCAAAACCACTTCCTGTTCTCCCACCTCCAAACTTTATTATATTGCTTTTCTGTGGAGTGATACCCAAAACAAAATTGCACAAAAAAGGGGGAAATAGCAGCTCTTCAGAAATGGGGGTTTTCTATCGCCTGGTACTGAAACAGCTAACTTGTCAATCACAACTTTGACTTCTCTCATTGGCTAAAAACAGTGAAAGGCAGGAGCAGCCGAGCTAAATTTACCTGCTTCTTCCTCACTTTATTTCTAGGAAGCCAGTAGACAGACTTTTTAAAAATGAAATCTCAGAGTCAGAGACTCCTTGCAGGCATGCGTCCTGGTGCAGTGCTTAAGTAATTTTTTGTAGTTAAAAGATGCAATGGGAATACACTAGAGTAAAATGTTGCTTGTAAATGATTTCCTAAGGCTGCTTTTGCAAGGTAGGTGCACGAAGCCCCACACAACCAAATTGATGGTTCAGGCTTTGTTTGATGGACGCGGGTGGTGCTGTGGGTTAAACCACAGAGCCTAGGGCTTGCCGATCAGAAGGTCGGTGGTTTGAATCCCCGCGACAGGGTGAGCTCCCGTTGTTCGGTCCCAGCTCCTGCCCACCTAGCAGTTCGAAAGCACATCAAAGTGCAAGTAGATAAATAGGTACCGCTCCAGCGGGAAGGTAAACGGTGTTTTCGTGCCTACTCTGGTTTCACCAGAAGCATCTTAGTCATGCTGGCTACATGACCTGGAAGCTGTCTGCGGACAAACGTCGGCTCCCTCGGCCGATAGAGCGAGATAAGCACGCAACCTCAGAGTCGTCCGCAACTGGACCAGACGGTATGGGGTACCTTTACCTCAGGCTTTGTTTATGTTACATTGCTTATTGAGGAAACCCAGTTCCTGACAAAACACGAAGCGGCAGTAAAGTTCATGCGTAAGTAGGATGGAAGATTTCATCCCCTTCCAGGAGAAGGCAGTAAACACTACTTGAAATGTTGTTTTTAACAGTGCTTTGTATGTTCCATACGGTGTTCTGGTTAACGCTGAAAATAAAACCGGATGGCAGATCTTCAGAGGTGCCCATTGTAGCTGAAGCGTTTATGTGAGGGATGTTCACATGGGGTGTCTGCTGGGTGTTTTCCGTGTTTCTTCAGTGCTTTTGACTTTTCTTCATAGATGAAAGCAACAGATGACAGTGACGAGGAGGATGAGTTTGTCGACGTCCCTGAGAAGGAGGGCTATGAGCCCTACATTCCAGACCACCTTCGTAATGAATACGGTGAGTTTGCTCAGCTGTGAAAAGCTTCATCACTGCATGTTACTACTGCGGTAAAGCAAATAAACAGCCATTACAAGGTAATAAAGCGATCAGTGGGGTGGGTAATCTTTCCGACTGCTGTGAGGAAATCAGTACATAGATAGGGGGAGCAAGACCGACTTTACAAAAACAGAAATCCTCTAGGAGTCAACTTTGGTCAGGCCAGGAGGCTTATTTTATTCACTCATATTTCATCTTAGCTTTGAACCAAGAATTGCAGCGTAGGTACGTGTGTGCACCTGTGTGTGTATGTGTGTCCATGCACAGGATAATTGTTTACTCAGGTGCACAGAACAGGATACAACCATCTGACCAAGCAGTGTAGAATTTGTATTACTTGTTGCAGGTCATGCCAGTTTTTCAGGGGACCGATAAACCAGGGTGTCTGTACAAAACCTCATACAAAGGTTGAGAAGAAAAATATTCTCCTGGCTTTTATTTTAAAGCCTCATTTTTTTAAAGTCACATGCATTTTAGATCACATCCCTCATTGTATAAGGCCACTGTTTGTGTTTATCCCCAGTTATTTGTAATCTTTTTCGTGGGTCTGTGGCTTTTCAAAGCTTAGCAGCTTTCAGTATATCACAGAGGAAGAAAACGTTTTAATCTGGAAACAGTTAGAGCTTTGACTGCTGAGCGTGTTTTTGGTTCATATTTTAGAATACCTTGGGACTTGCTGAAAGAATGCTATGATAAACTGAAATAACTTCTTCCAGGAACTAGTGTTTTTTCAGGGATGTTAGTAACAAAACTGCAGAAAGGACAGGCTGCAACATTTCATAGTGACATTGTGAGCAGCAGCAATCTTTGACTGTTTGTCATCTAAGCATCAATTCAGAGCGATCTCGAGACTGGTCATGCATAAGCAAGCCATGTTTTGTCAATCTTTAATATGCCAGAGTTTGGCACCACATTTGCCCGGATTATTTGGCTCAGGAAAATCTCTAGATGTCGTAGCCCCCCAAACCCAAGGAGTTAATTATCCCACCCCAATGTGAAATGTGAGTTAATACAGCTTCATTGGCTCTCATGCATGTCTTCAGATTCCAGTCAGAATGGAATTGCCATTAAGATGTGCATGTTTATTAATGATCCTTAAAATTCTATATACCGTATTTTTTGCACCATAACACTCACTTTTTTCCTCCTAGAAAGTAAGGGGAAATGTCTGTGCATGTTATGGAGGAAATGCCTACGGGTGGCATGCCTACGGATTTTCCTCCTCTAAAAACTACGTGCGTGTTACGGTCAGGTGCGTGTTATAGAGCGAAAAATACAGTACCTGATTCTTTACCTGTCTAAAATTAACAACCAAAATAACCTTAACTCCTCTGTCTTTATTCCAACTATATGGTCTCGAAAAGCTTCTTAGTGACCTGAGTTCTATTAATCACATGCCATTCAGTTTTTGTGACTGCAATTTTAGAATAGTAAAAATGATAAATTCAGTTTAAATTTGCTACTCGTTCCAATGCCTAGCAGGCTCTCTCTGCTCTCTGGAATGTCTGCTACTCTTCTTTGTAACATTTCAATCTTTCTTATTGTTCTCTTGTGGAATCTTCAGAGCACATTTTTGTGCATATTTACTCAGAAGTAAGTCCCACTCTATTCAGTGATACTTAATTCCTGGTAAGTGTGCATAGGATTGGAGTAAGCGCCAATATTGGAGTTAAGCTCCAATATTCTTGTTCTGATAAGTGTTCATATTTAATATGTGGATATCAGCTGCATAAACAACTTTTAAATGCTTTCTTGCCTTTGCTTCCAACCAGTTGATTGATTAATGAATCACATTTAAATGAGTATACACACTGAGATTTTTTTCAATTAAGGTTTGTTTTGAAGATTCTAGAAGAAATTGAGATTTCTCTTAAGGGTGAAAACTTGCAGTGTATTGTGCAAAAGCTTGTTAGGATTAAAGGTGATATTTAATACTTAATCACTTAATTGGATAATATTCCCGATTACTTTGGATACAGACTTGAAGAAAAAGGCTGCTTTTAATTAATTTATTTTCTTTCATCAAATTTGGTACTGGTATGAGGAAGACAGCAATATGGCAGGCCCTTGAAGAGTCCATAATCTTTATTCTCAGCTTCACTGATTAATCTGAGGACATTTTTAAGGTGTGCTTAAGGCTTTCATTGATTGATGACACCAATTAATCAATTAAAGCCTGCAGCCCTAATTTAACAATGACATTTAGAGCTTTCTACCTCCATGAAATCTTTGCTTTCACACTCATCAGCCCTTTCCTGTTCTTAGAGCTTAGTCAAGATTCTGGCTGACATCCCCTGTGCTTTATATATCTAGCAGTCTAAGCTTAGAAACCCATTTGAAGAAATGGGGCTGTTTTCCAAGGGCACGTTAACCAAAATAAGGCTTGTATTCACTTATGTGTGCTGATTTTTAACGAGTGGTTTGTGCATTGAAGTGGCACATGATAGTGACTGAAACATATACACACATACATGAAATCACGATAGTCTTGGTTTTTGTACTTCTGCTGAAAGCAGTTCCGTAGAAACTGCTTTTGTAAACCACATAGAGGTTTCTTCCAATTAAGCGGTGTATAATAATAATAATAATAATAATAATAATAATTTATTATTTATACCCCGCCCATCTGGCTGGGTTTCCCCAGCCACTCTGGGCGGCTTCCAACACAAGACTAAAATACAGTAACCTATTAAACATTAAAAGCTTTCCTGAATTTTATGAAATAAATAAATAATAAATATGGATGTGTAGCTAGGCTATCTGTGTTCAGAAAGGACCATAGTTGACTCACCCAGCCAAAGCAGATGTAGGCCATTGAGATCACCTGGACTTCAAGTGACAGTGATTATTCCTAGAGTACTCTAAACCCAAGTGGACCATGGGTAGGCAAACTAAGGCCCAGGGGCCAGATCCAGCCCAATCGCCTTCTAAATCCAGCCCGTGGACGGTCCGGGAAACAGCAGGTTTTTACATGAGTAGTAAGTGTCCTTTTATTTAAAATACATATCTGGGTTATTTGTGGGGCCTGCCTGGTGTTTTTACATGTGTAGAATGTGTGCTTTTATTAAAAATTCATCTCTGGGTTATTTGTGGGGAATAGGAATTTGTTCATTCCCCCCCCCCAAAAAAATTGTCCGGCCTCCCCCATAAGGTCTGTGGGACAGTGGACCGGCCCCCTGCTGAAAAAGTTTGCTGGCCCCTGAAGTGGAGTAAAACCACATCAAAAGCAGACTTTACCACTGAGCTTGCCAGATGAAACAGTCTCCCTGTCCTTCCCACCCCCTCCCAACAGTGTTCTGGGGGTTCTCCAACCCCCACCCCCTCGTGCCAATTTCAGGGAGCATGGGGAAAGGAGGCAAAGCTCTTGTGAAGGGCTTCTACTCACAGTGAATACCACCCTATAGGAACCGCCCTGAGACCTCCGGGTATAGGGCGGTATATAAATTCAGTAAACAATAATAATAGGAAACTTGATTTAAATCAGTGTTAGTCTTTGTTTCATTGTGATTTTTCAATCAGTGAATTCTGCTTCCTGTCTAGATGGCTGATACGTTGATGTATTCTTTTTATTTTATTTCTCTCTCTCTCTCTCTCTCGTTTTTTCAGTTACACCCTCCATCGAGATATATTGAGTTTTTTTGGTATGGGTGTTGGAAATGTGTTGCGCAAACTGACTGTTTTAATAAAGTTACTGCCATCAAGCATTAATTAGGACCGAATGTAGTCATGCACAGCATTGCACACTGTGTACGCACATGAGAGTTACAAACAAGACATGTGACATGTACAATAAAGTATGGAATATTTTCTAAATGAATGAAATCTCTTTATCACGGTCTTATGATCTATTCATATTGGAACACATAATGCAAATAAACAACAACAAAGTAGGCAAGTGGACCCTGCAGTTTATCCAAAGAAATTGAGCTCAGTACACATAGCAATAATTAAAAAAGCCATTTGCTCAGTAATATATAGGACCTTGCATGGTAAACAGTTCATAACCAAACTCTCATCTGAATACCCCAGTAAACTGATCAGAAGAAGGTGATGTCCCAAATTGCAGTAAAAGATAGAATATTAAAGTACATGTATGATGATTCCAAGGACTCTAGCATTATATGACTACAATCTGTATTGAAACAGGATTCTTCGAAATTTTACCCTTGATTAGAACATGGAATATTTTAAGAAAGAATGTGCTTAGGACTTCTTTAAGGCAACACAAATAAGAGGGAAAGTAACTTAATTGGGCAGGGCTCCTGAATCATGGGGAAACAAGTTTTATTAGCCAGGGAATATAGAGTTATTTGCTCAGTACGTTAAATAAGGGATGGCCCTCCATATCTGCTGGACTGAAGCTCCCGCCATCGCCACCCAGCATGGTCAGTTCTCAGGACTAATGGGAGTTGCAGTCCAACAGCATATGGAGCAGAGATAGGCTAGCCACCCCTGCTTCGAATACTTATTGTTGCTCAAGCATTAGAAAAGACCCAAGATGACATACCAAGTTGTTGTTGTTTAGTTGTTTAGTCGTGTCCGATTCTTAGTGACCCCATGGACCAGAGCACGCCAGGCACTTCTGTCTTCCACTGCCTCCCACAGTTGGGTCAAACTCATGCTGGTAGCTTTGAGTACACTATCCAACCATCTTGTCCTCTGTCATCCCCTTCTCCTTGTGCCCTCCATCTTTCCCACCATCAGGGTCTTTTCCAGGGAGTCTTCTCTTCTCATGAGGTGGCCAAAGTATTGGAGCCTCAGCTTCAGGATCTGTCCTTCCAGTGAGCACTCAGGGCTGATTTCCTTCAGAATGAATAGGTTTGATCTTCTTGCAGTCCATGGGACTCTCAAGAGTCTCCTCCAGCACCATAATTTAAAAGCTCTCATTGTTGCTTTTGAGATACCAAGTAGGCAAGTTTTATTTACAACTTAAACCATTTAAAAAATAAATGAATTTAAAATGGTTGGGCTCTTTGTGCAGTCAGTGGGTGGGGGTTGTGTTGGTGTCTAAAGCCATCAGTTCACAATCCTTGTACTAACCAATCCCGATTCACACATGCACAAACCCACAGACCTATAAAATGCTTTCTTGATGAGTCAGTGTTCAAATACGCCAAGTCACAGTCTTAATTTAATGGACAAAATATATGTTTTAAGTTAGTTATTTTTTGCTTTGCACTGGGGTTTTCCCCCCACTAAGGTAAAAAGTTACATAAATAGTTTTTAATATGTCAAAAAGTATATTCTAACTGCAAATTAAGGCAAGAATTGAGAGTTTGAATAGATATTATAATAAGAGAGAGAGGAGGAGTGAGTCGATTTCAGTTTCCATGTGCAAGATAAAATGTAAATTTGTAAAAGAATTTAGGTGATTAGACAACTGAAGTGTGAAGACATAACCCATTAAGGGGTGTCATGCCAAATTAACATTACCAGGGTTTTTAATGACCTCTCATTTGTATAATCCTTATTTACACTTGCACCTGATCTCTCAGGATGGCAACCATTTTGCAGTTTGCTTGTTGTTTTGTATGCCTGTAGTCATATAAGCTGACACCCCAGTCTTCCTCTGTCTGGAATGCATAGGTAAATGGACACCAAGAGTGATTTCACTTGTGAAAGAGTGGTTTTAAAGAGCATGCAGGCAACAGTTGTAACAACAATAGATGGATATGTTCTCAGGCAAAAAACTGTTGTGTGTAAAAAATAATAATGTACCTCTGCATGTAATGCGATACTGAATATGCAATAATAGATCGATAATTTTCCAGGGTGCAGACTATCACTTCTTCTTACTAACAAACTCAGGTGACAGGTGAAGGCAGAAATGGAACCAAAAAGAGCTACTGATAAGCAAGACTGAAAGGTCAGAATGCTTGGAGAAATTTCTAGGGTTGCAGAAATAAACTAAATAATAAACTTAGCAGGGCAACTCCCTCACATTCCTTTAAGAAGGGAAGATCCATTGCAACATTTTCTTGCAGATCCCACTCCCCCCCCTTACATGTGGTTCTCTTGGAATTGTAATTTCCAGCCTATTTGTTTTAATTACATTGGCAAAAGTTTTATTCTTTATACAATGTCCTTAATCTAATAATAATAATAATAATAATAATAATAATAATGTTGTTGTTTAGTCGTTTAGTCGTGTCCGACTCTTCGTGACCCCATGGACCAGAGCACGCCAGGCACTTCTGTCTTCCACTGTCTCCCGCAGTTTGGTCAGACTCATGTTTGTAGCTTCGAGAACACTGTCCAACCATCTCGTCCTCTGTCGTCCCCTTCTCCTTGTGCCCTCCATCTTTCCCAACATCAGGGTCTTTTCCAGGGAGTCTTCTCTTCTCATGAGGTGGCCAAAGTATTGGAGCCTCAGCTTCACGATCTGTCCTTCCAGTGAGCACTCAGGGCTGATTTCCTTAAGAATGGATGCGTTTGATCTTCTTGCAGTCCACGGGACTCTCAAGAGTCTCCTCCAGCACCATAATTCAAAAGCATCAATTCTTCGGCGATCAGCCTTTTTTATGGTCCAGCTCTCACTTCCATACATCACTACTGGGAAAACCATAGCTTTAACTATACGGACCTTTGTTGGCAAGGTGATGTCTCTGCTTTTAAGATGCTGTCTAGGTTTGCCATCGCCTTTCTCCCAAGGAGCAGGCGTCTTTTAATTTCGTGACTGCTGTCACCATCTGCAGTGATCATGGAGCCCAAGAAAGTAAAATCTCTCACTGTCTCCATTTCTTCCCCTTCTATTTGCCAGGAGGTGATGGGCCCAGTGGCCATGATCTTCGTTTTTTTGATGTTGAGCTTCAGACCATATTTTGCACTCTCCTTTCTCACCCTCATTAAAAGGTTCTTTAATTCCTCCTCACTTTCTGCCATCAAGGTTGTGTCATCTGCATATCTGAGGTTGTTGATATTTCTTCCAGCAATCTTAATTCCGGCTTGGGATTCATCCAGCCCAGCCTTTCGCATGATGAATTCTGCATATAAGTTAAATAAGCAGGGAGACAATATACAGCCCTGCCGTACTCCTTTCCCAATTTTGAACCAATCAGTTGTTCCATATCCAGTTCTAACTGTAGCTTCTTGTCCCACATAGAGATTTCTCAGGAGACAGATAAGGTGATCAGGCACTCCCATTTCTTGAAGAACTTGCCATAGTTTGCTGTGGTCGACACAGTCAAAGGCTTTTGCATAGTCAATGAAGCAAAAGTAGATGTCTTTCTGGAACTCTCTAGCTTTCTCCATAATCCAGCGCATGTTTGCAATTTGGTCTCTGGTTCCTCTGCCTCTTTGAAATTTATTATTATTTATACCCCGCCCATCTGGCTGAGTTTCCCCAGCCACTCTGGGCGGCTTCCAATCAAGTGTTAAAAACAATACAGCATTAAATATTAAAAACTTCCCTAACATATATACTCCTTTGTATAGCTACAAAACAATGTGATGTAAATACATGGTTTTGTAGACATACAAAGGAGAACATATGATTAAGGACATTGTATAAAGAATAAAACTTCTGTCAAAGTAATTAAAACAAATAGGCTGGAAATTACAAGAGAACCACGTATAAGGGGGGACGGGACTCATTCAGCTGCTACTTGATAAATAATTTCTACATGGTGGACCAATTGCGTGCTCAGAGTGCACTATCCATTAAACATGAATTGTTGCAAAAAAACTGTTTGTCTGGAGTAGGATCCCGATGTCTCCACTTCAGTGTCAGTGCTGCACCTCTTTTACAGCTGCCACACACTGGATTGGCATTTTCATCAACGCTATCCAATACAATCACCACGTCTGTTTCCTGGTCAGTTACTTCTATTTCAGGCACCATTAGTGTATATATATATGAAAATAGGATTTTATGTCACAGTGTGCGTCATTTTAAACTTGCTTGTATTGAATTGCATATCCCATGTTACTTCCCATTCAACCAGTTTGGAGGGATCTGTTTGGAGCCCCTCACAAACCCTTTTTGTTTTAACCACCCTGAACAATGCATTATTAGTCGCAAACTTGGGTGCCTTGGCACCTTTAACTAGATCATTTCTGTAAAAGCACAGGTCCCAATATGAATCCTTGAGGGCAGTGCTGGATTTACGTATAAACTAAACAAGCTATAGCTTAGGGCCCCACTCTCTTGGGGGCCCCGAAAAAAATTCAAAGGAAAACAAAAAATGTACATTTCCAAAATATAAGATAAAAAAATACTTTGATAAAATACATATTTTGTTATGTGCAAATGGCTTTAGATACCTATTTGGTCCATAAATTACTATATAGCATATGTTCAGCACAAAAAACAGAGACAATTTGTTGTTGACAAAGGACAGCTGGACATATAAAGGGCCCCATTACCTTCAGTAGCTTAGGGCCTCATCAAGCCTAAGTCCGGCCCTGCTTGAGGAACTCAACTTTCTGCATCCCACCGATGGGAGACTTGTCCATTTATTCATACTCTCTGTTTCCTGGTTCTTCACTGATACATAAGAAACTCTTTCCTCTTATTCCATGACTACTAAGCTTATTCAGGAGTCAGATGAAATATATGGTGATGTATTTTGTCAAATGCTTTTAAAAAGTCCAAGTATACTTTCTCAGCCAGATCACCTCTATCTAACTGCTTCTTGACAAATACCTCAAATGGGTTAGTGAGACAGGAGCCACACTGGTTCTGCTTCAGTAAGACTTGTTTTTCTATATGCTTGGTAATTCTACCTTTAAGAAGGCTTACCACAAATTTTCCCAGAAGAAACTTCAAGCTTTCTGGTTGTAATTTCCAGGACCTCGCCACTCAGCAGATCCCTTTTTAAAATTGGTGTTACATTGGCCACTTTCCAGTCATTAATAGATTATGATTGTTGGCATCCATCTGTCTTGAGAGACAATGGAGTGCACCTCTGGGGGTGAAGCCAGACCACTATGTTAGCAGCAGTGAAGAGGCCTCCTCAGGCCATAAGCCTGGGCAGTGTGTATGGGGGTCCTGAGCTGTCAAGACAACAAGATATGGTCCCAAAAAAAGCAGAACAAGACATTTGGCACCAGTTTGGCTTCAGGAATTGCTGGAAGGAGGCATATAAGGTGCCACCCAACCCTCTTAGGGACTCCACTCTGGATTTGTGTAGGGTTTACTCCTTAGCCCAGGGGTCAGCAACCTTTTTCAGCTGTGCGCCGGTCCACTGTCCCTCAGACCATGTGGTGGGCCGGACTATATTTTTTTTGGGGGGGGGGAATCAATGAATTCCTATGCCCCACAGATAACCCAGAGATGCATTTTAGATAAAAGCACACATTCTACTCATGTAAAAACACCAGGCAGGCCCCACAAATAACCCAGAGATGCATTTTAAATAAAAGGACACATTTTACTCATGTAAAAACACTCTGATTCCTGGACCGTCCACAGGCACATCCGGCCCACGGGCCTTAGGTTGCCTACCCTTACCTTAGCCTTTCCTTCTCCTGAAGATATCATGCAAGACAGCAGAGGTTGAAGAAGGTAAAGGTACCCCTGACCGTTAGGTCCAGTCATAGACGACTCTGGGGTTACAGCGCTCATCTCGCTCTATAGGCCGAGGGAGCCGGCATTTGTCTGCAGACAGCTTCCAGGTCATGTGGCCAGCATGACTAAGTCGTTTCTGGCAAAACCAGAGCAGCGCACGGAAACGCCGTTTACCTTCCTGCCGGAGCGGTACCTATTTATCTACTTGCACTTGACGTGCTTTCGAACTGCTAGGTGGGCAGGAGCTGGGACTGAGCAACGGGAGCTCACCCTGTCGCTGGGATTTGAACTGCCGACCTTCTGATTAGCAAGCCCTAGCCTCAGTGGTTTAGACCACAGCGCCACCTGCCTCCCTCATAGCAGAGGTTTAGGATCACAGTTTTCCTTCTCCAAGATGGGCCACCTTCCCAGGTGGTCGAGCCCCATCTGCCCCTCACTAGGAATGATGATTTCAGTGAATATAATACCACATGGTGTGTTCATGCATGCACATACAAACAAGATTTTCCCAACAGAACATTTTTAACCAAACTATTGCGGGAGCTGCAAGGAACGGTTACAGTGTGGAGTGCTTCTGTTGAGAGCGTCAGCCGGCCACCCATGCCTTTTTGGAGAAAGTCCACTCTGTTCTGTTCCTCCTGTCCCTCACCAGATACTCAGCATTCTGTGGCCACAGAATACCCAATCACCATTATACAGGGATTTTTTTTGGGGGGGGGGTTGCAGGTGGCTGGTTTCCTCCTTTGGTTTTATTCTTCCTATTTTCCCCCTATTTCGGCAAGCATTATTAGTAGTAGTAGTAGATCATGGCCACTGGGCCCATCACCTCCTGGCAAATAGAAGGGGAAGAAATGGAGGCAGTGAGAGATTTTACTTTCTTGGGCTCCATGATCACTGCAGATGGTGACAGCAGCCACAAAATTAAAAGATGCCTGCTTCTTGGGAGAAAAGCAATGACAAACCTAGACAGCATCTGAAAAAGCAGAGACATCCCCTTGCCAACAAAGGTCCGTATAGTTAAAGCTATGGTTTTCCCAGTAGTGATGTATGGAAGTGAGAGCTGGACCATAAAGAAGGCTGATCGCCAAAGAATTGATGCTTTTGAATTATGGTGCTGGAGGAGAGTCCCATGGACTGCAAGAAGATCCAACCTCTTCATTCTGAAGGAAAACAGCCCTGAGTGCTCACTGGAAGGACAGATCCTGAAGCTGAGGCTCCAATACTTTGGCCACCTCATGAGAAGAGAAGACTCCCTGGAAAAGACCCTGATGTTGGGAAAGATGGAGGGCACAAGGAGAAGGGGACGACAGAGGACGAGATGGTTGGATAGTGTTCTCGAAGCTACCAGCATGTGTTTGACCAAACTGCGGGAGGCAGTGGAAGACAGGAGTGCCTGGCGTGCTCTGGTCCAGGGGGTCACGAAGAGTCGGACACGACTAAACGACTAAACAACAAAGTAGTAGTAGTAGTAATGTATTGGGACTTCCCTGAGCATAGTGATATCCCTTTTTCGCCTCAGTAGCCCTGTTTTGGTTACACAGTCATCATAACTCAGTACCCAAATCATTTAGGATAAATGGTAAAATGACAACAGTGCGCAAGAGCCAAAGAAAAATGTAACTAGCTTCATGGGAAGTATGAAAATCCATTTCTGGTAAGGAGTGTGTGTGCATGTATGTGCATACATGTTTATGTTAAAAGGAAAAAGGTAATGAAAATTCTCTTCAGCACACACTTGTCCTTGGGCATGCCTGAAGTAGTCATTTGTGTGCCGTGTTGTGTTGATAGACATGTATTTTGGATTAGCAAGGGCTATGCGCAGAACAGAATGGAGGAAAGAGAGCAAAACCTTTTTCTTCAAATCTTTTTGTTCATATTATTTACATTCTAGTTCGGTGGGATCCCCCCCCCCTTTCAATTAAATATATACTGCTTACCCACTTCTGATTCTCCTAAGTCCAAATGGCTGATGAAACCTGTTCTTTTACTTTCTCTGAATTTTCATTGAGGAGCTTTTATCTCCCCTTAATCCCACCATTTCTGTCAGGACACAATCTCTTTCTCAAATTTACATTTTAATTACAAGGCCAGCTGAACTAGCTAAAATCAATAATGTCAGCATTCAGCAGCCTAACTTTCAGCTGAAATCCCAGCCTCTCTATTTCCTACTATTGATTTATCTCTTTAACGCTGTCTACTTTATTGCTTCAGGCAAATAGGTGCCATTTGGTCAATTTAAACAACAACAAACACCACCAGGAGATTGGACTTAAAAAAAAAAAATATTCCTAAAACCAAGTATTGCAATAAATTTGAACCAAGGTATTGTAGTAGTGATAATATAAAGGATATTTGAAAACGGAGGGGTTTGGATGGGGGATTAGCTTTAGCTATCGAGCTTTGTTCTGTTTCTGGTACAGACATGCTTTCTGCCCCAAAATAGTATTTTTCTTTGAGTATTTGTTTTTACTCTATGTAATCAAAATTAATTTGATGCCTAATTATTAGAATGAATTTGGTTTAATTTGCTGGAAACAGATTATCTTCAACTGACCGAGCCTCTACCCTCCATTAGCTAAAAGTTCTCTAGTCTCCCCCCACCAAAAAAAAATATGAGACTGCCAAAGCCCATGAAAGAGAAAATTATTGCACTTACATGTAACTTGCTGGTCTTTGAAAGTCTTTCTGCAGCCCATTTGCCTTCCTCCCCATAGAGGCTTCTCTCATTTGAAATTGACCTTAGTGGTGTCTGGGGGGAGGTGAGGTGGTGACCTGGCCCTTCAGCTGAGGTCTCTGATACCAAAGCCATCATCAGTCAAAGGGAGCGGGGCTCCAAGCTCTAGAAGATCCAGTGACTTCACCTACTCATGTGTAGATCCCATATGTGGGACTGCAGTGTGTCCTGAACAGTAGCAGGTGGTTGTTTGGGGGTGGGTGGGTCAGTATTACCTGTAGATTCATCCTTGGAGAGAAAAGAGTTGCATGTCAAGTTCTCCCACCCCATCTCATTGCATAAACAACACTTTCAAACTTAGTAGAAGTTGAGAAGTTGGGGGGTGGGGAAATGATAGTAGGTAGCAAAGAAGAGCCCATTGTTTTGAAGAGAGTTTTGTTTGTTGTTGTTTAGTTGTTTAGTCATGTCCGACTCTTCGTGACACCCTGGACCAGAGCACGCCAGGCACTCCTGTCTTCCACTGCTTCCCGCAGTTTGGTCAGACCAATGCTGGTAGCTTCGAGAACACAGTCCAACCATCTCGTCCTCTGTCATCCCCTTCTCCTTGTGCCCTCCATCTTTCCCAACATCAGGGTCTATTCTAGGGAGTCTTCTCTTCTCATGAGGTGGCCAAAGTATTGGAGCCTCAGCTTCAGGATCTGTCCTTCCAGTGAGCACTCAGGGCTGATTTCCTTAAGAATGGATACGTTTGATCTTCTTGCAGTCCATGGGACTCTCCTACCAAAGCAACAAAAGGGATATTGTTGTGGGCAGTCTCACTATATGCAGTGAAACAAGGAATGGATAGAACAGGCATAGGCAAACTCGGCCCTCCAAATGTGTTGGGACTACAACTCTCATCATCCCTCGCTAACAGGACCAGTGGTCAGGGATGATGGGTGTGGTAGTCCCAGAACATCTGGAGGGCCAAGTTTGCCTATGCCTGGGATAGAAAATCACAAAATGCTTAACCTACTAACAATAGCCAACATAATAGGGTGGCCAGACCAGCTCCATAACTGGCAAAAGACAAAGTTCAGGACTCCTTGGGGCTGTCATTTGGCTTCCTTATTATTGGAGCTGCAATCACAGTGGCAAATACAGGTCTTGGAACACTAATTGTTGTCCCGTCACTGTAAAACAAGAGGGTTCTGTTAGGACTGTCCCCTGGGTTGGCCTCTTCCAATTCTCTTTCCATTCCTCTTACAGTGTCACAAGTTCTCAGATATGCTAGATCAGACACTGTATTTCTGAAAGAGTACAAAACTTTTTCTGCTGCTGACAGAGAGGGGAAAGTATTTGGTTGGAGACATTTGTTAATGTGGAGTCTAAATTGGGCAGTGGTGCTTTTTCTTGGACTTTCTAAAGAAATATGGGTACAAATGAAATTTTGTCCTATACAGCTAGAGTTAGTATTTTGGTGAAGACCAGAATTTTGCCTCAGATCAGTATTCCATTTCTGAAACGTGCTGTACAAACTGACCAGCTGTTACTTTCCAGAGACATAGGTTTCCTTCATACAGTATGTGTCAGCAAATGTGTGCTTACCCCAACTTTGCTTTTCTTTTCTAGGGTTGGAACCAGTATCACCTTCAAAACCCTTTGCGACAGGAAGAGCATCTGCAGCAACCTCCCAACCTAAAAGAAACGATGAGGAACTTGATCCAACCTGTGCAGCTGCAACATGGAAAATGATCCAAGATAAACTGCCTAGATTACATCTTCCAGGTGCCAGGTTGTAAGGAGACCAATATTCCGTTGGCAATCTTGCCCTTTGCATTTCACGTCCAAAACAAAGGCAGGCCTTAATACTTACAGAGCATTGACCTTGCTTCTCTCCTGCAGAGAAGAGGTTTTATTTAGTGTTTGGGATTTTTGCTCTGGTTGCCCCCACCATCTACGATGCCTCAGGGAGCTAGTGATTGCCACCAGCGAAAGGGCAAGGCCAAGTTTGAGCAGAGGAGGAGACTTTGGGTAAAGCTGTGGAGAAGATGCTGTTGATGCAGGAGGAGGCAGTCCTGTCTGTCTCCCTTTTTTTGAGGGGACGGCGGGTAAAGGGGATCCTCTGAACTGTCTCTAGCCCCTCATTCTTCTTGCCTGCCCTGTTTTTCCCCCTGTGGCTGTACTCATCAATCAGCCTGCCTTGAACATATTCTTGGGTCAGGTCTGGTTTTATAGGTATTATAATAGTAGTAGTAGTAGTAGTAGTAGTAATAATTTATTATTTGTACCCCGCCCATCTGGCGCTGTGGTCTAAACCACAGAGCCTAGGACTTGCCAATCAGAAGGTCAGCGGTTCAAATCCCCGCAACGGGGTGAGCTCCCGTTGCTCGGTCCCTGCTCCTGCCCACCTAGCAGTTCGTAATCACGTCAAAGTGCAAGTAGATAAATAGGTACCATTCCAGCGGGAAGGTAAACGGCGTTTCCGTGTGCTGCTCTTGTTCGCCAGAAGTGGCTTAGCTGTACGCTGGCTCCCTCAGTCAATAAAGCGAGATGAGCGCCGCAACCCCAGAGTCGGCCACGACTGGACCTAATGGTCAGGGGTCCCTTTACCTTTACTGTCTGCTTCCACTTTTCTTTTTGCCAAAGGTTATGTTCGTTTTTGTTCTCTTCATTTGGACATGACTTGGACAAGACCTTGACATTCCATTGTTGCACCCATAACCCAGGTTTAAGGTGCTGTTCAGCTCCTAGCTTTCATATCTCAGTTTCTAACACTGGTTCTATTCCCCTCAAAGCACTACAATTCGCAGAGTGATTTAAAAGTCAATTCCTCTTTCCAGGGAACTATGGGAATTGTAGCTCCATGAGGGGAGTAGGAGTCTCTGAAGAACTCCCAGCCCAAACTACAGTTCCCATAACTCTTTGGGGGAACTCATGACTGCTTAAAGTGGTATAATACTGTTTTAGACTTTTAGACTGTTTTAGACAAAGGCAGTATTTAATCAGCATCGTGGTTCTTGCTTGGTTTGTGTTGTATTGTTCTTAGCTTTTCTTGTTAAAGTACCTTGGAAAATCATCTAAGAGTTCTCGTGAATCGTTAATTCCTTGTCATAGTTAAAGTATTTGCTTTTCACAGCATTTTGACCTGCTAAAAGTTGAAGTAGGTCTAAAATGAAGTGGATGCCAATTGTTGAATGTTTCCTGTCGTTCTGGATAGTAACTGTTGTCTCTTCATCATCTGTATTTTATCCTACAAATCTAGAAATTCTGAACCAGCGTCACCCAACAATAAGTCTGAAGAAGAAAAAGCCAAGGCCCCGGTCGTACCATTTGGGTTAGATCTTTTCTACTGGGGCCAAGAGCAACCAGGTTCTGGGAAGATTATTAAGTAAATATACTGCACGTTTTCTTTTAAAATATGTAAAAAAAAAATTCCTCTCTTAAATTGTGATGCATCAAGCCTTATCTGCTCATTTTTACTGAAACCTTGAAATGTAAAAACTGTCTCCACACTTGCAAATTTTATGAGCCGTCTGATGACAGACAGCATTTTTGACATAACCTGATCCATTTCTAGAATTCATTTTATTTAATTTATACGCCACGCTTCATCCAAAGATCACAACGTAAAAACACAAAACGATAAATTGACCTTACAAAATACGTGATGAAGCTGCTTCTGGAGAAGTGAATCACTTGCAATCCTCTTGAGATAGTAGTTTCATTCTATATCTTTTTTAGCTTGCAGCTGAATTAAATATATTCAATATTTTAAAAAATCAAAGTTGTTTAGGAATTTGAGCCCAAGCAGTGTTTAGATATTTTAAAAGCATATGTCATATATCATGAGAAGGTGTTAAAATGTCTCTCTAGAATTTATGTTTATATTCATGACAAAGCCCTGATGTAACTGTTCTGTTTTCTAGATGTTCTTCTCAGCATCGCTTCTGGGCACCCAGCGAAATGGAAGAGGAAGTGGAAAACAAAGAAGTTGCAGAGATGCTGAAGAGCAGATGTATAACATTTGCTGGCAAGTTTGAGCCAGTGAAACACAAATGCCGGGCTCCAATGCCCAATGGAGGACTTTGTGAAAGGCAGGATAGATTTAAGGTGGGTGCTTAATAACACCTCTAGAGCATTCCACTTGGTCCTATTTTGCAATTTCTTTAAAATATTAATACTGTAATGTGCTTGGCCAGAGATATGAGGCAGCAGTTTGAGGGAAACTCTAGAAGGGAAGAATTGAATGTAATCCAAAATGAAGTCCCACATAGTACACCTGTTGCATTACTTGGAATTGAATTAGGTCTCCTTTCTCTAAAAGCCTGCCTCCGTAATTCATGATTAAATGATGGGAAATAATCTTGTTGCTGCCAGACCAACATGGAGCAAAATTAGACTCGCAGAATGGAAAGGACTGGGGCCTGGGCACAGCCTTTTAACAGTTGGATGCCGAATTATTCAGTACCACTATAATGTCTACTCAGGATATTTCTGACCATAAGATTTGTGGTGTAAGATCACTGAGAATGCCAAAATGGACTTTGACTATGAAGAATTTCAAGTCCTCAATTTGGTATATTAAACTTAAATCCAGCCATAAAAGAACTGTTTGAAGAAATGCTTCCCTGTTTTCCTAAAAGAGGGAATGACCTCTGTTTTCCTAAAACAGAGGATGACCTCAAGTTCTACTGCTCTGAAAGAGTGAAGGAATTCCACTAATTGTTTTTATCTTGGAGTTTGGGGTTGCAATTTGTTGATGATTGTAGCTTTTGTGGGTTTGTTGTTGTCTTTTTAAAAAAATGTAGGTACTTTTAGCATTCTTGCAGAAGGAAAAGCAAGGTAGTTTTTAAAAATAAAACATAATAAAATATTTCTGGGAGGATAGCTATGCTCTGCAGCAGCAAAACAATGAAGGATCACTTCTTAAAGACTACAGCTGCAATCCTGTACTTGTTTCCCTGGGAGTAAATCCCATTGAACTTGGTTGAACTTTCTTCTGAGTAGGCATGCACATGATTGCACATTTACTGTGATAATAGTTTGTATTCAGATTTTCCACATTGATGTTCATTGCAGTATAATCTCATTTTAAACATCCTTTCCCCCACCCCGAAACTAAGAACACAAATAATTTAAGGCCTTTCTTTGTAGAGCAAATGCTTTAGCCTTGCCCTTCAAGACGGGATGACCAGATTTTTTCCCCAGAAGGAACAGACACATTCATAGGTTGCAGGTTGGATATTTGGTCTGATCCACTAAGTCCATTCTTACATTTTCAAGCAGAAAGTACTTTGTGTTAAGGCAGGCAACATACTCCATACAAAGAAAAAGCACATATGAGTAAGATGAAAGAAAGAAAGATGATTAAGTGAATCCACAAATTCATATCTCTCAAGGCTACCTCTCTATCTTCTAAAGATACTCCAAAAAAATCCTTTCATTTCACTAAAACTTTCTCAGTGGTTTTTGTATATTGGGAATTTGCAGGTGGAGGAAAAAGCTTGGAGTGCGTTACATGTATGTTGAGTGCAGAGAATTTGTACCAAACCCTTGGTTCAAATAAGCATTTCAGGGAACTACAAATAGGAGTTTTCAGAACTGGTTCCAGTGATAGCAGAGCAAAGTTCCCTGGATTTCATGACCACCTGCTGTTGGGATATTCCCATATCCAGAATGATATGAATCAGTCAGCACAGCCATGTATCTCAAATCAACCCACTTGCAGCTTCTCTGTTCTATCCATAAGCTACAAAAAATGTTCCTAATCAGGCCTAACTTGTTATGAATATATATATAGAGAGAGAGAATGTGTGTGTAACAGCACAAATATCATTGTTTCTTTCTGAAGTGCCCATTTCATGGAAAAATAATCCCCCGGGATGATTCTGGGACTCCTATTGATCAAGAAGACAGAGAGAGAGAAGCAAAGCAACAGTTTGAGAAAAAAGAAAAGCAACCAGGTTTGTATGTTTAATGAAATCTGTGATTATTGAGTTTAAAATATGTGCAAAGTTAATTTAATTTAATTTATAAATTAAAACATGGATTTATCTTTGGTGGAAATTTGGAGAAAAATAGATTATTCCTGGTGCTAGAAAGGACAAGTCATCTTTACTAATACCTTTTTTGACAGCATTTTTGTTGTACCCAAAATGCTTTTCATAAATTAAAGCTCTATGTTTTGTGTAGCAGAAGCCATTTTCTAAATTCCAAAGGAAACGACTATTTTGCTGCTTTTAGATAATAGTGCACAAACGTCAACAAATTAATTTCGGGTGAAATGTTACATTCCTACACTTCATAGCCTAAGTATAGCTACAGTCAAAGTCATAACTGGAACAAGAAAGAAGCTAAATTATCAGATCCTCAGTAGCAAAACTGAAAAGGTCCCTGTGCCTGGCGCCTTGCAGCACAAATGCCAGTCTGAGCTGGATTAAAGTAGGGGTGGGAAACCACTGGCCCCCAGGCCAGTCTTGGCCTGCCAAAAGGTCTAGTTTGGCCCATGAGGCCATTTTCCCCAAACCACACCCAACTTCTCATCGCTAGTGACATTAGCTCAGGCATCCCCAAACTTGGCCCTCCAGATATTTTGGGACTACAATTCCCATCATCCCTGACCACTGGTCCTGTTAGCTAGGGATCATGGGAGTTGTAGTCCCAAAACATCTGGAGGGCTGAGTATGCCTATGCCTGTGTTAGCTGATGGGCGGGAGGAGAGGGTTTAATCCCGCATTGGCTTGTACACCTTGTTCCCAGCAGGATTTAGCACATGCTCCTTAGCAAAAGCACTGTTTGAAACGGCTCACGCTTCTCCCTCAGCAACCCCCTGCCTCTGGCCACCCAGTCACTTCAAGGAGAAATACAAGCTTTCTGTTTCCAGAAACGCAAAATGCTTTAAGCACAAAGCAGGTTCTCTCCCCTCTTCCCACTGAGTGATATTGCAGGAGATCAATCCTGTTTGGTCCAGGTGCACAAGGGAGCTCTCTTCAGAGAGCTTGGTCACACCCCCAAACCTAGCAGAAACCTTCGCTACCCAGCAGGGTGGATTTGATTTAAATCAAATTGATTTAAATCACTAGTCAGTAAGACTTGATTTAAATCACTAGTCAGTAAGACTTGATTTAAATCATTTTTATTTTTTTACAGAAAGATTCATTCTTGCTCTATAATCTTAATATTTGCAACCAGATGATCATTTCATTTTTGGAATAATAAATTTTCAGAGCAGTTTTTTACAGTTATATCAAAAATTACTGATTTGCTTATACCATTAGAAATACATAGACAGATAGATGTCCAAATATAACAGTTAATTATTAAACCTCACAATAATGAAATTGTGAGGTTTAAAAAGTTAACTGTTTATATTTGGACAACTTTTCTGCTGTACTTTATTGGAAGGAGAAAAAACAATCATTTCCTTATGTCAGGGAACTGCCATCGGAAGGAAGGGAGGTGAAAGGGCTCACACAGGTTGGGAGAGACTCAGCAGCTGAAGAGGGAACCAGTAGGGGGAGAGGAGCTGAGCTGAGGGAAAGTGAGCTGGAGGGATGGCTCAGAGACACTTCCAGCGAAAACAGTGGGGAGGTTTCAGGACCTCCTGTAGGAACACCCACTCCTCGCCGGAAACTGTCACGCAGAGAGTCCAGAAGACGTGTTTCCGTTAAGGAGCTTTTATGTTGGAAGCGATTCCGAAAGCAACCACTGTCGGAATCTGCTAGTGACTAGAGGAGCCATGTCTGAGGGGCTCCGTCACAGACAGAGGTTTGTGGACTTGAACAAACTCTGAGGGGATACTATTTTACGCACAAGCAGCTCCTCATCCCATCACAGCATTCCGACAGTCTTTGAAAGCAGCTTGTGCAGGAGAAGGCATCATGAGCAACCCAGCCGGAACCGGAGAAGCAGGAGCTGGAGCGGGTCCAAGCCTGGAAGAAAGGTACCGGGTGTTGGAGGTCCAGCTAGCGCTGCAGACGGCGAGGCTTGAGGAGAGGAGGGCTCAGGATGCAGACAAAAAGGGGAAGCCACCCAGCTCGCCAGAAAGGTACCAGGATTGGTGCAGAAGTTTGGGGGGGAGCCCAAAGACTATCATGGCTTTCGGACAGAGATGCAATATGCCCTCAATCTGCAGTTTGATGAATTCCCTGACGAGGAATCACGAGTGGCTTTCGTGATTGGGCATCTTGAAAAGGGGCAAGAGACTGGGTTAGACCCCTGATGGCAGCGAATAGTGACGTCCTAAAGGACACGATGAAGTTCTTTCGCGCCATGGATCTGATGTTTTCCAGCGATATTGAACAGGGAGTGGTGCGCAGACAGTTAATGGCTTGCAAACAGGGGAGCCGATCTGTCCGTGAGTACTGGACTGAGTTCACCATGCTGGTTCACAGGTTGGGGTGGGACTTATCGGCGGAACCCATTCAAATGCTCTTTGAAGAAGGGCTTTCTTCGGCTGTGAAAGACGAACTTTCCCGGGCGCCCAGGGCGGAGTCTATGGACCAGCTGACCAAATCAGCGCTGACCATAGGAGCGCGCCAGGAGGCGAGAGCATTGGAGAGGCGGGAAGGGAAGGGGAACGTTGGAAGGAGTTCCGCATTCCAGACATTCCAGAGCCAACTTTCCCGCCGGCAGAGCCGATGGAAATCGGAACAGCGCGCGCGCGCGCAGTTTCAAAGCCCAGGGAGGGGGGAAAGACGGAGGGAAAACGCGCCCGGAAATGCTATCTCTGCCAACAGCCAGGTCACTTTGCCAGAGTCTGCCCCCAGAGGAAGGAATGGCAAGGGATGGTAGGAGCTGTGGAGGGAAGAGAGGAAGCAATACCGGAGCAAGTAAAAGCCAACGCCTGGCTGCCACCGTCGGGGCACAGCAGCCAGGCCAAAGAGCAGTGAGAGTGCCCACGCCAGAACCTCCTAAACCCGCCCTAGTGATAGAAGTGGCGCTAGAGCTGCCAAACGGACACCCTCTAAAGATAAAGGCGCTGTTGGACTCAGGCAGCTCCTGCAATTTCATGAGCAAAGAGTTTGCAGCTGAACACCAGATACAGACGATCCCTTTAAGCAACCCCCTGCAGGTGACCACGATCGATGGCAGGGAGCTGTTGGGAGGAGAAGTCAGCTTGCAGACCGTCCCAATGATAATGAAGGTGGCAAGGCACACCGAACTGATCGCGTTTAATGTGGCCACCTTGGGAGGAGCTCCCATTATATTGGGGATGAGCTGGCTAGCGTTACATGATCCGCTGGTGGGCTGGCATCAGAGAGTGGTTTCTTTTGGTTCAGCACATTGCTTAGAACACTGCAAAGAGGGAAAGGGTTTGGCAGGAGCCCAAGCCACCCTAGCAGGGACTGAAGTAACGGAGAACGTGAAGGTACCATGACAATACGCAGATCTCCGCGACGTCTTCAGCGAAAGGGAAGCTGACCAACTACCCACGCATAGACCCTTTGACTGTCAAATCAATTTACTCCCTGGGGCACAGCTCCCTGTAGGCAAGCTGTACGCCATGTCAGACAGAGAGATGCAGGAGCTAAGAGAGTTCATTGACAAGAACCTGAAGAGAGGGTTCATCAGAGAGTCCAGGGCGGTGGGGGCAGCCCAGTGTTTTTGTGGATAAGAAAAACACGAACAAGCCGAGGCTGGTGTGTGACTTCAGGGCCTTAAATGCAGTGTCAGAACCAGTGGCCTTCCCTATGCCCAGGATTGACGACATTTTGACAAGGGTGCGGAAGGGAAAGATTTTCACAAAGCTGGACCTAAGGGGGGCGTACAACCTGATACGAATAAGGAAGGGGGATGAATGGAAAACCACCATGTTCACCCCTTTAGGGGCATTTGAATATTTGGTTATGCCCTTCGGCCTACAAGCAGGATCCGCAACCTTTCAATCGTTTATGAACCACGTCCTGGGGCCTTTGCTTTACAAGAATTGTGTGGCCTTCTTAGACGACGTGTTGGTGTATTCTGAGAATGAGGAGCAGCATGTGAAAGACGTCAGAGAAGTGTTGAGCAGGCTGCAAGCCAACCAGCTGTGGGTGAAACTGGAGAAGTGTCAGTTTCATACCAAGGAGGTGGAATTCCTGGGGTATCGCCTGTCAGACAAGGGATTGGCCATGGATCCCGGCAAGGTCCAGGCGGTGCTGGAATGGAAAACACCCAAAACAAGGAAGGATGTGCAGAGGTTCCTAGGATTTGGGAACTTCTATCGTAAGTTCATCCGAAACTTTGCCCACCTGACGGCGCCCATTACGGACTGTCTCAGCAGTAAGAAGAAGTTCGTTTGGACTGAGGAGGCGGAGCGAGCATTTGAGGAACTAAAAGGGCCTTCGCCTCGGAACAACAAATCCTGCATGTGGATTTACAAAAACCGATGAGAGTGGAAACTGACGCATCAGACAGAGCGATTGGGGCGGTGCTTCTGCAGCCAGGGAAGGAGGAGTCAGAGTGGAGACCGTGTGCTTTTTTTCGCGAAAGCTGAACAAATCCGAGAGGAACTACACGGTGTATGACCGAGAACTACTAGCCATTCATGAGGCGTTCCGGAGATGGAGGCACCTGCTAATTGGCGCACAACATAAGGTGCAAGTGTGCACTGACCACAAGAACCTAGAGTATTGGAGGACGGCACGAGTGCTCAACCAACGGCAAGTGAGATGGGCCCAGGAGTTCTCCAAATTTAACTTTGAGATTGGTTACGTGCCAGGCCCAGAGAACATTAGGGCGGACGCTCTCTCACGCAAACCTGAATATTTGGAGGGGAGGAGCACCCGAAGAGAGACATGTCATTCCAGAGGACCGCTGGGTGTGTGGGGCGGCATTGGTGGGACAAAGAGAACTGGTAGAGGAAACAGAGAATGATGAATACGCCCAGAATAAGCTCAGAGGTCTTAGGGGTGAGGGAGAGGAACCAGGGGTTTCGAGGAAAGAAATGGAGCTTTGTATTACAAAGGGGCACTGTATATCCCTGACCGAGACTTAAGGGGGGGCTACTCAAGCAGTTGCACGACAGCCCTACGGCGGGGCATTTTGGACAACACAAAACCATGTGGTTGGTCACCAGGGAATTTTGGTGGCCTAAGGTGAGGGAAGATGTACGTGAGTATGTAAGAGGGTGCGAGCAATGCCAGCGAGCCAAAGGGGAAAGGCGGGCGCCGGCGGGGCTATTAGAACCCTTACCAACCCCAGAACGACCTTGGGAGGCAGTGTCGATAGATTTTATGACTGATCTGCCGAAGTCCAAAGGGAAAACAGCCATCATGGTGGTGGTAGACCTACTAACAAAGATGTGCCACTTTGTAGCTTGCTCGCATGCAGTCACGGCGGAAGAGACAGCGAAGTTATTTGTAGAACACATTTTTAGGTTGCACGGGGTGCCATTGAGGGTGGTCTCAGACCGAGGAAAACAATTTACTTCCAGGTTCTGGAGGAAGCTCATGAGCTTACTGCAGGTGGAGGTCAATTTTTCGACTGCCCGGCACCCTGAAACCAACGGGCAGGCGGAAAGAGCAAACGGTGTCCTCCAGCAATACCTGAGGTGTTATGTCAATGACAGAGAGAATGACTGGGTAGAAAAGTTGGCGCTGGCGGAATTTGCCTACAACAATGCCGAGAATGTGTCCACAGGGATGAGCCCCTTCTTGGCTAATTATGGGTGTCATCCCAGGGCTTTCCCAGGGGAGATGGGGAGAGATGGAGCGTCCCGGCAGCCGAGCATTTTGTGGAAGAAATGGAAGCAATCCATCGTCAGCTCCAACTCAACTTAGAAAGGGCGAAGGAAGAATACAAGAGGCAGGCAGACAAGAACCGAAGGGAAGGTGAAACCATAAGGGTGGGAGATAGGGTGTGGCTGTCAACCCAAGGGTTACCGTTCAAAGGAGGTTGTAAGAAATTAAGACCCAGGAGGTTGGGTCCCTTTGAGGTCATTCAACAGGTCAACCCAGTGGCTTTCAGGCTCCGGTTACCCAACCACATGAAACTGCACCCAGTATTTCACAGGTCGTTACTGTCACCGTACGAAGGGGGACGAGAAGGGATGGCCACTCGGGGACCGGTCATAGAAGAAAGAGAATGCAGCAGCCATGTGGCAGAAATCCTCGACGCCAGGTGGAAGGGGGATCAGGTGGAGTATTTGGTAGCGTGGGAAGGAGAACCGGAGTCAGAAAACACTTGGGTAATGGCCGAAGATATCAATGACGAGGTATTGATAGAAACGTTCCATCAAAGGTTCCCAAGGAAACCTCAGCCTGTGGAGAGGTTCCGGAGGGAATACTTTGGGACCACTGATGAGGAGGAGGAGTTGGAAGGATTCCCGGACTCGGAAGGGGAAAGGGAGATGGACTCTGAGGAGGAGGAGTACTTCGAGACCAGGAACCGCAACAGGTGGAGAGAAGTGTTCGAGACATCGGAAGATGAAGGAAGTTCATTCCGGGTTTTGCCTCCTCACCGCCCGTAGAGGAGGGGGCGAGAGGGGGTGAAAGGGGCCCTGGAGGGGAGGTGGATGTCAGGGAACTGCCATCGGAAGGAAGGGAGGTGAAAGGGCTCACACAGGTTGGGAGAGACTCAGCAGCTGAAGAGGGAACCAGTAGGGGAGAGGAGCTGAGCTGAGGGAAAGTGAGCTGGAGGGATGGCTCAGAGACACTTCCAGCGAAAACAGTGGGGAGGTTTCAGGACCTCCTGTAGGAACACCCACTCCTCGCCGGAAACTGTCACGCAGAGAGTCCAGAAGACGTGTTTCCGTTAAGGAGCTTTTATGTTGGAAGCGATTCCGAAAGCAACCACTGTCGGAATCTGCTAGTGACTAGAGGAGCCATGTCTGAGGGGCTCCGTCACAGACAGAGGTTTGTGGACTTGAACAAACTCTGAGGGGATACTATTTTACGCACAAGCAGCTCCTCATCCCATCACACCTTACTAACAATTTAAACAATTTATTTATCTAAAGCAATAACATTATGGCATATGTATCCATGTTTATTAACTGATGTGGTTAACTTAAAAAAAAAAAAAAACTTAGACTGAGTTTTAGCGCACATGAAAAGCTTAAAATAAATCCTTATTTCCTGATGAATAGCCTTTGGACTATAATGTATCCTAAATAGAAAACTATCTTTAGAAAGATTTTTCCTCCAAAAGCGTTTTATTTTAAAAATCCAATTTAAATAATAAAAAAAGATTTATTTTTTTAAATCATTCATTTTTATCTACCCTGTTACCCAGTGTCAGCTGGTGCTAGGGGAGGGTGACCCAGCTTTCTTGTGCACCCAGACCGATCTGTTTGGCTGCACACATTGCAGAAATAAAGCAAGACACTGCCAACGGGAAGGTTTTTTCCCCTTGAAAGGAAGGAAAGAAACTTCCCTTCAGCAGTGCCATGGTGCCCACTACCAAATCCCCTGACATCATTTGCAATGTCAATTGAGAGGTGCTCTTTGGAGATGCCACCTGTCAAATTTGGCCTATGAGGCAATTCTTGATAGGACTGTCACCTACGGAGCCAAAAAGGTTTCCCACTCCTGGATTGTTTGTCTGTTTGTTTTTTTAAAATTTGCCTACCGCCTTTCAAGGGACGCGAGTGGCGCTGTGGATTAAACCACAGAGTCTAGGACTTGCCGATCAGAAGGTCGGCGGTTCGAATCCCCGTGACGGGGTGAGCTCCCTGCCCACCTAGCAGTTCGAAAGCACGTCAAAGTGCAAGTAGATAAGTAGGTACCGCTCCGGCGGGAAGGTAAACTGCGTTTCCGTGTTCTGCTCTGGTTCGCCAGAAGCGCCTTAGTCATGCTGGCCACATGACCCGGAAGCTGTACGCCGGCTCCCTCGGCCAGTAAAGCAAGATGAGTGCCGCAACTCCAGAGTCGGTCACGACTGGACCTAATGGTCAGGGGTCCCTTTACCTTTACCTTTACCGCCTTTCATCCTTGTATCTCAGGGCAGTTCTGAGCATAAAGATAAAAACACAAAATGCATAATAGAAACAAGAACAAAACAAAACCCCTCCAACAAACACATTTAGAAGGATATAGGATATTAGTCAGCCCAAGGCCCAGTTGAAGAGTAATGTTTTCACCTGGTTCCTGAAGGTGTGTAAGGAAGGGGCCAGGCAAGCCTCCCTGGGGAGAGCGTTTCACAAATGCGGAGCCGCTGCAAAAAAAGGCCCATCATCGTATTGCCACCCTCTGAACCTCTTGTGGAGAGGGCACACAAAGAAGGGCCTCTGAAGATGGATCTCAGGGGCCAGGTCAGTTCATACGTCGATTGCTTGAGAGGCAGTCCTTGAAATATTGCGGTCAGGAGCCCCTTGAGGCTTTATCGGTCAAAACCAACGCTTGGAATTGGGCCCCTGAAACTAATTGGCAGCCAGTGCAATCGGGCCAGTTAAAGGGATGGTTTGGCAAGAATAAGGCAGCAGTTGTTCTACGTGGTCCTTGGTGTCTTTGCAAGGGAGGAGAACGTCTAGCAAAATAGAATCAGCTGGCTCTGCCCCACCTGTTAAGACACCTGGCCCTCCCTCAAATGGACGCTGGCCTCACTGGTTCAAGGTTTCAGAAAGTGTGTCCCCTTTTTTCAGAATCTGGTTCCCCTGAAAATAATGGCACCTACCATGTTTGCAGTACTAGAAATAAAGAGTTGGGACATGAGGCAAAGTACCGTATTTTTTGCTCGATAAGACTCACTTTTGCCCTCCTAAAAGTAAGGGGAAATGTTTGTGCATCTTATGGAGCAAACGCGGGCTGCGCAGCTACCCCAGACCCCAGAACAGCACGAGGGTTTGCTGATTTCACTGCGCAGCGATCCTCTTGCTGTTCTGGCTTCTGAGATTCAGAATATTTTTTTTCTTGTTTTCCTCCTCCAAAAACTAGGTGCGTCTTGTGGTCTGGTGTGTCTTATAGAGTGAAAAATACGGTAAAAGACGAAGCATTTTGAGTCCCCTCTTGTGCCCTTTATATCTTCCTGTCCAGGTAACTGAAAGCAAAAGGTTGAGCGATCCTCACGCTACAGTGTAATAGTGATGAAGCCTTGATTTCTGTTTCTTGACTCTTTAAAAATATTACATCCTAGCCCAAGTGTCCACAGAGCTTCAGGCTCTCCTGAAACGACGAATCATGAGGGATTAGGCTGACCTGCTAATCTGCAGTGTTCATCCTTTTACAATAGTTCACACAGAGGAGCAAATTAAGTGCCTATTTTTTGTGTCAGCCCTGAAGAATATCTGGTTTTCCAACCCTTAGTGACTTGTTAACAAACAGGTATCAGGACAAGGTAGTGAAGGCAGCCCCTGGCCAGTCAGATGTGAAATAGTATCTCTTTACTAACTACAGTATTGATTCCGCCCTACCCCTTGCAAACTGTGTAATTTTCTTTTCCCTGCTGCTAAACCAGTAACAATGTATGAAGAGCTTTAGGGGCCCATCAGTGCTCAAAAAGGCTGCTCTTCCTGGCACGCTATCGATTTTTCTCAAAGGCTTTTAAATTGCTCCTTCATTTTACTCAAATGCTCATTTCATCTCTACTGAACGCCAGTGTTTTTTTGTTGTGTTTAAACAATCGCTCCATTCACAGGGTTCCTAAACTGTGTGTCTGTGCTGCCTTCTTATTTACTGGGAGATAAACAGTTTAGTTTTTGTTAATCTTGGATTAATAGTTCCTGTATCTGAATTGTTCTGCTTTGTAGTCCTTTACTTCAAAAAAGTAAACTGTGTCATCCATCTGCTGCAAGTGAGTGCTTTAATTTTGCTCTTCTAGGCTTCTTGCCTTGGAATTTTTCTAGAGCTCCATTTGCACTTAATGCAAAGGTTCATCAGCGCTCCCCAACCTGGTGCCCTCCAGATGTTTGGAATGCAGCTCACACCAGCTGCACTGATGGAAATCATTCACCAAAAACACCTGGAGGGCAACAAGTTGAGGGAAGCTGCTCTAGATGATATCTCTTCGGTGTGGAATGGTTTGATTTTTTCCTGACTCGGCCTCCATTTTTAATTCGGTTCTGACATTCTGAAAATTCAGCAATAAAACGCTTGTTGGTGTTTTTGCCTTTGTCTAGAGTGGCAAGACCCAGAGTTCATGAGAGAAGTTGAAGCAGCCACCGGGGCTGATCTTGGATCCTCTCGGTATAGTGGAAAAGGAGGGAAAAAGAAAGGGAAGAAAAAGAAATATGCAAACCTCACAGACCTGAAGCAGCAGGCAAATACTTCTCGCTCCCGCCTGGAAAAGAAAGTTTTCGATAAGTAAGAGGCTACTTTGCTTATAATGCCTATCTTGTTTGTTGCTCTGCTAATTTAGTTTTGTTTTTATCATAGAATTGGAAGGGACACCAAGGGTCATCTAGTCCAACCCCCTGCAATGCAGGAACATTGCCTTACTTCTTTAGAGTGTGCCTTTTATATACAATATCAAGGAAAATACAGGTTTTGGTACCAGAAACGCTCTTGCTGGAAATCTGAAATTATGTCACTTGAGTCAAAAATAAGAAGTTTTACACAGTATTAAAACTGTTTTATTTTAATTTATTTATTTTAAAATTATTTGTGTTGATTCATAGAATATTGCTACATAAGAACAGCTAGTTTTTGTGCTGTCCATATTAGGTATGTTACTGGTAACATCATTGTCATCATTTGAACAGTGGTGATTGGACTTTATTGCACATTGTATGTATTCCCTATCTCTGTGCATTGTGTTTGCCTTAAAGTAATGGATATCTGTTTTTAATACACATTTTTATCAAGCATTATTTCTACTACAAAAGACTGTGGAAGTGCTGAGTTTCCTTGACAATGTTACAGAAGCGGGGGCAAAGCCAAGCTTGGGATACTTCAGTGTGTTCTTTCCAGAATGCCTGGCACTCGCCAGAGATTGCCCATGAGGGTGGGTGGGGGTGGGTAGGTCTTATTTCCCTTTTTTTTTTCCTTTTTTTTTTCTTTTTTTGAAAAAAAAAATATCCAGAATGAGATGGGAGCATCTTTCCTTCACCTGCTTTTGTGTCTGTTGTGGAGCTGGATGAGATCATGTAAACAGGACACAAAGGCAGACGTGCTAACATCGGGCATCTCATTCTTATTTTTTTATTTTTATTTTATTTTGGGGCTGGGTTTACCTACACAGGACTCATGGACTCCTGCCAGTGAAGGGAGGCCTTGTGCGGCTTCTGGTGCATGGCAGTGTCTTTGCCACGGTGTGCCATTGTTGCCAGCAGTAGGCTGACCTATGCTGCTGGTGCCAAGCATGCCGTGGGTTTGTGGGGCACAGCGACCATTTCTTCCCGGGCAGAATATGGAAAGGGTAATCCCAAGTGGGAGCACGCTAGATCTGCTGTGACATTTGTGATGCGCCTCTGCTATGCCAGGATCTCCCTTTTGGCAACATTCCAGAGTTCTGTGCAGGTGAGGGGGTGGGGGGGATGCAAAAATATACAAAGATAACGGCTCTGCTGTGTCTTAACCAGGAATTGTGGGAGGGGCTATCTGGAAGAAAAATTAGTCTCTATTCCCCTTATTGAAACAAGACTGGAAAACGTCAGGGGGAGGGATGTTTTGTTTTCAGTTCAAGCAACATTGTATTTCATTAGTCCTCGGTCCAGGCCATGTTCACTGTGAACAGTGGGGACTAGAATTTGGAAACGGGATGGGGTGGGGTGGGAGGGAAAATAAAACTTTTTGAACTGGTAACTGGCAAATGTCCAGTAGAGCTCATGTTTTTGGTTTGATATGTGTCTGCGCACACAAGTATGTAATAGAAGGCTGACCATATCTGTGTCAGAGGGCAGAAGTGATGGATGATAAAAGCCTGACTTACTTTTCAAGAGAGAATTAGCTCAATAAAAGCTCACTGGGACTCAAAAAAAAAAAAAGAAAAAAAAAAAAAAAGAAAGTAGCAGCTTATGCATACATCTGATATTCAGTTGCATAAGATACATAATAAATACAATAGCATTCATTGATTACATAAAACATGCTACTTTTTTAAAGGAAAATGGGATGGAGCATAAGAGATATTAAGAATAATATGGCACATGCTCATATTTCTATTTTCATTTATACCCAACAGAGCTATTAAGTGTTAGGGTTGGATTCCACCCTCTCTTCCTTATTCCCAAACTGGTCAGCTAACAGCTTTGCTGGTTGTATAGATTGCTTCTTTGTGTGAGGAGTCTGTTCTTTAGATCCAGGAATCTATGCTTACGAAATAGCTAAGCGCTCCCAATTCAAAACTGTAATCCTGTGCAAGCCAGTATGTTGAACCCCTCTACAAATCTGACTATACACAAGGGCAACGACCTGCTCAGTGCCTGGATGCTGATCGTTTAGAAATCTGGTCCCAAGAAATAGGCAGCAAGAAGTCTGAAACTGTAGCATGTTTGTGCAGAAAGTATATGCTTTGTGTCTGTCACTAAATAAGAATTCTTTCTCCTTTTTTTGTTTCATTTTCTATAATTTTTACTAAATTTTCTGTTTTATATTTTAGAATATTCATTTAAACAACCTTAAAATATCAGTGACCCCTTCTTCTCTTTCCATGGTTCATTTGCATAACATAAAGGTAAAGGTACCCCTGCCCGTACGGGCCAGTCGTGTCCGACTCTAGGGTTGTGCGCCCATCTCACTTAAGAGGCCAGGGGCCAGCGCTGTCTGGAGACACTTCCGGGTCACGTGGCCAGCATGACGAAGCTGCTCTGGCGAGCCAGCACCAGCGCAGCGCACGGAAACACCGTTTACCTTCCCGCTATAAAGTGGTACCTGTTTATCTACTTGCACTTTAGGGGTGCTTTTGAACTGCTAGGTGGGCAGGAGCTGGGACCGAAAGACGGGAGCTCACCCCGCCGCGGGGATTCGAACCACCGACCATACGATCGGCAAGTCCTAGGCACTGAGGTTTTACCCACAGCGCCACCCGCGTCCCTAGCATAACATAAATCCCTACATATTTTATATAAACTAAACCATTCAGTATTCCATTATTACATCCATCAAAACTTATTTACACTGTTGAATTTCATCTTAATGCTGCCCACGTTTTCAAATATTTCCCTCCATATATTCAGTAAACATTTTCCAATCTTCTTTAAACATCTGTTCTTCTTCTTCTCTTCTTCTATATTATAGGTCCGCAAGCTGCGTATATTCCATCAGTTTGAATTGCCATTCTTCTTTAGTTGGGACTTCGCTCATTTTCCATTTTTTCCCATTCTTGCTTCTTCCCTATATTTTGGGAACAGGCATATACAGGCCAAAGCCAAGAACGTTCTAGAGTGCTCTGCACATGAGATGGAGTAAGGAAAGGCCTTCTATCCATCTTTCTTCAGAGTAAAAACGTTAGGAAACTTTGAGACTTTTCATACCCTTTGAATTGGGTCAGTTAAGTGTAGTTGCATGAGCAGTGCACACCAGACATTTTCTCAAATGGGATTTCCCTCTTCTCCAGCTCACTCTTGTTCAAGGAAGCTGGAATTGCATCTTCTGCAACGAAGTGTCCTCAGCGCTGATGCACAATGTATCATTTGTCTGACCTGATGTTTTAACACAATTTATTCATACATTCAAAATGTTATCGCTAATGTTTCAGCATCTTCCTATTATTATTTATCCCGCTTTTATTCCTAAAAGGAGTCCAGTGCAACAAACATTAAAGTAGCACCAATCTGTAAACAGCAGCTGTTTTCAAATAATACACACATCCACAGTGTCTGTGACTTGAAATGACATCCTTGTGCTGTGGGTCTGTGCCTAAGTAGCCACAGCTCATTCCATAGCTGTGCCAGCCACTACCACAAATGTGGGCTGGTGACATGAAAGCTTCATTCCCAGACGTACAGATCTGCCTTCGTTGCATGTTGCAACCAGTGCATGTTCCAGCCGTGCCGCAGTGACCGTTTGAAGCCAGCCTCTGTGTGGCAGAACGACAGCAAGTGTGATCAATCCAAGTGGAGCAAAACAAATGCCATTAAATCGAGAAGCAAAACACTTTTTGTTTGCAACAAAAATACTAGTGTTTACAATATTATATAACCTCAAAAGCCCGAATGAGCCAGTTTTGAGGGATGTTCATTATTTTAAAATGGTGTTGCTTTCCTTGTCTTGATGTAATGGTTGTTATGAGTAATGAAAACTCGCCTTGCTTTTCTTCTCCTCGCAGAACAACACATTGTCCATGACAATCTTGTATTATCTGGTCTTATTTTGAGGAGTCAATAAGCCATAAAGTTCTAATAAGCAGAATTTCACATCAGCTTTAGAAAATAAATTTTAAAAGTTGTTTTTAGTTTACTGTGCTTCGTGCTAATGATTTTGAATGTGTGTTAGTGCCAGGCGTGGGAATTCAATCTGTCATGTTTTAATAGGTTTCATAGTTTGCAGCACTAAACAAGATGATAACCTTGGCTTTATATAACAGTCCCAAATTACTTGAAATGTACAGGTGATAAACCCAGGCTCTAGTCTGCCAATAAAGTTAAGTGAAATTGCACACAGATCATCAGAGTGGGATCTCATTTCATTTACAGTATCTCACAAGCTAGTGCTGCTAATGTAAAACCTACATGACATGAAAGTGCCAAGGCCATTGTACCCTGCTAAAGACTCACTTTTCTCCTGCCAATTAAATATCATTCCCGCTCCAAAACCATGACCACATAGTTGTCGTTCTTTTATAGCAATGCCTCCTGTAAACTCCTCAAGCCAGAGGAGTTTCGCTTTTAAAGGGGCACCTCTTTTAATCTGTTGTATTTGCTCCATGTGTCCTTTGCCCTTAGACAACTTTAAAAGGTTTAAAGCAAAAGCAAAAACGTGCCCAAAGCTATCTCCATTGTTGTCCTAGTTTCCAGGAAATACAATGGCAAGCTCAGTAGGTGGTTGGTATCTAACGGGGAGCTTTTTAAGCAGAGGTTGGATGGCCATCTGTCAGGGATGCTTTAGTTGAGATTCCTGTATTGCAGGGGATTGGACTAGATCACTCTCGGGATCACTTCAAGCTCTACAGTTCTGTGATTCTATGAATAACGAAGTGTGCAAGGTTTGGGGCACCTGCAGATTGACTGCCATCAGTGGCTGATGTTGGTGCCATCAGTTAGTTGGTGCGAGAATTCAGCCAAGATGCATGTGAACAGCACACATGGGCGTATGGTGTCTACGCCCATACAGCTGCCAGTCATCTTGCAACTGGAGGGGATGGTTGTGCTAGAATATTACAATACAGGTTCATAGAAAATTTGTCTCAGTTACCTTATTTGCAGATTGGAGAAGCTAAACTTTAGGGGCATCCTGTTGCAGGCCAGTAGGAAAACTAGGCACCTGTCTCAAAAACTAGAGATTTCCAGAAATTCTAAAGCTGACTTGGTGAAGGGTTGGAATATATACAGTAATTTTTATCCTCGAGCCTATACTTGGAAAAAACACATGAAATGCAGGAGGCGGGAGTTTTGTGAAGTCGATTTGACTGAGAGAGTGTGATTTGCCCAAGTTCATCAAGTGAGCTTTAGGACTGAGTGGGATTTTTGTCCCTCTAACCGCTAGACCACACCCGGTCTGTAATTTGTGTAGTTTAACACATATAGAATAAGTATGGAAATAAGATTCAGTGGCTGCAGTTTATTGAAATGGATTGAGATCCTTCCCTTTGTGTGGTCTGTAGAATAATAATAATAATAAATTTTTATTTGTACCCCGCCCTCCCCGGCTGGAGTTGGGCTCAGGGCTGCTAAAGCCCTTCCCTCTGATCTGAGCAACTCTTCTCAATTTATGCTTGGGGGGGGCGGAAACAAAATTTGTTTCCAGAAATGATTTTATGCAGATGCTTTGAGTTCTGTTAAAAACAGCTATTTGCAGGTTTGTGGGATGAATTGAATGGACGCATGCATGCACAGGGCCTGTTAAGACTTCGTGGTTTAGGGGCCCCATTAAACTAATTTGATAGTTTCAAAACAGTTGCTGTTTGTTTATATTGCTCTGGTTAATTCCGTTTTAATGTGCAAAACGCTTTCTGCTCACTGCAGAAGATCGTAAACGTTGCCCCCTAGAGGTACATGTTCCATATATTCCCACTTCAGTGTTTAAAATTTCACTAAAGCAATTGTGTAAAAATGAATGTGGCCATAAAAGGTGTGGTGTGCGATCATTACAGTGAAGAACTTTGCTTTGTTTATTTCTTTTAATGAGCCCATTGCTAAATTAAAACTTATTTCTGTAGCTAATTTAATTAAGATTATAAATTTGCTCTGCTTCGTCATCAGCGCAGTGTTGTGGAGGCTTGATTAGCAATTAATCACATCCCACTACATTATATTTGCTCACATGTTCATAAATGCTGCTCACATTTGTGCGTAACCTCACTTTAGTTCTCTCCTTTTCATCTTGCCTTGTTTTCTTCTTACAGAACAGCCATGAAGCGCGTGGTGAAAGCGATGAATCGAATGGATCAAAGAAAACACGAAAAGTTTGCAAACCAGTTTAACTATGCACTAAACTGAGTTGCCGTAAATGGCAAAACTGCAAGGACCTTTGCCAGAACTGCCACTCTGTAGAGGAAAGCATTTTATTGGACTAGTTTACTTAGTATCAACTTGCGTAATCTAATACATTTTACAATGAAGATGAATTGTACACATAATTTTGTGTGTGCTTATATTGATAACTGTTCTGTTCTCATTTTAAACAGAAGACTTGTGGTTTGTATATATTCTAACACCACTCTAGATTTTTTACTTTTTGGTGGACTGCAGATTTTCAGCCTTTAATACCTTGACTCAGTGGTCACAGATGATGGGAGTTGTAGTCTATGATGGGAGATGATGATGGGAGTTGTAGTTCCCCACCCTCTATTTTTCAGGAGCCACACTCCCCCCCTTTTTTTTTCTTTTGGTACATTCCATTTCCAACACCTGCATTTACTTTTCCTGAAAGAATAACATCTGGCAACAAAGGACAAACTCCCCTTGAGCAGCTTTTGTGTCAATCTGGATGTGTGAGTTTATTCCTGCGATTCGGCAATTGTCCAGTTGTCTTTAGGTGAGAAGGTGTTCTTCTGTAGTCAGCACACTTGTGACTAACTGAGAATACAAGCGCTTTGCCAGAAACATTCTCTGTGGCTGTAACCGGAGGCATAAGGTTTTGCTGGAACGGCTTCCTTTTAAAAGCATGCCTTGGCCCTTGGGGGCACATGATCACACAGTCATTGTCTAGGTTTCGTGGATGAGATCAGCCTTGCTCACAATTTTCATTTCACGGGAAAGTCTAGCATCACATGAACAAGGCAAGGAGAAATTTATTACTTGTGTACCATTTTAAATGCTCTTGTTCATGATGGTTGTCAGATCTCTTCATTTTTGTTGTAGGCGGCACTTGTAAGTATTTGCATGTAAAATTGTTAATAACTCCTAAAGAGGAACAACTATGTTCTGTGAATGGCCCTGAGACCTCCGGTTATAGGGTGGTATATTAATAATAATAATAATAATAATAATAATAATAATAATAATAATAATAAAGTTAATTCCTGCCTGGGGATCTGCAGACTTGCAAAATGGGCCCAGTGGAGAGAGCATGAGTGGACACTGAAATAAACAATAAATCTTGTTTTTTTGAAGCCATTCCACCTCCAAAAAAGGAGAGAAAAAAATATCTATGGGCACATGGAAAGGACAGTGGCCGCTGAGGGCAGAGCAGTAGTGCAAGACTGTTGAAAGACAGCTCAAGACTACTGAGGTTCTGGGTGCAAGAATTGAGCATCAAGCTGGACGCATAGAAAGCGGCAGAGTGAAAGGCTTGTGTTGAGCAGGAAGCTCACTGTTCGCTCCTCACTTACACTGCTAGATAGGAAAATGCATTGGCCAAGCTTGCTCATTCACCACAAGCACACCTGACCCACGGCCGGGCGAGTGCACCTTAGCAGGAGGGAGAGTGGTAGGGTCAACGCAGCGGGAAGGACTATACTGGGTAAATTCTCTTTTAAATGACATTAATTAAAGGCCTTGTAATGACAAAAGAGTTGAAGAGCTTATATAAAGGAAATAATACATAAAATGAAAATTAATATTTAAAATCAGAATATGTATTTTATTATAGGAGGAGGAGGGCCTGGTAACAAAAAAAATTTGTGAAAACGTTTATGGATATTGCACTTATAAATAGTGTGTTTTGCTTTGGATACTTTTTTCTTAGTTTTTTTTAAAAAATTATGATTGGGTTTTATAAACAAGAATAAGGTTATACAAACAAGTATACCAAGTTTTCTCATGTCATTTGTGTATCACAAAAAAGCATAATAAATGTGGGGAAATATCTGCAACATGTGTTTCATTGTTAGTGGTCAATGTACAGGTTCTTGGTTCATGAATTGGTTTAGAAAGGAAGGAAGGAAGGAAGGAAGGAAGGAAGGAAGGAAGGAAGAAAGAGGGGAATGGTGAGTGGGGTGGGGTCGGGTGGTTATGCTTCTATTCTTAGTGTGGGTGGATACTTTTTTCTTATTCTTTTCTGGTAGCAGTTTTTGCTTTTTTATTTTCCAAAGTGGGTCCCCTTTCCCCCCCCCCAACACTCTGGGTAAGGCTAATTTATTCAGGACGCTGATCAGGAGGGGGAATGGCTAAAACATAGCTAGCTAACCAGCCTTAGCGCAGCTGAATGCGGAGTAGGGCTGCCTGTCTGTGGTGCATAAGTTGAGAAGTGGCACATAATTCTATACTGAGTGTTCAGTTCATGAATGTCTTCAGAAGCAAGGTGCTGAAAATTCAGAAGACAACTGAAAATTTGGATTATCTTGGTAAATGACTTTTTAAAAATGCAAAGCACATCTACAGTGGTACCTCAGGTTACATATGCTTCAGGTTACATACGCTTCAGGTTACAGACTCCGCTAACGCAGAAATTGTACCTCAGGTTAAGAACTTTGCTTCAGGATGGGAACAGAAATCATGCTCCGGTGGCACAGCGGCAGCAGGAGCCCCCTTAGATAAAGTGGTGCTTCAGGTTAAGAACAGTTTCAGGTTAAGAACGGACCTCCGGAACAAATTAAGTACTTAACCCAAGGTACCACTGTGTCTGGAATACGACAGTTTTTTCTCAGAAAGAGCTGCATTTCCTTGAAGTGGGAATGGGGGGGGGGGGGAGAACCTGTGGCTCACGAATTAGTCTTGGCCCAACAGGGAGTCCAATTTGGGTTAAATCTTGTGTTTCCAGCAGGAAATCGGCATTCAGCCATAACAGCAGGATTTGCCCCCTGCTAGTTAGCTGATGAGCTGGGGGTTAAGCCCTGCACAGTTTGGCAGGATTCCATGCAACTCTTTCCTGATTCAGGACCCCCCTGCTCCACTTACCGTATTTTTCACTCCATAAGACACACTTTTTTCTTCCTAAAAAGTAATGGCAAATGTCTGTGTGTCTTATGGAGCAAATGCATGGTCCCTGGAGCCGAATTGCCCAGGGGCAAAAAGCAGATCATGCTTTTTTTTTTTTTGAAAGAGGGAAGTAGGTGTTGAAACAAAGCCGCTAGTCGTTTGCTGATTGGGGAGAGAGATAAGAGACGCTAGAGATAAAGGAGGCTGCCTGGGAGAGGGGAGGTAAAGACAGCAAACTTGCAAAGGGGGAAAACTGGAAGACTAAAGCAATGAGAGAAATTAGAAGAAAAGGGGGAGCAAAAAGCTGCTCCCGCTAAGGAAAAGACACTAAGGCAAACAAGAGGGAAGGGAGTGTTGAAAGGAAGCAGCTGATCGGCAAGCGATTGGAGAGAGAGAAAAGGGATGCTAGAGATAAAAGAGGCTGCCTGGGAGGGGGGAGGTAAAAGCCCATGGATCCTCAGGATTTTTGCAGTGGGTCACCCCAAATTCACTATCAGATCACATAGCAGGTCCATGACTACAGCCTGCACCAAAAATATCACGTATCCACTGTTTCGTGGGGCTGCAGTGGTGCAAAAACATGGTTACAAAGCACGGATCCACATGGATTCTCAGGATTTTTGCATTGGGCTACTCCAAACTCACTGTCAAATCACATATCTGTGGCCACAGCATGAACCACAAAAATCACCCGCTGTTTCGTTCAGAATATTTTTTTCCCTTGTTTTCCTCCTATAAAAACTAGATGCATCTTATGGTCAGGTGTGTCTTATGGAGCAAAAAATACGGTAAGCAGGAGGAGAAGACATTCAGGTGAGCAACTCTGCCTACGGAAACTGGAGCTTGATGCAGGACCAGCTTTTCAACACAGCGAGTCCTCTTTCCTCTGGAAGCATCTCTTTCGCAACTGCTTTATTAAAAGGCTGCAAGTCAGTTCCCAGGACTAATACACTCCTAGTGTGAGCTTGAAAAATCAGAGCACTCCAGGGTTGTTAAGATTGTTTAAATTTTGAGTTAACAACGCCTCGAGACAGCAAACGATGCTAGGTGCCCACTTCATCTGCTGCTTTAACAACCATTCCTGCCCCAGTCCCAATATTCATGGGGTTGTGATGATGCTAATGCAACCTCCATCCATTTCCTTTATTTCTAATGCTGCTGTAGAGCTCACATCCTTGCAAACTGTTAAATATTATATAGAAAGCATCAGTCTCGCACTATGGAGGGTTTTTCGGAGCTTTCATCTGCTGGAAGCTTCAGAAGTAAATAGACATGTTTGTTTAGTCGTTGAGTCGTGTCCGACTCTTCGTGACCCCCTGGACCAGAGCACGCCAGGCACAAAATATGGTCTGAAGCTCAACATCAAAAAAACGAAGATCATGCCCACTGGGCCCATCACCTCCTGGCAAATAGAAGGGGAAGAAATGGAGGCAGTGAGAGATTTTACTTTCTTGGGCTCCATGATCACTGCAGATGGTGACAGCAGCCACAAAATTAAAAGACGCCTGCTTCTTAGGAGAAAAGCAATGACAAGCCTAGACAGCATCTTAAAAAGCAGAGACATCACCTTGCCAACAAAGGTCCATATAGTAAAAGCTATGGTCTTCCCAGTAGTGATGTATGGAAGTGAAAGCTGGACCATAAAGAAGGCTGATCGCCGAAGAATTGATGCTTTTGAATTATGGTGCTGGAGGAGACTCTTGAGAGTCCCATGGACTGCAAGAAGATCAAACCTCTCCATTCTGAAGGAAATCAGCCCTGAGTGCTCACTGGAAGGACAGATCCTGAAGCTGAGGCTCCAATATTTTGGCCACCTCATGAGAAGAGAAGACTCCCTGGAAAAGACTCTGCTGTTGGGAAAGATGGAGGGCACAAGGAGAAGGGGACGACAGAGGACGAGATGGTTGGACAGTGTTCTCAAAGCTACCAGCATGAGTTTGACCAAACTGCGGGAGGCAGTGGAAGACAGGAGTGCCTGGCGTGCTCTGGTCCATGGGGTCACGAAGAGTCGGACACGACTAAACAACAACAAGGTCAAAAGCAGCACTTTGAATTGGGCCCGGAAATTAATTGGCAGCCAGTGCAGTCGGGCCAGGATAAGTGTCAGATGCCTAGAGTCATTGGGGCAACCCAATCAGATGGATGGGGTACAAATGCTGTTATTTTATGCTCAAACTGTCTTGCCCTGGTGAACAGCCTGGCCACCAGATGAAGTTGCTGCCTTCAGAGGCACCCTCTTATATAATGTGTTGGAGTAATCTAATTTAAAAGTTTATCACAGCATGAATGACAGAAGTTAGGCTATCCTGTCCAGATAGGGCATGGCTGGGCCACCAGTCAAAGCTGATGGAAGGCACTCTGGACCACTGAAGCCACCGGAGCCTCAAATAAGCTACAAAGCCGTTCCTTCAGAGGGTGTGTAACGGCATAAAGAGCAGGCAACATCCCATCCATCTGGTCTAGGGTACCGCTCACAGTCTTATCTGGATTGAGCTTCAGTTCATTGGCTCTCATCCAGTCCACTGAGGCAAGACAACGTTCCAGTACTCCCACTGCCTCACCTGCAGATGTAAAGGAGAAACAGAGCTGAATGTCATCAGCATATTGCTGACTACGTACTCCAAACCTTTGGATAACTCCACTCAGTGGTTTCATGTAGATGCTAACAGCATAGGGGCTAAAATTGAATCCTGAGGAACCCCACGTTGAAGGCTCTACGGGGCTGAAGAACATTCCCCAAATATCGCCCTCTGGAAACATCTATCCCAGTAGGACTGCAACCACCTCCCTGCGATGCCACCCACCCCCCAACTAAAATTTAAACCCAAAGACATGGGGGGACGCTATTGGCTATCTAAATTAATGCAGAGAAAATAGTTCTAAGATGGCAGGCAATAAATGACTTTCTGAGCAGGTTTTTTTCCCTGTTCATCTGATGCTTAGCTGCAATAACAGCAGTCTAAGGGCTTATACACACTTAACTTTCTTTAAAAAAATGTTATTGAAACATTTTCATGGATGACAAAAGTGCATATAACACCTCTGTTTTCAAGTCATAAGAGTCCTTTCTACAGGTCAGTTACATTCAATGTGAGACACTTTTGTAGAAGGCATTGTGAGGTTGGAGGGGAGATTATTATTATTATACATACATACATACATACATACATACCCCAGCCACTCTGGGCAGCTCCCAACAGAATATTAAAAACACGATAAAACATCAAACATTAAAAACTTCCCTAAACAGAGCTGCCTTCAGATGTCTTCTAAAAGTCAGATAGCTATTTATTTCCTTGACATCTGATGGGAGGGCGCCACTACTGAGAAGGCCCTCTGCCTGGTTCCCTGTAACCTCACTTCTCGCAGGGAGGGAACCACCAGAAGGACCTCAGAGAGAGAAGTGGGGAGAGAGGAGCCAGGGATAATGATCTTTCATTCTTTTGCATAGTGTATGTGCAGAGTCTTTGTGTCAGCATCACGTGTATAGGTTCTTTCTTTATTTGCCCTCCTCTTCCCAGGCATGGTTCTGCACTTAAAAGCTCCATGTCCCGGTGTTTGCCCTGAGTTTTCCCCATGAAACCTGCTCCCTTTTGCAGGGAAAGCTCCGGAATCATAATTTTTAAAATGGAGGCGCTTGGAAACAGAGCTTTACAGTGCTTTGAAAGAGTGGAGGAAATGTTAAGTGTGGATAAGGCCCTACAGTGTTCACAGCAGTTGAATTAAAGCCCCAGACATCTGGGTTTAAACTGCTAACATCACTTTTATCAGGTTGAAGTTTTTCCTCACTTGTGCAGATATTTCTTTGCTGGGCTGTGTGAACCATGCTGTCCCGATGGACTTAATATACCGCCCTGCACTAATATTTCAGTCCACCTGGCTTCCATAATTAGTTCAATATTTAACTGTTTGGTCTTCCCCTTGCATTTTGACGGTGTCATTTAATAAAG